TGTGGCCTTATGTGAAGTGACAACGCTTTGGCGCGGAAATTACTTATCTAGTGTAACATATAAATCAATGACTTTTCACAGGTATCGAGTATGCTATTTAAATCATTGTCACCTAGGATGACGTCATCGACGAAAAAATCCTCTCGGATTACTCTCGCAACCTGCTGATCCTTACATTCCAGCGCAAGCTGACGTAAACATCTCATACTAAGGTATGGCGCAGACGCGGTGCCGTACGTCACGGTGTTTAGGCGATATACACAACATATTGGGTCCGACGAAAGTTTACGCCATAATATCAGTTGTAAATCTCGTTGATCTGGTTGTACAAGAAAATTCCGAAACATTTTCTCAACGTCCGCACAACCCACGTATTTATAGTAAAATGCTAAAATTGTCATTCTGAAGTAGTGGACCAATATGTTGAATATCGTTCAACGACTTACCGGACGACGTCGCTGCGCTTGCGTCGAAAACAGTGCGCAGTTTAGTCGTACTGCTATTTTCATTAATAACGCCGTGATGCGGCAAAAAATAGTGGGGTGACTCATAAGTTTCAACGCAACTCATATGACCGAGCCTTTCATATTCTCCCATAAAATCTACGTATTTTTCCCTAAATTGTGGCAAACGAGCGATTTTTCGTTCTAACGACAACAAACGTTTTTCAGCCGCTGTGTAACTGTCTCCGAGCACATCAGCTGATTCCTTTAAAGGAATGCGTACGGAAAACCTACCATCCTCCATACGTTTTGTCATTTTGACAAAAATGTCTTCGCACGCACGTTCGTCAGCACTAAGGATGTTTTTATTAACGTTATTGTTTATCTCTTCGAGTTCCCAAAACAATTTCAACTGTGTGTCAATTAATGATTTCTTATATTTACGCGAACACTATACATTGATTAAAACTACTTTTACGGATTTTATAGCGTTTTATTTATATTAATTTTAATACCCGACGTTTTGGGTGCTTTCCAGCACCCATGGTCACGGGGGACTGAGGTGACTGACGTCCCGATGTCAAAGTTAACCCGGAGTACCTTCAGCTTTTTAATTATTGTCTTTGGTCCGATCTACGCAGAATGAACTAACTGTATTTTGAAGTCTTGCAGTGGTATGCTTGGGTTTAGTTTTAATTTTATTAATTATAGGATCCCAAGCAGGTGGTAGTACCCAGCCTCCTTCTCTATTGAAATTAGGATGTTTTTTAATTTCAATAGCCTCACGTATCATCCTTGGTAGGAATCGATGTTCTTTCGCGAGGATTAGTGGTCTATCAAATCTGATGTAATGGTTGGGGCCATCTAGTATATGATCGCGAACTGCGGACTTCCCGGAACGTTCCGGTTCTGCAGTTTGGTGGGATCCTATAATTAACAAAATTAAAACTAAACCCAAGCATACCACTGCAAGACTTCAAAATACAGTTAGTTCATTCTGCGTAGATCGGACCAAAGACAATAATTAAAAAGCTGAAGGTACTCCGGGTTAACTTTGACATCGGGACGTCAGTCACCTCAGTCCCCCGTGACCATGGGTGCTGGAAAGCACCCGAAACGTCGGGTATTAAAATTAATATAAATAAAACGCGATAAAATCCGTAAAAGTAGTTTTAATCAATGTGTGTCAATTGTTTGGGAGAAATTACATTGCACACTCTTAACGGGAAGTGTGTTATTATGTAAAGGTCCCGACATTATCCAACCCAATTTTGTATATTGTAAATAAGGTCCTTTATTCAACTTAATTTTGTCATCACACAATAATTCCCAGAACTTATCCGCGCCTATCAGTATATCGATGTCTGACGAGTGAAAGTTCGGATCCGCAAGTTGAATATTATCAGGTAAACTCATATTATTTACATAGACACTAAATGTGGGTAATTGATTTGTAATGCACGGCGACACTAAACAATCAATGTTCATACAAAACGAATTTAATCTTGAACGTAATTTTATTTTACAAATGTGGGTGGACTGCGAAATTGTTTGACCTACACCAGCAACGTGATAAGTGGACTGTATTAACGGTGCATTTAATGTTTCACATAACGATTTCTTTATGAAACAATGTTGACTACCATTATCAAGCAGAATGTGTACAGTGTGATATTTGGGTTGGGATAAACGTTGGGTAATAACGAATATTCCTGAATACTGTTTTGCGATTCTGAATGGTTAGCCGTAACGTGTAATGATGACGAGACAGTGGAGACGTTAGCGGTGACCGGCTGTGCTGATGCCCTCGACCCGCTCACCTGTGATGCGCCGTCTACCTGCCCATCAATGTGAAGCAAACTGTTGTGCCTTTTATCACACAACCTACAAGGCCCAAACTTGCATTCGTCAAGTGGGTGGGTTGCGCGTAAACAATTGATGCACAGCTGATGCGTCGATCTTATTCCTTTCTTGGGCAGACGAATTAAGAAACCTTGAACAGGAATAAATCGCGTGATTACCATGACACATCACACACACGCGGCTTTGTTTTGTTTTTGCGTTCGTATTACCCTTATTGTTATTGTTAGTAACGTTCGTAGCAACATGAGTATGTGTATATTGCTTCTTAGAGCGCGTTTGTTCGCCGCCTTTGTTCTCGTGGGATTTGTTATGGTTCACTTTTATCATTTCTAAAACTTCGGCCCTGTCCTTGAGAAATTTAAGTAAGTCATCCAGTTTCAAAGCTGACCTTGATTCAATTAACGAACTAGCTGTACCTTGAAAATCTTCCCATTCGCGTTCAGTGGTCTGATCTAATTTGGAAACGACCATGTAAATGATTAAAGTGCCCCATGAATCTGTTGGTTCACCTAACTTTTTAAGGGCACGCAAATTTCTCAAAACAATATCTATTAAGTTCCTAATCTGGGAAGCGGACTCTTTATTTAACGATGGAATTCTAAATAATGCCTTCACATGATTATGAACCAATAGTCGCGGATTATTAAATCTATTCTCTAATAGCTCCCATGCGTGACAATAGCTATTAGCCGTAAATTCTAATGCGCCTATGACGTGTGCCGCGGTACCGGACAATGACGATTTTAAATAATGACATTTTTGAACAGGACCTAAATCATCGCGATCATGAATCATACTAACGTAAGAATTTTTAAAATCTAGCCAGCAATCGTACGAACCGTCAAAGGAAGGTATTTTAATATCGGATAACTTTATGCCTATCGGCTTACATGTTGAAACACTAGTCTTGTCAGATACTTCCTTTTTCAATAAAAGTTTTTCAGAAGCTACAGCACGATAAAATTGATCTTCGAAACGGTCTCTCTCTTCCAGCTGTTTTACAAGATCGAGATCTTCCGCTATCTTCTTTTCTTCTTCTTCAATTTATAGACTGTATTTCACTATACATCTCTATCAAACTCGAAGTACTCTCGACGCGTAAATTTAATTCTAATGACTGTTGATCAGTCAAGGGTAAATTGAACTTTTTAACATAATTTTCAAACAGAGTTAATCGACCTTTTAAAACTCCTCTTTTCTTAATTAAATCTGACAATTTAGGCTCACTCATTTTGGAAATTAAGGAAATCAAGAGTTAACTTACAGTTGCCAATTTGTAGATGCTTGCGAACGAAGGTGGGTGCCGTTGCGCAGGTAGGTACCGCCACTTGAGCACTGGAAATGGAATATCAGCACGAAATCAACACCTATCGAAGGATGAGATGAGGAAACGGACGGGAAGTTCAGACCTGCCACTCCCGTCTGTCGATGCCTTAACGTTGCAGCTCTTCGCTCGATACGTGAATCTCCTCTTCGTATTTTGATGCGACGAATCTTCGGAGATTTCAAGCTTGAACTCCTTATCCGGCTCGAAGGACCACTTTATGTACAGGAACGGGAGGCAAGTGCTTTTCAATGTTTGATTTATTGAACGTTTTCTGGTTATATTTAAATCGTCTTATTGCTAACAGTGTGTATCAGGTAATGATAAAAATTTAAAACAGATCTTATAACTAATTGAACGACGTGCTGTGATTGGTCGCCGACAATGACGAGCTCTGATTCGTAGATAAGTGTGGTGTCCCGGTGCGTCGATAGATGGCGTTAGTAGTTGCGCCAACAATTATTTTAAATGACCTGGAGATTGCGTATTTATATCCTTCAAAGAAAATATTTTTTTAAATATTGTATTCACTATTAGTCGCTTATGACTATATCTATTATTTAAAGTTTTCCACGCTCAGTCGAAATTTTTACCCGACAAATGATTGCCATTCTTTATACACACCGAAAAAAGTAAATAGATTTATTCGGGGCAGCTTTACATCAACAATTGGTTTTTCACACATCGGCGAAGTTGAAGGGTTTGTATTAATCCCGGTATTGTTCTTGATATCATGTAACACGTCCATGATATCCCCTTCAAACAAGTAAACATTTCTTAACACTTGTCATACTCGCTAGTTACAAAATGAGATATTATCTGTTTTCGACGTTAGTTTCAATAAGTTTTGATACGCCGCACGATATGATACCCAATACTCTTCAATGCATTGAATCTTCACTTCTAAAAATATCCCTGTACCATTCTTGTTTTAGGAAATTTTTTAAGATTAATCTGGGTTTTCTTAATTTGATCAGTTGTTCTAATTGTTCGATTATTTCTTCCAATTCTGACATTATAAATCACTTACAAAAGACTAATTAAGCTTCGCAAAATATCACTGTAACGGTCGATGTTATTCACTTTTCTATTAAACTGTTGTTTTTCTATCACAGGTAGGCGTCCGCGGGCCGAGACGTTGAACAAAAAACGTTAACGAGGTTAGTTACTTTCTTATCCGGCTCAAAGGACCACTATGTATTTGTAAAGATATTTATTGTTTGAGTTTTAAATTATAGTTTTATTTGCAACTGTCTATAAAAAGGTGCACAAATGATAATATGTGTATAACATCTTAACATTTACTTCTAATAAGTGCGTACGCGAAATTGAATTCTATGTTACAGACAAAAACTATATATGTAATTTACCTTGGGGTAATAATGCTGCATGAACTCATATATCGCTGGATCCTCCAGTGAATCTCTTTCATCCAGTAGCACTGCATCTACGTATTCCGTTACTACACTGCATTCTAAGAGCATTTCTTCTAACTTCGCATCGGCCTGTAAATTTTGAGTTACAATAACAGGTTTAATTACTAACTGTTTTCATTATTATGAAACACTTAGCAATATTGACTATTTAACAATTTTGAATGCAAAAATAAAGAAAGATATTCTTTTATCTCCTCTAGTTGACTTTATTATAGTTTTGAGATAATAATATCATTACGTAATTGTATGTCTTATTAATACTAGCAATCGACTATACCCATTTATATTCTATTCTACATGTAAAAACTTTGTTATGGGTAATTTATACATATAATATAAATAAAAATAAAATAATATAATTACGGGCGTGTTGGCGACGTCACGCCAAAAGGCGGCGAAGTAGTTGAACTTGAGCGGCACGGCTTCCAGTGCGCACAGCGCCGACAGCAGCACCAGCTGCTCCGACATGCAGCGCTGACTCCTTGCCACACGGCAGCATGTGTCTGTGGATAGTGCACTCATTTTAGTATTTAACAACTATGATGGCTATGGAACCTTAAAATCATATTTTTTTGGATGATTGATGCTTTACTTTATTATGTCACAACGATATAAAGAAGATATCTTTAGTCTGCATTTTGATCTTCATCCAAGATGGAGCATCCACTTACCATCAGGTAGGCTCTGTGCTTGTCACCCTTATTCCATAAACAAGTATATCATAATAATTATTTTGTGCTTGATGTATTACGTTAATAACCGTATAGTGGCAGTGTAAGAATATCCACTACCTGATTTCTTCTCCAGGGTGTCGTAAGAGACGAAAGAGGGAACGACGGAAAACTGTGGATGCCAACCGGCTTGCCAGGTGTGGCAACCGTGGCAAAATCCCCCATGAAGTAATCTACGAGGGATGCTTATGTTCAGTAGTGGATTTTTGTAGGCTGTAATGGATAATATGAAATATAATATAATATAATGGATAAAATGGATAATATTCTAAATAATTTTGTAGATTTAATGACATTTTTGAATTTTGGTATTAAAATGAATATTATACAAGAGTATTTGTAATTATCCGTGTAGAGAATTCACTACTCTGTATTATCTCATAGATGTTTGATAATAAGTCAAAATATAATAAAATCCAAAAATGCACATCTCGAATCTTCATTTAATTCTTAATTGAGGATCGACGTAGGTGGTCTTATGGCCTTATTCCACGTTAAAAATTTAAAAAAAAATCTCTAAATGTAAATCGACTTTGGTTGATATATCTAAAATTAATAATAATTTAAATATTTCATTAAGGCATTGGGATCATCCATAGTGATATTGCTTTAAAAGCTTTTGGTAAGATAGCTTAGATTAATTGCTTTAGTTTTCTGTAATCTTGTTAACAAGCATGCTCTCAGATCAGCTGACGTAGTAGTAGTAAGTATAATTAAATCACGTTTTTCTTTACATACATAAGAGCCACTCAATCTAAGAACAAATTAATGAAAACTATTAAAAGAAAAATTTTGATGTAGGTATTGTATTAAAAGAAAAAAATTAAAAGAAAAGAAACTAAAAAAATAACTAAATTAAATTACAGAAGTGATTATTAAAAGGAAACAGCTTTACATGATTGTGAAGATAGTGAAATCAAATAGATACACAGAGAATTTACGAACAACAGAGTAAAGGACATCCACAATATAGTTTATCGGATTTTTTAAAAATATGTGTTGTTGAATTAAAACAAAAGCATCATGCTTGTTAATTAGTGTTTCTTTTTTCTAAACATGTGCTTTTCATAATATATTAGTGAGATGTAAAATAATAAAGATGAATTAATATGAGTGATTTAAAAGTTTGACAGTAGAGCCCAACATCTTCGCTTCGCGTTCGAGGTGTGCAATAATAACAATCTACGGTTGTAATTGCGCCTGCTAAATATTGCCCCTATGAGGCAATCTATTCAGCAGTAGAGTTTGATATGCTGTAACCATAGATATTATTAAGCGTGGTGGAACCACGCTGCAGCTCTATTATGGTTGTAGCATGAATGGGTCACCCAAGGTAGGACCACGCTTTACAGAATACCAGCGTATAATCCTATAGCTTAGTGCTACTGTGTTTCATATGGTGAGTGTAGAGAACTGGAGACCCTTTTTGCTGGAAACGAGGCATTCCATTTCAGTCTTCAGGGGTGACAACGCATTTCTATTTTATTACTTAATTGAGGATAAATGTAAATGTCTGTGGGCCATAGCATCCACTTACCATCAGATGGACTGTGTGCTCGTTAGTAACCCATTTTATTTAAAAAAATCAAATGCTACTCACGCTATCGCTTCGACAAGTCTCTAGTGCGGGGAGACTTTGTGAGAAGATACTATAATACACAATACTATAATGCATACATAATGGAACAGGGGAATGGGCGGCGCCCGTGTAGCCACTAAACTGTCACTAACGGTTAATTTACACGTATAAATGTCAACACGGGATGTGTTTTGACGTTACAATCGTTTCCAAATTTCGCATGCAAATTATTTAGAAAATGTCAAATTCACGCTATTTACAAATAAATATGTATTGTATTAAAATCTGTTTGTCACACAGGAACCGTTAATAAGCATGCAAAGAAAGCCTACACAGAGCAACCCCGATACATTCAGCGGTATAAGCGCAACTCAGCAGAACGTGAGCATTGACGTAAAAGGATACAATCGGAGCTCTGCAATATTCCTTTACCTTATTATATTGTAATAATTAAAATTCATGCTAGATCTAGCATCGATCTGTTTCACTTCTTTTCTAGTAGTAATAGTTATATTGTAATTTTTATATTATAATAAAGTATTTTAAATTAGTTTCGGTTTTTTTGGGTTTTTCGGCTGCAGTTAACGTAATTGGTTTGTAGTAGTGATAATACGACGTTATTGCTTGTATGCGTGCTCCCGGCGACGACTATCGTCGTACAAAATAAGGTTGACAGCCATTCTATTGTGTATTATAATATTCTATAGCTGAAACGGTAACTGAGTGGGTTATAAATACAAAAGTGTGGTCTCGCTCACCGATGAACTTGTGGTAGGGCCGGTAGACTGGCGCAAGCGGCGCGAGGGGCGCGAGGGGCGCGTGGGGCCGCGGCGAGTGCGCGGCGTGAGGCGTGCGCGCGCGGGGGGCGCGGGGCGGAGCGCGCCGCCGCGTGCGCACCCGCCGCCAGCGGCACCAGCGCACCCAGCGCCGCGCCGCCGCCGATCAGCACCAGCTCGCGCAGCACGCCTGCCGCACACACACCACGCCATCACATCACATCTTACGCTCCCGCCAAATTTACACCATGCCGATAATAATTACGAATAAATTAATTCTTTATTTGTCACACAATATTTATCTAATAGTAGAAACTAACGTTTAACAACTAATAGGTCTTCAAAATTGTGGTAGCATGATATTAAATATGTGTCCGTTTCATCGTTCGTGTAGGGAAGGTTTGGGCACGTGCTCACCTATGGCAGCCAGGCGCAGGTGCGTGAGGCGCTGGTGCAGGTTGAGCATGGTGAGCAGGCGGCGCGCGCACTCGGGCCAGTCCTTGCAGGCCAGCAGCAGCGCGCGCGCCTCCTTGGCGTCGCGCCGCGTGCGCAGCGTGCGGCACAGCGCGCGCGCCCAGCGCAGCGCCGCCGTCAGCTCGGCGCGCACCGACCCCGCGCCCGCACCCGCAACACCGCCCCCCTCCACGTACACTGCGTGCAGGCTGTGCAGCGCCTGCAACGTCAAATGTTTTCGACATGTACTTTTCCAACTAATAATAAATTATTATTACCAAAAATTCAGCTACGCCAGGGCTCCGTTACTCGCTCAAGATATCGCAATATAATACCTACCGACTAGCGTAATCCGGAGATTACAAGAATCACGCCGCCCAACCAAAAGATAAGTGCTTCAATTTTGAACCATTAAAATAACCAGTGAAGAATAAATAACAAATTTATTAAAAAAATTTCATCATCACAGCCCTTCACAAGTCCACTGCTGAACATAGGCCTCCCCCAAGTAATGCCACAAAGCACGGTCCTGAGCCACCTGCATCCATCGACTTCCTGCATATCTTACCAGGTCGTCACTCCATCTAGTGGGGGGTCGCCCTACACTACGCCTACCGGTACGAGGCTGCCACTCGAGAACCTTTCTTCCCCATCGGTTATCGGTTCTTCGAGCTATATGGCCGGCCCATTGCCACTTCAGCTTACTAATCCGTTGGGCTATGTCGGTCAATCTGGTTTTACTGCGGATATCCTCATTTCTGAGTCTATCACGCAGAGAAACTCCGAGCATAGCCCTCTCCATAGCTCGCTGAGCGACCTTGAGCGTCCTCATACGGCCAGCAGTGAAGGACCACGTCTCTGATCCGTAAGTCATCACTGGCAACACGCACTGGTTGTACACTTTAGTTTTCAGAGATTGAGGTATACCTGACGAGAAGATATGTCGTAATTTCCCGAACGCTGCCCAGCCGAGTTGAATCCGTCGATTGACCTCTCGGTCGAAGTTGGACTTACCTAGTCGGAATATTTGTCCCAGGTAAACGTACTCGTCAATAACTTCGAGCATAGTGCTCCCAACAACTACCGGCATAGGTGTGACATGGACATTAAACATAATCTTTGTTTTGTCCATGTTCATCTTAAGACCTATCCGTTGGGAGGCACTATTGAGGTCATTGAGCATAGTGCTTAAGTCCTCCAGCGATTCTGCCATAAGGACTATATCGTCGGCAAATCGAAGGTGAGTGATGTACTCTCCATTGATGTTAATACCGTATCCTTTCCAGTCCAGTAGCTTGAAAACGTCTTCCAAAGCAGCGGTGAAGAGTTTCGGGGATATAATGTCACCCTGTCTTACACCTCTCTGCAGTTGGATAGGTTTCGAGCTCTGGTTCTGTACTCGGATAGCCATCGTAGCCCTACTGTACAAACACTTCAGCACTTCGATATACCGACAGTCAACTTGGCACCGCTGAAGGGACTGCAGCACCGCCCAAATTTCGACGGAATCAAAGGCTTTCTCATAGTCCACATACGCCAGGCAAAGTGGCAGATAGTACTCTTCAGTCTTCTGTACAATCTGCCGCAGGGTATGTATGTGGTCTATGGTACTGAAGCCTTTTCGGAAACCGGCTTGTTCGGGAGGCTGGAAGTCGTCGAGTCTGCGTGCGAGACGATTCGTAATGACTCTCGAAAACAGCACGTAGACGCGGCTCAGAAGGGAAATCGGTCTGTAGTTCTTCAAGAGAGCGTTGTCGCCTTTCTTAAAGAACAAGACCACCGCACTTCTGCTCCACGCCTCTGGAGTAGTGCCACCATGGAGGACGGAATTGAAGAGCTTCTGAAGGACTTCAAGTACCGGTGTTCCACCCGCTTTCAGAAGCTCCGCTGTAATTCCATCCTCGCCTGGGGCCCTGCCGTTTTTAAGGTGCTGGAGAGCCATTCTAATCTCGCTTAGACTGACGTCCGGGATATCATCGGAATAGTGTCGGATAAGACTTGCTCTTGGATCGTTACTCACACTTGCGTGTGGCTCCAACGATGATGTGTACAGCTGCCCATAGAACCTCTCAATCTCACTCAAAATCTCAGGTGTCCCGGAAACGATGCTGCCACACTCAGTCTTCAGCCTTGACAGTTGGCTCTTTCTGGCAGACAGATCTCTGGCAAAGACTTTGGAGCCCTGGTTCCGCTCGATCGCTTCTTTAATACGAGCAGTATTAAAGTTGCGTAAGTCTCGCCGCATGCATTTGGAGATCTGTCTGTTCAGTTGCCTGTATGCTGTCAAATCTGTTGACGATTGCAGCCTCATCTCCCGTCTAACAGCCATGAGATTAAGAGTGTGATCGGAGAGTTTTTGTGTTCTTCTGCGGCGGGTCTTGCAGAACTTAGCTCCGACCGCATGGACAGTTTCCACGAGCTTGTCATTCATATCGTCCACTGCATTGCAATCTTGTAGGCACTGAAAGCGGTTGTGTAACTCGAGCTGAAAGTTTTCGGGATTTTGGATCAGAGCACGAGGGGGACGGAGCGTTGACTTCATTAGACGAGACCTCTCCAACTTAACGTTTAGGTTCAGTGTGCCTCTAACCATTCGGTGATCGCTGCCAGTTTTCACCCTTGCGATCACTGAGACATCACTGAACAGTTGGCGTCTGGTCGTCATAATGAAGTCAATCTCATTTTTTGTCGAACCGTCGGGGCTCGACCAGGTTCACTTCCTGTGGGGCCGCTTCTGGAAGAAAGAGTTCATCATAAAGAGTCCCTCTTTCTCCATAAAGTCGGCCAGCTGCTGGCCCCTTCGGTTCCGTTGCCCTACTCCAAATTTCCCTAACTTCAGCTCACCGCTTTGTCTTGTGCCTAGTTTTGCGTTGAAGTCTCCCATCAACACCGTGTAGTGGGTTTTGGAGGAATGTATGGCTTTGGAAATATCCTCATACATTTCCTCCACCTCCTCATCGGAATGTGCCGACGTTGGTGCGTAAACCTGTATGACCTTCAGCGAATACCGTTTGGTGATTCTGAGTATCAGGTACGCGACCCTCATCGACACACTCTCAATCTGTACAACGTTGTTGACGAGAGACTTGTGGACGATAAATCCGACACCTCCTTGGGACAGATGGTCGCCCTCCCGGTGATAGAACAAGTTGCCGGATTCGAGAATCACCGTGTCCTCCCCCTCTCTTCGGACCTCGGATAATCCTATAATACTCCAGCGCAACTTGTCTATCTCTTCTTCCAGCTCCAGGATCTTCTCGTCAGTCCTCAGTGTGCGTGCGTTAAATGTTGCCAGGTCGAGTCGTCGTAGGTGGCAACCGAACCTCCACCGGAGATTCTTAGCACCCCCTGCCCCGCCGTTACCATGGTCGCCACCGTAGCCAGGAATAGCGGAGCCGCCGGGGACTGGGGGCCGTCTATTTGTGTAATTATTCATATTGCCATAGTTGCACGCTTGGCGAGCGGGTTGGCAACCGCAGTTTTTTTTGTCGTACAGTTGCTGTTATCAGGAAGATGCTGCTGTCCATCTCCTGCCTGTCTCCCTCTGTCGCCTTTTACGACACCCACGGGAAGATATGGGGTAGTGGATATTCTTAACCGCCACTACACGGCGAATTTAAAAAATTTTATAATAAATTAAATAAAAATTTAACGATTGTCTTAATACTTATCATGTATGAAAAATGTCAACATTTTTTTTTGTTTGAAAAGATAAAAAATGATATTTTAAACTTAGAGGAGCCACGCCAATTTAATCTGTGACATCGCTAAATTAAAAATTAAAACTAAAGTCCCCGAGAAAATACAAAAAAATAAACAAAACTCAACTAAACATAGAGTATATGTGTTAAGTAACTTATTACAATGCCAAAAATCGGACCATAGTAAATAAAATGCTTAAGTTTTAAGCAATTAACATCACACGACCTTGTATCACATCCGAGTACAAGTATCAGTGAGGTTAAGTTTAATTAAGTTCAGAGAAGGAAATAAATCTATTATAACTATCATTTTATAAAACTCAAACATATTTGTTTATGAAACAAATAAAATAATTATTTCATTATTTCTGTTTGTCTTTTAGGTATTGAATTTATCATATTTTTACAAAACACAGCGCGTTCGCTCGATGACATGCCCATACGAAGGTTTTGTGCGTGGTTGATTTATATTTTGTTTTTTATTGGCCAGTATCGTACCATAACGTCTACAGTTAGACACGACCTCTCCCTTTGCCATAATATCTGAAAACAGAACGACACCAAATGGCCAAAAGCAAAGCACACAAATAATTCTCTCACGCCACCATTATGCGGCCACAGTTTTCTATGTATTAGCGTTAACGAATGTATTCTACTTGGCTAAGCCCACTGATAAATTTTCATCACTGTTATTTGGATACACTGATCTCCATATATACTAGTACGCTGGATTGGCTATACCCTACAAAAAGTTTAAGCCGATTAGAAGCGCCGTCATTGAGTGTAGCGGGAACTAAATTTGACATATTGGGATATTTTGGATAATTTTCAAATGACTGTTATTTTGCTCAAAACGTCTAAGAGAATTTTAAAGTTTTTAACGAGAAAAAGAGTGGGTGTTGAGTGTAGTTCAGTTATGTTTCATGTTAGTAATATAATTAAAAGTATTTTTAGTAACAATGGTAATGTAAAATTCGTTACCAGAAGAGAAGTGTGGTAGGTAACATTCCACAGATAAGGGGATTTACAGTTTATAATAAAAAAATTAAACTATTTGATAATATAGGCTCCTACATAACACTTACTTACGTTATTAAATACGAGTATAATTACTAACATGTGTGGCTTCAAATTAACTATTTTTGATTAACAATAAATTTCAATAGAGTTGACGAGTTCCTTGTTGGTAATACTTATCGATGTTTTTTTCTAGCTATATCTGTTTGCAACAATTATAGTCACTGACAACAGATAATTATTAAAAATTTATTAATTTACAGGTATTTAACTGAATATATACTAAAATTGTGACTGAAAAGCATAAAACTTGTGAATTAGCGTACGTAATTAAATTGATTATGACGTCAATGGTTTAATAATATTTGTGAAATAGGCATAATATTTTGGCAGCTTATTGATTTTCTCTATAAGGACTAAATTAATGATCAACAATAAATTCTTTAGACAATTATATTTTTCTTATTATTTAATCACCTAATCCAGTTTTTCCTACACATTTGACAGTTTTAACCTTTTACCTGTCCAATGAATCATAAATATATGAACACTTGGATTGTTTAACTATTGTATCTATTTCGCGGACAAGGACTGTTGAATCTCTCGAATGAACCATACATACCCGATGGTAAAAACCGGAATGCAACTCGTTCTATATAGTAACGAAGAAAAACGTAGAGACTAACGCAGCGTCGAATCTCGTTATATATGAGGTATAAAGATTGTGTCTAAGAGTCTAGGACATAAGTATTAATTGATACATTTATTTATTGTACGACATTTATTAAAATGATACATAAATAGAATGGTAGGTATAGGTTTAGGTATAGAATTTTTATCGATATATTTTGCCACACTGTGCTATCTCTATTATTAGTTCCGTGGACGCTCACTTCTGCTATCGGCCAGAAAAACCGGTGTAAAGGCAGTCCAGCGTACTTGTATGTATAATAGAGGTCAATACTTGGATATTACAAACTTTTTCTCACATAACTCAATAAATAGGTGAAGTCAGTACTTTTTAACAAATAAATATAAAAAAATATAAATTTGACTTACTTCAAAAGTCATCTGCAAGCCACCGTTGTAAACTACATACAGTCTGTCGTCCTCGTTTTCTACTAACGTGCAGAACGCCGAAATTAATGTCGTCCAACACGTTCTGCCATTTAAACCTAATAACATAAAATAATCGTCAATATAGTTAATAGTAATCATGACATTACACCGAAATAATGTCATTAAAGTTTTATTTTCTGACAACATTCCGAAACAGACACTCTCAATCCGAACCTGTTGAGAAGTGATATGCACGCTCTTTCCAGAGGACCAGTAAGTTCACTTACCGCCGTCATGACTGTTGTAAGGTGAGATGGAGTGACTATGGAGGAGTTGAATCGAGCTGTTAAGGCCGATTTACACTTCGACAAGTACAATAGCGAGTTAACTTGCGAACCTGGCGAGTTAAGTAGAAAATTTGGTTTGAACGGCAATCAGTGAGTTTAGTTGCAAATTAACAACTAAGTTCAACCGGATTGCCGGCCGGTCTTTTTCAGTGAGTCAACAGAAACAGATATTTTTTAAATTCAATATAGATTATAAATAATACGTATGGAAAGTTACTTTTTATAATTTACCACTGGTTCGGAAAAAAGCTTCTGTCCTGGGAAGAACCAGCAAGAGTTAGTAGTTTTGATATATGGGGTCCCACTGAAGCTTTGCGTCTAGTGTGATTCCAAGAAAAATGGTGGTATTGACAAGACTCAATTCGTCCTCATTTAAAATTACATTAGTATTAACATGTTCCACGTTCGGAGTTATGAATTTTATACATTAAATTTTAGTGACAATTAAATACAAATTATAACAATATACCAATTTACTAAATAAGATATTAGTATTATTTACTTTGTCATAAATGTAACTGTCGTTTTAATTTGTGAATTCAATTCAATTTGTAAATCAGCGAACAATACTATATCATGGTTATCTCCTAATGCGTAAGGTAAGTCATTAATATATACAAAAAACAGAAAGGGGCCGAGAATTGAGCCCAGAGGCACGCACATTTGTACTATCGACCCGGAAGAACTCATAATATTAATGACAACTTTTTGCGTTCTGTAACTTAAATATGAAATTTGTGTTAATTTAAGAGCTTCTTACACCGTAGTGTTGAAAGTCAAGTTCCAAGTGTTGTCCTCCCGCGCGTCACCCGCGACTCGCAACTACGAGTAAACTTGCCGCTCGTTTGAATGAGCGAGTTTAGGTCAGTGCATAAGTTGGCAGGACGCAATGGGTTAGCGTTCAACTCTCAAAATATAAATTGTATATTTTTTTAATTAAATTCGCCACGAATATACTTGAACGCTACCTATTGCGCACTTAATCATTTACCGTCAACCGCCTTGTAACTAAATTCGCTACTGTACTTGTCGAAATGTAAATCGGCCTTTAGCTGTTAGAGCTCGGAATACCGCACTAAGACCAAGTTGAGGCTTAATGTTCAGTCAAGCTGCTCTGTGAACAGGCTTAGGCAGCAGTTCACAAGCTGTCTCCGAAGTGCGAAATTCGGTAAGTCTTGAAAGGAACTCAACTTACTGCTATTAAAAAAGCAGAACCACAAATTCTAGTGAGTACTGCCTCCGAGACTTGTTTTAGTTATGCGAAAGAGGGTTGAGTTTTCAATTGGAAGGGGAAGAGGAGCCTTGTAGGAATGCGTGAATTCCCAAAAAAATCTGCCAATATGGCAGGAAAAGGAGTTTTAATAGTCAATCACGTTCGACATAAACCGAGCCTTGCCCCCACTGACCTCTATATATACAAGTACGCTGGACTGGCTATACCATAGAAAATGACTGTGCCAATTTGAAGCGCCGCTAAAGGATGTCTTGAAAAATAAAATTGACATAATATGCCAAAGTTTGTTGTCATATTCAAATTGTCTTATTTAATAAATCAGTATTTTGAACTTTTAAACTAAAAAACGAAAGTATTTTATGTTGTTTAATTGTATATAATATTAGTTACATAATAAGTATTATTTTTATTAATAATGAGAGTGTGCGTAATCTGTAAAACTCGTTACCAAAAGAGAAGTGGTATAACATTTCACAAGTAAGTGAATTTGCAGCAAATATTAAACAAATTAAAACTATTTGATAATATAAGTACTTAAAAATTTGTTACTAATCTTAATATCATAAATACCAACGTGTTTGGCTGAGTTTTGATAAACAATAAAATTCAATAGGGTTGTCGAGTTCCTTGTCTATAATACTTATCGATGTTCTTTCCTACCCATATCTGATAACAAACAAAGTCGCCAACAACAGATGATTATCAAATGTTTATTACTTAACAGTTTTCCAACTGAACCTATCCTATATATCTATATATATATATATGGCTTAAAAGCATAAATATGGTGAATTGGCGTCCGAAACAAAATGATCATATTTGTTCCAAACGTTTCACAGACGACTGTTTTATTAGACATGAGAACTGCACCACTTTGAAAAAGTGCAGTATACCGACAATATTTTCTGGTAGTAACAGTACCAGTAAGTATAAAAGTATTAGATTATTATTTCGAATGCATTTTTTATTCCTTCTTTCCTCATTTTCCACCAAACTCAAGGGCCATAGCCAAGTGTCGAAAGGTCGCCTGATCAAGTCGAGCCACGTTGCATGTGTTTTAGTGGGCTGAAAAAAAAACTGTATCTGCGACTGATCTCCGCTGCTGGTAATAAGAAGTTGTTTAGTTTGTTGTTTCCTCGCTTGAAGGCTAAGTATAGCCATTCAGAGAGGACACGTAGCCATCATTCTTGGGACGATACCACGGAAAGTAGGACTGTATGATAATTTCAGTTATTTTTTTAAATATTGTTATTTTTATTTCGAAAATGACGTTGTAAATAACTGATAACTATGTAATTCAAAGTTTATATTTTTTATAATATCTTGCTAGCTCGTACCCGGCGCATTGCTGCCGCAGAAGAAATCATTGTGGAAATATCGTTAAAAATGTGGAATAGTTATATTGTATAATTAGATATGATAATACAATCATTGAAATAGAATGATATATAACTTTCTATAACTTTAAAATAAGTAGTCAGTAAAATACGCACGCCACCTAGTGTCAGTTAATTGTACCGTGCGTACCATGCTTCGCACAAGTGCAACCAATAAGTTGACTAAGTTTTACAGCAATCTGATGAACGGTATAGCATCGTAGAAAGTACGAACAAACATAAATTTTTATATAGTCCAAAATATTTTACTGTCTATAGACAGACCTGTAGTTGATTAGAATAGGCGTTATTATAGCAGCTGATTTGTTTTTTTATAATACTAGAACTAAATGAACGGTTGACAATAAATTAATTTAGAAATTATGTTTTTATTTTTATTTTGTGTAGTTAGTTTAATCTTAATAATTTTTAGTTGAATGGTCTAAGGGCTACGTTGGCTATCCGAATACAAAAACAGAGTACAAAACTAATCCAACTGTAGAGATGTGTAAGACAGGGTGACGTAATATCCCCGAAATACTTTACCGCTGCATTGGAAGACGTTTGCAAGCTACTGGACTGGAAAGGATACGTATATATATGGCGTGTACGTCACTTACCTTCGATTTGCCGACAATATAGTCCTTATGGCAGAATCGCTGTAGGACCTACGCACTATGTTCAATGACCTCAATAGTGTCTCCCAACGGATAGGTCTTAAGATGAACATGGACAAAAGTCATGTGCACTGTCCATATCACACCTATGCCGGTGGTTTTTGGGCGCACTTAGCAGAAGTTGTTGACGAGTATTTTTACTTGGGATAAATAGTCTGACTAGGTAAGTTAAACTTCGACCGACAGGTCAATCGACGGATTCAACTTAGCTGGGCAGCGTTCGGGAGATTACAACACATTTTCTCGCCAGGAATACCTCAAAACTAGATTGTGTTGCCAGTGATGACCTATGGATCTGAGACGAGGTCTTTCACTGCTAGCCGTATGAGGAAGCTCGGAGTCACTCAGCGAGCTGTGAAAAGGGCTATGCTCAGGGGTTCAAACTTAGGAATGAGGATATCTGCAGCAGAACCAGAGTGATCGACATCGCTCAATGGATTAGTAAGCTGAAGTGGCAATTGACCGGCCATATAGCTCAAAGAACCGAATACCGATGGGGAAAAAAGGTTGTCAAAAGGCATCCTCGTACCGGCAGGTGAAGTGTAGGGCGTTCCATCACTAGATGGAGTCAAAACGTGGTAAGACATACAGGAAGTTGATGGATGCAGGTGGTTCAGGACCGTGCTTTGTGACATTCCTTGGGGAAGGCCTATGTTCAGCAGTAGACTTGTGAAGGACTTTAATGATGATGAATGATAATGGCATTACATTAATATGATACATAAATAGAATGGACGTTACGGGTAGAGTCCATCTATCCATAGAGTCCGTTCTATATAGGTATAGGTAGGGTATAGAATTTTTATCGATATAATTTGGTACACCGTCTCATCCCTATTAGTAGTTCCGTGGACGTGCATTTCTGCTGTCAGCGCCAAAATGGCGGAAATCAAATCGCTTCATCATGTCACGGTGTATAGCCAGTCCAGCGTACTTGTATATATAGAGGTCAGTGCTTGCCCCACACATTGCGGGTATGTGTAGATTTATAAATATAAGAGAGTATACAATAAAATATTAACCCTGTAAGTATGCGGAGAGCGTGCTGCGCCTGAAGGCGGCGGCCTCCCTGCTGTCGACACCGTCGCTGCCGCTGCCACTGCTGCCCGAGCCGCCCCCCACCCCCGCCACCCCCACCGCGCGCCGCCAGGATACGTGCTAGCCTGGACAAGAAATTTGTATATTATTATATTATATTATCATCCCAAAACCTTTTTTTTGTGCTAGACAATAGATATCTCCTAGACATATAATTTTATTATTCTACCATACACATTATATTATCATACTAGCTTGCTAGGCCCTTGCTTGCCCTTTTCGACAAACCTTTGTCATGTCCTATTATCCTAATTGAAAAAAATAATTGTGGGTCACTCATGGGCATAAAATCTGTCCTATCTCTCAAGTTGGACCAAACTGCACACGGTGTGCATATTGACTAAAATCGGTTAAGTAGTTTAGGAGTCCATCATGACAAACAACGTGACACGTAATTTATATATATTAAGATTTGATATAACGCTTTATATCTAGATTCGCAAGCATGCGGCCATGTGACACCCGGTAGCCGGCACGCTGCTTGGTAATAATAATAAATAATAAAATCCTTTATTTCGACCAACAATAGTCATAGATTGTTAGTAAAATAAACCTTAACTTAATGTTAGTTATAAAATAAAATATAAATTAATATTAAATATTAAAATGTTAGTTATCAATAACAATGGTACTTATCCTATATTAGTAACTTAACCTACACCCAGCCTCACATAGCGAAACCCAGTTGAGGTTCTTCTGGTGCTGGTATGTGCACCATTTCAAATTCTCCAGAGAGGGCTATCCAGCTTCACAGCCAATGTGCTGAGAAGGGTGTTGGAGCTCCTTAATAGCCTGCTCATCATGGACGCAGCACGCTTGCGCATGATCGCGTAGAAGTCGTCCACACGAGCATCCGCAAACATTGCCGACGCACTACAGTGTAATGGGACAATCGAAAAACCCCAGCATCTCACACCCCCCAGGCTCCCTAGACCCCCCTCTCCTTAAATATAACATCCTGTCAATGTGCCACATTGCTTACACCATCTCCCAGATTTTTTCAAACGCCTCGTGAAGACAACACTCACTCACAATGCTTGCTCAGTGCTCACCAACTAACTGTCTAACTGAACAAGATACATGTAAATGTGATATATGAATTAAAAAATATTCATGTAACGTTAAAATATAGTATATTAATTAAAACTGAACAAAAAAAATGCATAGAATTGGTCTTCTGATCTATTATGGTTTGTGATTTATTATACTATTGTCAAGTTTCATCAAAATACGTTCAATAGTTTTATTTGAGTAATAAACATACAAAAGTGTAAAAATCCATAAAATCTGTTACCTTTATAACATTTGTAGCAAATAGGATGATATGCGTCGAATAATATAGCGAAACGAGTCTTAAGTGACTCTTAGTCACGATTGGACTCCACGAATGATTACTTGGTAGTATATTGCTTCGATCAGTAACTTGCTACTCGGTACACAGAGAAGTAATAAAAAATTTCTTTTGAGAAATTTTGATGATTTGAACAATGACAATGATTTGTTTAGTATCATTTACTATTACGCGTCGCGCAGGGTTTGCGCGTAAACTTGTAGCATGTTGATGTTCGGTCGGACAGTCTCACCATCAGGAAGTATTAGTGAAATGCGCGTATGAGGTAAAGTGAGGTGAGGTGAGGTGAGGTGGTGTTACCGCAGTAGCTCGTCGGCGGCAGCCGGGTAGAGGTGCGCGTGCGGCGCGATGTTGCGGAAGGCCCAGTGGATGTTCTGGTGCTGCGCCAGGCTGCGCGCGAACGAGCCGGAGCGCCGGCAGCACAGCCGCAGCAGCGCGTAGTACGGCGGCAGCATCGCGCGGTTGTACGCCACCACCTCGCCGTCCTCGTGGTCCGCGCTGAAACAAGCGAAACAACACAATTACACTTCCATTTTCGGCATAAATAAAAGAATTAACTTTACCTGGTGGTGGTAATAAAAAGCCGACTCCAACAAACTAAAAACAGTAAAATAATTCACCAGTCCTGAGGACTAAGCCCCACAATCTATAATTATACTTGCTCTGTATGGTTTGTAAGGCTACACACTTTTAAGAAGTAGAGTTGTAGTTAGTTGATGAGCACGTCAGAAGGAAAAGATCACCAAAGTTAAAAGTTTAATTGAAAGTAAAATAGATAATAAAATTAGAGTTACAAATCTTTACTTGAGTAGTTGGTGTTCAGAAGGACGGTTGTTGACGTACTGCCGATTGTCAGCTTACAATTAAAAAGGTAAATTTAAATACACGCGACGCCCGGCTAAAGTAGGTTGCAACATTTACTAAATAAAATGTGTGGGGTAACCATACAGGCTCTTTTATCGTTCAACCCTGAACACAGTAAGTAGATGAAACGCTACATGAACAGACTTATAAAGCAAAAGACATTTCTTAAATACGTCTAGTATAATTAAAACTTTGAACATACAAGCGGCAAAATTAAAAATCTTGTTCAACCGCCTTCAATATAAATAAAATGAGAACATTATCAATGTATTTAAAGTCAATTAAATACGCATTATTAAAGATAACTCAAAAACTACTGGTTAGATTTTGATCAATTTATATGGGACCACACGAGCACCAGCTTTCTAAAAAAAAACCATCAATATCGGTTCACTCAGAAAAAAGTACTGAGGTAACACACAGGAAAAAAAACCTACAGACGAATTGAGTACCTCCTGCTTTTTGAAGTCGGTAAAAATGTAGAATATAATAAAACAGAATATAAAGTATGCTGCAACCTTCGATCACGAACTACAACAAAATAAACATACGAAATAAAAGCTTAAAGGGACATCAGGGTGGTCTGCTATTTCCTCTGGATCCATACTCGACTTTAATTAGACGTGTCAATCAAACGCGCCGTCAAGCTAAACTCCGCATATATTTTAACACTTTATTAATTCAATCAAAATGCCGATGCTTAAAAAAATTGACCAATTTCTTTTCACCCTCTCAGCATACACTCATTCCTTAGTTAGTTTTTTCCTAATATAAGTTATTTTGTATTCAGTACCATTATAATATGGCCACAACGGTAAATATTGTATATGTGACTTGGCAACATATTAAATTATATACATTTGTTTTAGTTATGTTCGTAATGTAAGTATACTTAAAATGTATGTATTATGTACTATTTAAACATTATGTATGAAATGTATCATATATTACTTAGGTTAATTGTAGTTGTGTATATTTATTTTTGTATTTACACTTATGGTATGTCTATTTATATATTTACATTTACGTATAAATTATCCACATATTTTATGGCACCTGCTAAAGTTCTCTGCTTAGCCCATGGTTGACTGGTAGAGAATGCCTAAAGGCATTAAGTCCGCCAATTGTACATTTTAAGTGCAATAAAGTTTTTTTAAATTAAATTAAATTAAATATAATAAGCTACACATTACGGTAAATGTTGTGTATATCTGTAATTGGCAAACATATTTAACCATATACATTTGTTATTGTGTTGTTGTTAATGTTTCATGTGTTTTGCTAGTGGTGTATCTTATAAATAAACAAAAAAGAAATGAAGAATTTATTTAAAATAATTTTAATTTCAATCTAATATACACTCTATACCTTATAATAATGTAGCAAATCACGTAAATGAAAATCGTACTAACTCTAAGAAATAAAGACGTAATAATTAGAACAGTTATACTGTAATCATTTGTATATTACAGCAGATAAAGTACAACTTAGCATAGTATTGGTGTTAGTCTTCAACAGCAGATGTATACTCACAGTATGTAGTTGAAGGCGATGTGCTTGGTGAGGCGGGGATTGGCGACGGCCAGCTGCACGTTCTCGGGGCAGTCGACACACACGGCGTGCCAGAACGTGAGCAGCGCCTGCTTGTTGGGGTGCACGGCCACCGACGGCTCCGAGATCGCCGGGTGGTACAGATCCCACAGGTCGTTGAAGTACTGACCAAACTGCACGAACATATCACTCGTTTCATTCACAAAGTCGATTAATCAACAGACAGAGCCTTGAGTAGTGGATTTTATCGCCAAAAATCAAGGTTAATATATATGTCACACATGAAGGTAGTCTTTTTATTTTGACGGGGGGTCAACCAGTTGACGATATTCAATAAGTCAAGTATCTTAAATGAGATACCATCACTAACATTAGCTAATAAACAGTTAAATTTTTAGGATAATACTCGAAGATTATTTCAGAATGACCTTATTCAGTAGTTACGTATCACACTTATATAGACCGCGGTAACCGATCCACCATAATTTGTGTGGTAACTATTATTATACTCAAACATCAATTAACAATAAAAATGAAATTGGTTTTTTGTAACTCTTCCACAAAAAATTTAAAATACACTCAACTATTTGAAATAAAAGTATATAGATAGAACAAACCATTAACTTTTCCACTCGGCTGACGACGCAGTACGACATAACCCCGAAGTACGCCGTTAGCTTCATCGTACCATGGACGGCGATGTCCGTGTACTTTTTCGCTGCTTTTAATTTTCCAAGTAACATCGTGTACACCTGTACAATAAAATTATTATATCTTTGCAATTATGATTTCAATCAAGGTAAATTGATTATAATTACGATTTACCATATATTTTCACAACATTAAAATTTACCGAAATTAGAAAAAGTATTCGTAGCTCCCCCCAAAACTCATTAGCACGGGACCATTAACATGTGGAGATTAATGGCAAGCATACACACTTAAAGTAATGTATAGAAATTATACAGAGGGTCCAAGTATTTCCCTAATGTCCTACAAACTATTCTTGGTCAGACACACTTGTTCGTTTGTTAACCTGTTTAGGTCAATCACACGCATCAGGTGGTCGGAAATTATGCGAATAATATGGGTCACAAATAATATAATATTTAATATTATTTGCATTCTGAGTACTAAGACGAAATGCTAAGTCTAGTTTTCAACACTCATAACACGAGTCACAGCATCATTAAGTTGCTATTTTACGGTGGTATTCTGTGAAAACGTCATCCAATTCCCGGTGAGGTTGGGCCATCATTGCAGTAACAATGTCTTCGTGAATTTCGGTCACGGTTGCCAGTATTAACGTAGTTTTAATCATTTGCGCAGGACAGAATTATACTTATAGTGCCCGAGTGTAAACGCAAACATAGGAGCACAACTCTATTCTTTTAATATCACACTCCGATGGGATGGTAATTCGACACGACCAAAGAGATCAGGCGCAGAATTAATGGATATATGTGCTTTTTGAGGCTCGGGAGTGAAGCACTGTCAATTTTCTGACTCCGGGCTGTTAATGAAAACTTATTGACAGAAAACTTATTAGCTGATTTTGATTTTGACGTCTACCGGTAGTAACTGCTAACGGCATTATTGTAGTAGTAAGGAGGCACTCCCTTGCCCCTAACGGTTTTCCGCTTTGTTTTGGCGGGAGGATGTAATAGTCGTGGCTTGGTCAACCATGGTGAATTAAGAAGGCCATTCCAAGTGGGCTCGACGTTAGACGCCGCGGAGGAAGCCCTTTGTGTTTCGGGTGCGTCTTATTTGAGAAAGCGAAGAAGTCCTCCTCTCCCGTGAGTGTCTGTTATGGGGTGGTCGGCACTGGTAGGGGAACGCGGGTGTGTGCGAAAGCGTTCCTGTGGCTCCGGCAATATGCGGCGATGCGAGCACCACGGGATTTTAGTCGGTGCGAGATTTTTTTATAGGATAAGGATGACAAACGAGAAAGGGTGACAAAAGAGTCCGACGTAATCCTTGGTAAAGAAATCCTTGGAAAAGGTAAAGAGTGAGCACCTGATGCAGCGCGTGGTGCGCAGTGTCGGGCAGCTTAGCGAGGTGCGGGTGCGGATGCGCGGCGGGCGCGGGCGCGGGGGCGGGGCGGGCGCGCGCGCGTAGCCAGCGCGGAAGTGCTGCGACGGCACTAGCGCCACCAGCAGCAGCGCGGCCGCCGCGCGAACGCGCGCCGCGCCCGCGGCCAGCAGCTGCTGCTCCACCCAGCGGTCGGCCGTGCGCAATGCCCACGCGTGCGCCGCCTTGTTGCGCGGCACCTGCACGCACACTACCGTTAAACCTGACAACTTTGCGATGTTTGCAAGGGCCTCAAAATTTTCATACATTTAGTATTTATTAGTGATTTAAAAAATACCAACATTAAGAAGAATAAATACCCAAAAATAGAAAACAGCAAAGTTAACCTTACTTTGTGACGAATTTGCCATTAAGATTTTAAATGAAAATAATAGGATTTGACTTCAAAGATGAAAGTAAGTCTACCATATAATATAATACACGTAACAAAGTTAACGTTCTGTAGTGGAAAAGTTGCTCTCCCGTTACACACTAATTTTCATACAAACTTAAAAATATGCACCAAGGTTGTCAAAAGTCCTTAACCCAAGTTTTTCTTGTCACAATAATTCCTTATGCAAAAATGTAACATATTATAATAAACATATATACTCGCCTCTAAAATTACAAAACAAATCGGCGCAAAAATAAGATTAAATGAATTATAGTATAGATCAAAAATAAGCCCTGTCACAATCATTTTAACAAGTATTTGTTTCTTTTAGTCATCATCATTATTTTATTATGATCAGGTGAAAAAAATGTTGTAACCAAGCTATATATTTTTTAAAAATGAATCTGTGCTTTGGGTACAAATCAATATCAACGCACTAATTTGAAAATATGAAAATACTAATTAAATAATATTAACCCAACAACACAGTGAAAATAATATAGATTTCTCTTTTCTTTTCCTTCACTTTGATAAAGATAGATAAAGTAATGCCAACTTATTTGTGTGGATTATGAAAATAATTACTTCGTTGAATACGATTTAAAAACTCATTGTATTATGTTTACAATTCACTAATTTAAATTTTGTTGTGCCCATATTGTGGCCGCAATTCCTTAATTACAGCGATATACCTAAATATTATACGAGACTATATTATGATGTAAATTTGCAATGCCTGTAAAATTATACCAGTTGTTCGCGAATATTACCTAATTATGTCAAATATGTATGTTGTATATATGCATCATACTAATTCTGTTTTGACTTCAAAATTTCTGTAAGGCGAGGGGATTTGGCCACCCGACACACCCATAGAATATATTTATTTCGACTTTTGTAATTATATTTTTATTAGACTCAAGATTTATATTTATAAGCTAAAAAAAAATAAACGTATTTTTTTATATTTTTGGCGGTGGGAGAAGTAGTGTAGCTGTAGTCCTCACGACAATAACTTGAGTGCAGTATAATTAAAGTCATAGCAAGATTATAACACGTCTCCTTTTCATTTAACACCTTCCAACATTACAATACAAACATACATATTAGGGTGGTCCTTAGTTCTCGACTTTTAAATTATCCCCGGGGCACTTTCTCATTTCAATATACATCTAAATATAAAATAAGTTCTTATTGTTTTTTTTTGTTACGATTTAGACGTCGCGCTATCAGCTGTCAAAATTTTTACAAAAAGCGTTGAAGGACAGCTTAAATGATGGTTTCATAAGTGTTTCATTTAGGTGTTTATGTCACATTTTACGTGCAATTGGAACTCGCATAGACAATCGTTTCTTATTCCTTCCACCCCACGACCGCTCTTCTGTACCAACGCGTCGAGATTTAATCCGTTCACACAATCAAAAACATAAGCCGTAAGACGTACAATTTAAGACGTAAGCGTGCGCACTAACATCATAATAAGTTAAAAATTGGTTTGTCAACCCTTCAATCGCCTTAAATTTCCAAGTCATCACATGCGCTTTAAACCATAAAACTTATATTTAGAGACTACTTTTCTATGAAGAAGTTTGGCATTATAGAATCTATACAAAATTCTCTATCCTTTGGTCTAAACAAATTCAGTTACTCTATGGATTTTTATTTTATTCTATTGTCAATTTGCGTCATTTGCTAACCATACGAATATGGCGCAATTTTACGGTAGATTAAAAACAAAAATCCATAGAATAACTGATTTGTTTAGACCACAGGATAGGGAATTTCGTATAGATTCTATAATGCCAAACTTTATCATAGAAAAGTAGACTCTAAATATAAGTTTTTATGGTTTAAAGGGCATGTAATGACTTGGGAATTTAAGGCGATTGAAGGGTTGACTTATTAAAACTGAAGTGCGAGACGGGTTAATGCACGCGCACCAACCAATTTTTAAGTTTTCATGGTTTTTAAAGTACTGTGGGTGGGTGCGGTCGCATGCGACCGCTGAGGATTTGACGGAATAGTGCTTCGATATCATGAGACCGCTAGGGGATTGAGCGGTTAACGAGAGTGCACGTGTTTTATTTGTAAACGTCATAGTAACGTGTTTCAAGTTACAGTGGCGTCTACAAGTAGCAGACTCAGTAAAGCTACTTCAACTGACTTCGAATGCGTATCAGAATTGACCGAAATGTAAGAACAATTACTTTCCAGTCTTGATGTCTCTTACTTGAGTGACAGACGAGCAACTATGGTCGTGACATCTACTTTGAAAAGTGCAGACTGTGGTCCATCAGAATTTAATGTCAATAGATCTTCCATTCGTCAGCAGCATGTGAAAAATCGCAAAGCTGTTTCAGAGTCTCTCAAAAGCGAGTTTAAACCTAATTCGTCATTAACAATCCATTGGGACGGTAAACTTACAGAAGATATTACTGGACACGAAACTGTAGATCGGCTGCCAATATTGGTGTCAGGACATGGAGTTGATCAACTACTCGCAGTTATTGGAACGTGGAATAAGCGAAGGATATGCGTCAGCTGTCTACGAAACTATAAATTCATGGAATTTGAGCGATAAAATAAAATGTTTGTGTTTTGACACTACTGTTGTAAATACCGGCTTATAAAGTGGAGTATAAGTTCCTTTGGAGCGAAAAATGGATAAAAATATGGTTAAGCTTGCTTGTCGTAACCACATAATGGAAATTATGTTGTCAGTGGTAGTGAATCATTCGCTTGCCCCATTTAGTGATCCTGATATACAATTATTTAAAAGATTTAAGAACAATTGGAACAATATTGACCTTAGCGACCTCAAAACAATAACAGATGACGCTGAGGCAAATATTCTTGCAGAAGTGGCCGCAGAGAGGATTTCTTTTGCCAAAAAGCAACTACAAGTACATCAACCTCGAAATGATTACAGAGAACTGTTGAATCTCACTATTACTTTCTTAGGTGTTCCTGAAAAAGGCGTTTTATATAGGAGACCTGCTGGTCTACATCGAGCTAGATGGATGGCAAGAGCCTTGTACTGTTTGAAAATTTATTTATTTAAGCATCAGTTTAAGCTAACGAAGAAGGATGAAAAGGCTGTGAGAGAAATATGCATTTTTATGGTGATGATTTATGTTAAATATCGGTTTCAAAAGCATCTACCGGATGGTAGCACAAAGGAATGACTTACAATTATCGAAAGACCTTAAAGCCTTTGAAAGCTTAAACAAAAATATGGCTACTTTTGCGCTGAAAAATATTCTAAATCATTTGTGGTATTTGTCGGAAGAGTCTTTCTAGTTTCGCTTTATTTTTTCAATGAAAAACTTTCAGTTCAAGATGAAAAAAAATGGTGGAAGCACTGAAAATTGAGGGCACAGGAGATTGCTTAAAAAGAATAAACCTTGATATCACACATATCGACGAAAAAAATATAGAAAACTTCGTGAATAGTAATTCCTTAAAATTCTTCCAGATCCTAGGTATCAGATCAAATTTTTTGAAAAAAGACGTGGAAACTTGGAACGAAGACACTGATTATGCGGCTGCCAAAAATATCGTTCATTCTTCGCGAGTAGTGAAGGACATAGCTGAGCGCGATGTTGCTTAAATGGAAGAATATAATAAACTATAATTGCAACCAACGAAGAACAAAAACAATATTGGTTTTTCTTGGTAAAAGAGTATAGAAAAAAGTACGTTAATACTAACGAGTCAACCCTTGTATCTTAAAAATAAATGATTCAAATATCTACATATCTTAATTCATAACAACAATAATTTTGTATAATTTTTTCATGTCCTGGCTATAAAAATAAAAGAATCTCACACACTCACTCATCACAAATACATATTTTGAGTTTTTATTTAAAATTAAAACTTTTGTAGCGACCTCTAAATGTCATTTAAAAAATAAAAAAATACTTTCTTATGGTATGTAATCAAATTTACGTGGTGCCCCGCGAAATTAAAAAAAATCTTAGGAATAAGACCACCCCAATACATATTGTTGCGCGCCTAAGTTGATGTCTGCTACCTGGCACTAGCGCCATCTAGTGCCGGGGACCAGAGCGAGGAGGGTTTCCTAGAAAATGTCAATCATGAATTCTCCCCCAACAGCGCCATCTAGTATCGAACAGAAGAATTAAGCTTTCTAGAAGCCCCACACTCGAACTTTCTGCGCCTGGTCGGTCGGCGCCCGTATTTACTGGAATATTCTAGATGTTTCGGTGGAAAAGGTGTATTTAAAGCCGCTGCAAGCCGCGATCGGGGCAGTATTGAATTTGGCGACACAAGCGAAGCTTCGGAGCGAAATATAGTGAATCAGTGTGATTAATTATTAGTGTTAATTTTGGTAATTCAATCGGCAGACGAACCTCAAGCTCGTAACAATATGTTCAGTTAAACCTAAGATTTACCAAACCATAATGGTAAAAGTCTGAACTGTTTTGTGGTAAATAAAATATAAGACACGGTTAGTAGTGACCTGCAGAGCGAGCCACTCGAGCGCGGCGTGCGGGCAGACGTCGGCGGCGTCCCACAAGCGCGCCAGCACCAGCTGCGTGAAGCACGGCAGGCCGCTCGACGCCGCACCACCTCCCCCTCCCCCGCCACCGCTCCCACCACCGCTGCCCTCCACCAACAGAGTCAGCAGCTTGAACAGCGCGCCGCAGCTCTGTCATACCAAGAAACTCAATGTTAATTACAAAATATTTTATTCAAAGGTAAATCAATCTTTATTTTGTATTGGGTGCGTTTGGCAGAAAAAAGCGCTAGCAAACGCTTGTAAGCAAAATGGCGATCGTAAGCGGTAAGCGCTGTCAAATCGTAAGTAGCTATTTTCCTCTAGGACACGAAATTAGTTTTAATCGGGGAACCTAACCTAATTTAAATATATGTTTGTAAAGTATTCATATTAAAAACTTACCAGTTATGAATTTTTAATAACATGTATAATATGTTTATACATGTCATAATATTACTTAAAACTAATATTGCACAAAACAACTTATAAACTCTACTTCAAAACAAACAAATTTCATGAGCAAAATGGCGGATTGTGTCAGCGCCACTGAAGTTAGCAAACGTGTCCTGGTCGAAAACTGTTTAGTTTCGCCATTTTGCTTACAAGCGCTTGCTAGCGCTTTTTTCTGCCAAACGCAGCCACTGTTTATTGTTTCGTTTGACTATAATGTTGATCAATGTCATCCCTAACGATAGTTTAATATATAAATCGACCGTTCTTTTTCTTCATTTGGGATTATTAATTAACTCTTACCTCAGAATGTTTAGCGATTGCTTGAAAAATCATGTTGACGATCTTTTGCGCTAATGCTTCGTTCCACCGGCAAAGTGCGAAGATAAGCGACCGTGTCTGTTGCAAGTTTAAACAGTCTCGAGTCTGTTGGTATATAAATGGAAACCCCTGTGAAAAGAAAACAATAAGGTTAATTGAAATGAATGACAAGAAGTTAAAATTAGTAACATAGTGGAATAATATGCAAATTAAAAAATATACAGCAGTTTTTAATTAAACCTAACATCTGTAAAAGACCATACTGTTGGATATAGTATAGAGTCTGGGTATTCATAATTGCCCCATTTCTTGTAATTGTATTCTAGCCTACTATCGATTTTATTGCAAGAAAGTGCCTTTGTATATAATGTTATGTCTTAAGGGTTTTGAGCGCCAGTATAATAATCGAAAAGGCTGTGAGATATTATATCTTAGTCCACATCAGTAACAACGTATCTAGACTGCAGTAAAACATACCATCAACAGGAGTGTAAGTTCGTTTGTCACTTACACTCGTAGACAGAGAAACCTATAGACAAATTGACGCCTTCTTTCGCACTCGCACACGAAAAAGATAGATTTATGCATACGTCTTGCATAGAAATGAGACAGAGCGGTGTGATTGTTTGTCCCTTTCTTCGTTTTGTCTCTATGTTACTAATTTTAACTTAGAGTGCGCTAGTCGGTAGGTATATAGGCTCCAGCTCCAGCTGCGCACAGTGACACTCACCTTGGCATGCAGCAGCGCGCGCGCGTCGGGCTCGGGCAGTGCGAGGTGTCCGCTGGCGTCGCGCGAGCGCTCCACGAGCCCGGCCACCAGCGCCACCATCTTGTCGAGCGCGCCGGGCCGCAGCTTGTCTCCACTCTCTGTCCCTCCACCAGCACTAGCCCCGCTACCACCGGCCTCTTCGGATGGAGACTCCGCCTATACAACAATACTCTATAGTCACTCATCGTTACCCTCAGTTAATCCAAAAACTATGGAAAATATCTCCTAATGTTCACCCCTTGTAGTGTCCCGTAATATAACAAAAACAAAAAGGAGTTGGCCATAGGCACATTTTTGTACATGTTGAGCGTGAAAACGAACGTGGTTGAAGTTAGGAACACTAGAAATATGTATGAGTTAGTGTTTGGCTTTTGAGTAAAACCAGACTTTTGAGTAACTGCCAGCGAATACTACTCTATTATACTGACTGAAGGCTAAGGCCAAATGTCTCTTGACCTGTGATTATACTATAGTCAACCAAATCTAAGAAATACATTTTGACAGCTGTCAGACTTATTGCACCAAGCATGCCAACCAAATAATGGGAACGTACAGTATTCGATTCTTAAAAAATCGATATCGATTATTTAGAGTTGATAATCATTTACAGTTTGGTTTGAATAATACCAGAAAACGGATAATTTAAAACACAAGATGTATCAGTTTCTTCGTATTCTTTGTTACTATTTATTTACAGAGGCACAGTTATAAAAATTTAAGATTAAAACTCGAGTAAAAATAAATTTATTCAATCACTTTCAGTACAACTAGTAGAGATGTCGTGGTTTATATTGATTATTATTTGACTTTCAATAATGCAGTCAAAATTAATATCTCTTTCAAAGTCATCCATAATCAATATTTTTGTTTTTTCTACCGCTTTTGCCCAATCATCCTTTGTGAAATGGGCACATGCTTCAATGAATTTTTTCTTAGCATTGGGTGACAAACGAGCACACAGTCTACCTGATGGTAAGTGTTGCTATGGCCCATAGACATACATATTTATCCTCAATTAAGAATCAAAATGCAAATGCGTTGTCACCCCTGAAGACTAAGATGGTATGCCTCGATTCCAGTAAAAAGGATCTCCGATTCTCTAAACTCACCATACGAAACACAGCAGCATTATGCTGCTATTTTACGCTGGTATTCTGTGAGAGCGTGGTCCTGCCCCGATTGAGATAACCCATTCGTGCTACAACTATAATATTGATGTAGCGTGGCTCTACCACGTACAAGAAGTTATTATAGAAAAAACAATCCAAAAAGTTAAAGCCGAGTCACAAAATCACAAAATTACGCCCAGTAAGCTCTCGTAACCGAAACAGAAACTTGTTTGTTTAATATAGATTATGAATAATACTTATTGAGAGTACAATTTTTTCATTTATCACTGGCTCGCAAAAAACACCTCTGTACTGGGAAGAACCAGCAAGAAACCCAACGGGACTAGTTTTTTTTTTTGAATAAGAGCTTACAATCACGCCTGTTACAATTGACAACACAAAACAAATTAGAAATAGCTTGGTAGCGATCACCCTTCCCAGGGGTTATTATCATCCATAAATTCCTTAATATTAAAATAACCCTTTTTATACAAACTTAGTTTAATAAAGTTTTTGAACTTTGTGTACTTAAGTCAAATTTTGTATATTTTCTGGCATTTTGTTGTAAAGGCGTATATATCGCCACAAGAATGAATGACTGACTCTGTGGAGTCGAGTAACTGTAACCGAAATAGCGGCGGGATATTGAAATTATGTAGTGTTTATTTTAGCACATATGAGGTTTTTTGTCCTACAAAAACTTACTTTGACAAAGTAAAAACAATAAATTGTTTTATTCATGTAATTTATGGAATTTCGAAAATAAAATTTGATTTAACAAATAATAAATTAAAAAATTAATTATGCGATTATTTGAATTTTTTACCGATTATTTTAATATTTTGCCGATTATTCGTATAAAAATGAATTTTAATTATCCAAACACTACGGTAATGTACATAACGATATATCATTGAAACGACGTAAAGTAAAAAAAGTTAATACTGGTTATTTTTTAATATTTTGCTTTGTTTGAAAGATTCAAATTTAAATTAGTGATAAAAAACTATACACGTTGTAATGAAATATAGATAACTTCATAGTTCTTTGGATTTACGTAAAAGGTTATTTTAAAACGTGCGAGTACGCTTGTGCAAAGTTATTGCGGAATGATTAATGTGAAACGTCAAAAGGTATTTCTTAGATTTGGTTGACTATAACAATAATATTTCATATTGCACTAATGTTGATGGCAGAAGTAGGTAAGAGGTACCTTACGGATGCCATGACAGGAAACAACCTTATCATCTATTATATTTAAATCAAAAATTATATTTGTGCTTCGTCTATCATCACTTAAGGCCGAATACGAAGAGAACTGGCGAAAATTAATGTATTTCTCTTCACTAGAACTTTGATCGGAAGTAATTCTAAGCGTTAAAACATTTTTTGTAGGTTTGTTCGGTTCCTTCACAAGGTGCCCGCCGTTTTAAAATTTTAAAATAAATGAATATACCAACAAATAAAAAAATGTTAAGAAATGATATTTAAAAATTATTGTTCTTCCAAAACTCTGTAAATTTTAATGTAGGAAAAATTATTTTACGTAAAAATGTTTGTATTGTGATTCTGAAGGTGACTGCCGTCTTTATTTTCGATACAAAATACTATTTATTAACATAATTCGTTTTAATTAAAAAACACCTAATAATATCGTATATTGCCAGAAAAAAGTTTGCCGTAATAAATTACCAGGCGCTTCGACGTGTGGCGTAAGGTGACAACAGTCGTTGTGTCTGTAGCGAAAATCGTTAATTTAGTGTTTTATACGCGTTTCAGTGACCATAAATGTGAATATGGGTAGGAAAAGAAATAAATGTTACCTAAGTGGTAAAACAAAGAGAGTTTATCGCATGAACGCTGGTCGAATGTTGTAAGTTTCTTTTTGAGGTTACTTATATTTTTTGTAAGGTACTTTTTTGTTTGAGGCTGCCTAATAGGCTGCATTTTTTCTCATTTACATTAGCCAAACTGATCATTTATACTTTTCTAGGCAAGTGAGAAACACTAAAAATGTAAATATCACGACCGAGTCGGAAAAGAATATACAGAGTAGTGCAAGCACAGAGACCGCAAATAATGTCATAGTCAATGTATTGTCCGAAAGCATGGGGTAAGTACATAATTAAGAAAAACCGAAATACCTGATGTGAAGTTATTGACCAGTCGGAGTAGTCTTGTGAGAATTTACATACACAGTACCTATCCCCACTATGGAGCAATCACCGACTTTTTAGTTTTTTTTTTCTTTATTATTTATACAATTTGCATTACGGCATCTTGTAATACTCACAAGAACAAACATTTTCAGTTATATGAGGTTCTTTACGTACGATGCACCAATTAAGAAAAAAAAATCGATATCAATTCAATAACTTTTCGAACAATATTTTATAACGAATAAAGTACAGAATTTATAATCTATAGGAACTAATATTATAAATAAGAAAGATTTAATTAAGAAGTAAGCAATGCTCTCTGTGTTATTCATTACTTTGCATACTGAGCTAGCTCAGTCGTACGGGCTTTGATTATACTATACATGTCTATATAAACAAAGCGTACGGGTAACACACGTAATGTTCGATAGACGGCGCGTGGTTTGTTGCGAAACCAGCAAGGTCAATCGCGCCGTATTGGCCTTAACAATTCTAATCACAATTAAATAATGTCAATACAATACATTAAATGTTAAACAATCAGATAGTAGGTTTAAAATGCAAACAAATTAATCAAAAACTATTTAAAATCAATGCAAGTTTGTATAAACTATCAACAATGAATGCCATGTTCCCAATATTGCATCAGGAATTATTTGGATACATTTTTGTATGTGCTCCGGAATTATTTATGATCTTACCCACAAAAACAAAGTTATTCAGATTTTAATAGTTGAATGCATTTTTGTTTTGACAGAAGCCCTATTATATTATATTATATGGATCATTTCTGCATACGAAGGTCTAATTGCAGTATGTAACATACAGTAGTAGCATGAATAAACTAGGAAATAAGTTGGAGGTCGTAAGCAAGTCTACGTCACTAGAAAAGTAGCTTAAATTAGCGGCATTGCGTTGTAAATATATTGGCGAAAACTGAACATCTAATTTAGTGGTACTTCTCAGAGATGACAAAACCATCTTAAATATTACATAAATACTTAAGTAACAAATGATACACAAATTGAAGGATAGATACCAAATATGTTACTAAAAAGTATAACGTGTCTACTGTATACATATAAAAAGCATTATTCCTTTAATCGTTTACAACGGCTAAGCACTTACCGAAGCAGAATTCTGTCCGAGATAGAAGCTGACCATGCTTGAAATGGCATTGATCCTCAACATAAATTTGCCTTCTTCCTCACCCATTTTGCTGAATTCATACAACAGACTAAAGTACTCCGTCAAGTGTCGCAGATGTGATCGCGCACCATTTTCCATCTATCAAAATAAAAAAAATTATAATAATTAAATTTAATCTTAAAACGATACTAAAACATAATCTAGCAATATATTGAAACATAAGAAACTTTCTTAATTTCTTACTATATTTGTTCAACTTAGTTTGGTTTATCATCAATAAGCAATATAATAAAATTTAAGGAGTAAAATGCGTCCTTAATAAGCCATTCTTTCTTTAGCGATATATTACTTAAATAGTTTATTAAGGTGTTCCTTTGTAACTAAAGCGTTGATTGCGGATATAGACTTATTATAAAAATAATTACCAATGAGCTAGTGAGATATTTTTAATTTTATGTTTATTTCTCAGATTATTAATGGACAGATATACCATTTCATTTAATATTGTCAACTCCCATATGTACTCACCAACGATAATAACATTCTTATAAACCTAGTAACACAACTTGCTTCACCCAATTTACTATTATCTTCCCCTTCCTCCATACCCTGCAGGTATAAGGCACAATGACTAGATCTGAAATAGGGTTTTCAAATTTACGATTCAGTTGAAATTAGATAATGGGTGCGTTTGGCAGAAAAAAGCGCTAGCAAGCGCTTACAAGCGCTAAAATAGTTTTCGGCCAGGACACGATTGCTACTTCAGTAGCGCTGACACAATCCGCCATTTTGCTTATGAAATTTGTTTGTTTTGAAGTAGAGTTTATAAGTTGTTTTGTGCAATATTAGTTTTAAGTAATATAATGACATGAATAAACATATAGATGTTATTAAAAATTCATGATTGGTAAGTTTTTAATATGAATACTTTACAAACATATATTTAAACTAGGTTAGGTTCCCCGGTTAAAACTAACATCGTGTCCTGGAGGAAAATAGCTACTTACGATTTGACAGCACTTACCGCTTACGATCGCCATTTTGCTTACAAGCGCTTGCTAGCGCTTTTTTCTGCCAAACGCACCCAATGATAATAGTACATTACAATACAAGGGACTTAAGTAGCCGATTGCACTAACTTTACACGTTTTAATAATCGGCTACTTAATTTCCGTGTATCGTACATTATTTTATAGTACAAGTGACTTAAATCCACTTTTAATGGAATAAATTGTTGAACCGGCCATCTCGTGGTTGTCTTTGACTGTCACTGACTGTCGTGATACGAATTTATTTTGTTATGGGTTTGTCATTCATATCGTGTCAAAATATAAATTAAAATTTATGCAATAAGTATTGATTAGCAGCTCAGAAAGTGAATTCAGTGATGATTTCAATGCCAATATTGTTTCAAAATGATTTTCGAGAAACTGCCAAAAATGTTACAATTTGTTGCCCGCAAAATCTAAAAGGTTATATGTGGCACACTTAGTAGTATAGTAAGCCCATGGGCACGCCATAATTTGTTTAAGAAGTCGTGTAGGATGTTTTATTAGCCTATTTTGCTCATCTTTCGGAAAGTTATGCTCCATCTAGCTTATGGGCTATTTATTAGACTATAAATAAATTAAATAAAGTATAAATTAGCAATTATAAAAGGTTAACGATGTTTATAAAGAAAAAATCTACAGGATAGTATTTTCTAAAGAAAATGTTAACAAATTTCTAAATAAAGCACCCGATGATATTTATGTAGGCTATAAGGTACAATTAAATATCAACCTTAAGCTTTAATTACACGGGACCAAAGGTGCAACAGAGTCGATTTACAGAAGTCTTGTATGACTCGGATGTTGGCTTATATAAAAATGATTTATCAAACCTGAATTCACAACGGTTTTATTTTTTTTGGCAATTGTAATGTGACGGTAAATGGTGGCAATAGTAATTGTGTTTTTATTAATTGTACTTTTAAAAGTACAGTTTCAGCTAAAAATTTACAAAAAATTTTAATGAATCTATGTTAACCTCTAAACCGCCAAGCGGTCTCATGAGACCGCGGCCATATTCCGTCAAATCCCTAGCGGTCTCATAAGGTCGCACCCACTCACAGCACTATAACCCATAAAAACTTATTATATATATAATGAGACTACTTTTTTTCTATGTAGAAGTTTGGCAATATCCTCTCAACTGCGGATGTTTTTTTTGTGTGTGTTTTGTTATGTGCAAGACTTGGACACGAAAATATCTCCATTGACTGCGGGCGTCCAAGTGTTAGACATTTTTTACCCGCTCTTTTAATGAAGAAACAAAGCATTATGCGCTATTTCTAACTCATTCTACCATATGTCAATGTGTACAGGATAAAAAAGGCTAGCATAAAAACCCCACAGCTTATACACTTTAGTAGTATATTTTATTTAAATCATTCTTAAATGTCGTCCGTTCCTTGAGTCAGCCATTAGTGTGATTGACGCGCGCTAACATCGAAGTTGTTTGTAATTATTTTGTATTAATTTATATTTATTGTGTGGTGAATTGTGTTAAAACAATGCCTGGGTAAGTAACCTAGTTATTTATAATCTCATTTTGTGTTTTATCTTATTAAGTACGTGTAAAATCGTTTTTTAATATGTATAAAGCAAACTGCTATCTTAGAACTAACATGCTGGTTGAGGAAAGTTGACTTGAAATGTACGTAAAATTTTAGTGTTGACTGTCAGTTTTGTGTAGACTCGATTAGCATACACATGTGTACCAAACATAAACATCGTACGCTCGCTCGATTAAGATACACATGTGTACCACAAGTACTACCCTTTGAAAAATAATTTTTTTAATTAAAACAAAACCAAAGACACTATGCAATAGATAATAGTATCAAAGACAAAGATATGCTCTTTTATTTTAAACCATAACCTGGCAATGTTTCTTAGAAAAAAAAAAAAAAGAAATCACTCTGAACTTCCGGCGTTCCACGTGTCACTTTGTTGAAGGTGCTCCATCTTTTTTATAGAATTTTATATTTGTGTCTGGACTAAAAACGAAAGTATTATACTTTTTTATATTCCTTGTAATATAGTAAACACGTAGATATGTAATTTGTGGTATAAAAAGTGAAAAGTAAAATGCCAAAAGTACTTCAAATTCCGGAAAGCCCGTTTTGGCAGGTGAGTTATAAATGTGTTATTTTTCAAATTCTCATTTATTTTTAGTGTAAAATGTAAGTAAAAATAGTTTTCGTATATATTTCAAATAACATGACGTTGTATTTATTTCAAATTCACACAAACATATTTTAGAAATATTGTTCGAAATGTCATACAGATAAAATATTTTTTTTTTTTAATTTTTATAATATTTTAATATTTTGGTATGAGTAACGAATGGAAACACATAAAACATAAAAATATACATGTTTCCAAACATTTTCATATAAATTTCTCCAAAAACAAAAGTGTAGAATTCAAATTAGTAGTAATTTTGGCACTAAAAGTGAAGTATATACTACTACTTATGCTATAAAGGGTAATTTATGAATTTTATTATAATTTCTAACAACCAAAATAATTTTATTCAATAGTTTATACATTCAACAAGAATTCCTGTAAGTTTTATCCATAAATATTGTCTCAAAGTGAAAATATAGCAAAATTTGCAATATAGCAAAAAAATTTGCTAATTTGCAAATTTTCCCGCCAAAAAGGTCGCGAGCGAACGGGAGTGTCATATTACGCGTGGCCTCGCGAGCTAACAGGTTAAAATATGTGTAATCGTTTATCGTTCACAGTTTTAGTACGTCAAAATGAGGATAAAGTGCAATATTTTCAAAATTTTAATGTAAATACGCAATAGGTGCAATAGCTCCATTTTTGAGACGTCCGCAGTAGTGAATTCTAGTTCTCTGTTTTGCGGGTGGCGAAAAAAGGAACTAAAGTTTGCCATACTGCATCAAGTTCAAATTCGGTTGAATGGTTAGAATGGTAAAGAATCTAGCGCCCTCGAGCAGAGAAATGGAGCTTGGTTGACTCCACGATTATTCGATGATTTATGAAAAATTGAATGTGGCATTTGGATATGTCATGTATGTTAACACAAGACTTCGGAATTTTTTAAACAATTTATTAAATCAGAAAATTAGAAAGTATTTACATAATATGCTTTTTAATATTTTTATTTTAATACTTTCTAATATTTAATATTTGAAATTTTTATTTTTTAGTTTACCTATTATGAACAGGTTGTGGTTTTTAAGGTCACCTCAGGACACATATTTCTTATATTGGTTTTTTTTTAATGTACATTGTATCTGAATGTACTTTGCAAATCGTGTAACGTTGCATTATGTTTCAACCTAGAGCAAGATTGCTGCTACCTACAGTACCATTCGTAAATGAATTGTACTGTAGATACAGTAAATCCAACAAGTACCAGGAGCCTTTTAAAGAAATGAGTACCTATGTTATATATTTATTCAATTTTATACTTATGTCCATCCATCCATTTAGTTTTTATTGTTGCCTAGCTATAATTTGTTCAGCTAATTATTTCAGACTATCATCGTCGAAATTGTTAAGTTAGTTAAGTTACACAGTCTATTTCCGTCCCACAGCTGGGCCTTCCCTCACTTCTGAAAGGGTTTTAGGGCAAAGAAGTGTCCGCCGCGCTGCCCATATGCGTGTTGGCGAACTGCACATGCCTTGGAAATATTTTTTACTTATTTCTCAGACAGTCAGACTTCACCGCCGAGCAAGAGGTAAATCAGCACTTAAAATTGCAATTAATAATTTCATTGATGCCGGCGGGGACCGAACCGGGTGTGCTAGCGTACTGTGAAATTTAACGCGAGAGCTAATAATCTGAGCTACCATGGCTCTCATCATCGAAATGAATTCTTAAGTTGGTTAAGTTACAGCCTTTTTACGCCCCACAGCTGGGCAAAAGGCATCCCCTTATTTCTCAGAGGGTTTTAGGGCAAAAAAGTTTCCGTCGCGCTGCCCCAATGCGTGTTGACGAACTTCAAATGTCTTCGAAATATTTTTTTTTCTTATTTCACAGACGTGCAGGTTTCCTCACAATGTCTTTCTTCACCGCCGAGCACGTGGTAGATCAGCACTCAAAATTGCAATTAACAATTTCATTATTGCTAGCGGGGATCGAACCCGGCTTGCTAGCGTACTGTGAAATTTACAGCGAGAGCTAACCATCTGCGCTACCACGGCTCTTCTGAGCCACCACGGTTCTCATCGTTGAAATGAATACACCTCTTTATTTTGTATGTTTTTTTTTCTATAGGATAGGGTGACAAATGAGCACGCAGTCCACCTGTGGTGGTTGCTGCAGCCCATAGATATCTGCATCTATCCTCGATTACAAATCAAAATGCAGATGCGTGTCACCCGTGAGGACTATGATGGAACGCCTCGTTTTCAGTAAAAAAGGCTCTCCGGTTCTCTACACTCACCATACGAAACACAGAAGCATTAAGCTATTATTTCACGCTGGTATTCGGTTAGAGCGTGGTCCTTCCCCGGTCGAGCCGGCCTATTCGTGCTACAACTATACTACTAATATAACTTCAACATAGCTCTACCACGTATAAAAAATGTTTTAATGAACTAGTACATGATGCACAAAAAAGGGCAGAATCGGACTTTAATTGTGGCATATTTTTGTATAATGCGTAAGAAGTGGGTTCTTTAAAAATATACATAAATAATATTTTTTTATTTCAGGAAGAGATATATTTATTTTAAATTTTTTATTTCGTAGTTATTATTTGTGTTAACCTTTTGAGCGCCACGCCAAAAACTCACTACCGTGTCCTGTACGCCAAAGCGAAAAGTAAACAAAAATACCTACGAAAAAAACAGTGCTGCCAAGAGTTGATATATCGATAACACAAAATAACTTGTTTTTGTTGGTTTTTTGTACAATAAATGAGTCTTTATAATCGGGTATGTTTTATTTAATCTTGTGCTGTCTTCCACTCTTTTTTATATATGTACTTTGTACATAAATAAAAAACAAACAATAACAATAAAATAGTAGTAAACCACAACACTACTCTCCGTCGTGATGACGTCACTGTCACGACTGGACGACAACGGCGTAGCTGACCTTTCTTTTTGAAACTTTCTTAGAGATGTAGCCGTGTCACACGTTGTGTATCGATTTCAAAATCGATGTTACCAAAATATACAGACATCTATTCAAAATATTTTATGGCAAGGCGTAGGCCAAGTGAATCACAGAAGAAAAGTCTTACGCTCTTATGATAAAGGGGGTTTCATATGATACTGATGTTGCTAAATGATTTTGAGATTGAGAAAGAAAATCGCACAACACAAAATGAAAATTGCTCTTCATACCTTAAGTAAAGAAAACACATTTATTATTTGTAATTTTATATTATTAAAATAGAAAAGGTACGTAATTATTCACTAATCAACAACTGTATATAGGTAATTATTCGCACTAGAAAAATCAGTCTTATAATATTAAAATCTTGGTCATGGAATAAAAAAATCAGTACTTATTACAGAAATCAACAAAGGGTACATAATTATTCAACAATTGTAAATAATTATTTGCACTAGGTCTAGTCATAAAATATTAAAATCTTGGTCTTTAACTCAATCAGTACTTAATATAGAAAACAACAATTAAAAATAATTAATAAATTATAGGTAATATTAGTCTTAAAATAATAAAAATCTTATGGAATAATAAAACATAAATGTTTAGCTGGCAAAAGCAAATTTTCTAACGTGGTAGAGCCATGCTGCAGTTATATTACGGGAGTTAGTAGTTGTAGCACGAATGGGTCGGCTCAACCGGGGAAGAACCACGCTCTCACGGAATATCGGCATCAAATAGTAGCTTAATGCTGCTGTGTTTCGTATGGTAAGTGTAGAGAACCGGAGACCCTCTTTACTGGAAACGAGGCATTCCATCTAAGTCCTCACGGGTGAGAGCGCATCTGCATTTTGATTCGTAATCGAGGATAGATGTAAATGTCTATGGGCCACAGCAACCACTTACCATCAGGTGGACTGTGTGCTCGTTTATTACCCTATGTTATAAAAAAAGAAATTAACCGTAAAAAGACTATAAAGTGTATTCCTACCTCATTGAGGTAGAGTTAATCGAAAACGAAAAACTTTGGTTTCACGATAATTTTAAATTTCCGAAAATTCATCATCGTCGACGCTTTCCAAAATCCGAATGAGTTCTGAGGAATCGTTCATGTTGCACTGCACTAATTTTCCCGCTAATCGCTTATGACGTCATCAGTGTGTCGTCTGTACTTGACCACGGCGCCCAGTGAACTGATTTTCGATGTCGCGCTAAGGATGCGCCAGAGTTGAGATATTAGATTTATTATGTGAAGATAATTTGTTAATTTTTTTTTTAATTCATGTAGCTAATTATAGTTTCATATTTCTAACCTTTTGTTTTATTTAAATATCAATAATAATAGAAAAAAAATAACACGTTTGAGCTTAATTTTGAATAGTTTTATGGCTAACGCATTACAACACTAGCGGTCTAACATAGACGACTTTGGCGTGCTGGACATAGTATTTGCTTAGATAAAAATCCATTTTTTTTTAGTTCAATGTTTCTTAGTACTTGTGGCTCTAGAAGACTTGTTTTTTATACTCACATGTTGCTGGGTTATTCTTTTTTTGAGGGGTGTAGAATTAAAATACCAGTAATAATTTTCCAATGTCTATATTTCATATTTTTGTGGGCCGGGTTTTTTGTCATCTATAGACGTCGTTGGCGCTCAGGGCACGCGGGTGCTGGTCACGTATAGATGACTTTGGCGCTCAAAAGGTTAAAGGAAATATGTTACCTTTTGGAGAAATAATGTTGTTGGTTATTGGAAATGTAACATAACCGCTGCGCACCTCGCGGCGCCTCTGTCACTCGACACATATTATGGTGCATTGGGTATTGTTTACTAAAAACGTTATTTATAACTCTACATCAGCGGGAGTGACCCTTGAGTGGTTTTATGGTTTTTAAAGGAATGAATGAATCTTTATTTCTGTACAAGTGTTGTTAAAGTTTGTTTGCTCAAATAAAGTAATTAATTTTTCAATAAATATGGCACTTACGACTAAAATTTTGATATCGGCATTAAGAGTACTTATGAGATTTCTAAAACTTAGCAAGACCTATTGAAAGATGACTGAACCATGTAAAGAAAAAGAGAGGTTCAAGACTCAGAGAATCATTAAAATGAAATAAAAAAAAACTATTTTTATTGACTAAAGCATTACGCCGCATTATGCCGCATCTGGTCCGAACTACATTCTACATCGGTGTAAGTTGATTGTGGGTTTTTGTAAGCTTATTATTAATGCGTTTTATGATAAAAAATTGTATTCTAGCCTATGATTTTGCACATAAAATATTGTAAACAATAGATGTAAGATTAAAATAAAATAAAATTGAACTATTAAAAAACTTTGTGTCGTTGAGAAATATGATAGTTTTGGCTTTATTCAATATTTATTTATACTAATTACTTAAAACTTTATTAAATATATGTACTAGCTTATAGGAAATTTCATAGAGAATTCAGAAATGTATACATATTATAGTATTCGATATACCAAAATCAAGATATTTGCGTTTAAACAGATTGGGCTCAATCAGCCGTTCATTTTATTAAACAGCTCCGCAGTCAACGGAGTACGGTTAGTCTCCGCAACTGAAAGGTTATATAATCAATATGACATACTCTATCCTCTAGTGCAATGAAAAAAACTGTTATCCTATGAATATTTAGTTATAATCTACGTTCATTTTCACACGCCATTTTCGCGTAAATGTTATTGTGTTGATTTTTGGATTTTTCTAGTGTTTTATGAGTTTTTAGTATAGTGTTTTATTAATTGTAATGAAAGTTTTTGTGTGAATATAATTTATCTTTTTACGTAAATAATTTCGAGTACTATTGTAATATTGAAATAATTGTGATTTTGAAATAATTGTGATTTTCACGCTACTGACATTCGCTTGGTATGTTTTTTTTCTTTGTTATCAAAATACAATAAAATCTTTTTGTAATGAAGTAAAACCTGACTTTTGTTTAGATCACAAGATAGAAAATGTTGTATAGATATTATTTATAATGCTAAACTTCTTCATAAATATAAGTTTTAATGGTTTTAAGTGCTGTGGGTAGCTGCGGTCGCATCCGACCGCCCGGGATTTGCCGGGCGCATGCGACTGCATGGGATTTTTATGGCGCTTGAAGAATTAAATATTTTTTATATTTCTTGATCAAATGATTAATTGTTTTGTTTGTAATTTAAAGTATTCTAGTAGATGTTACTAATTAAATTTCTTCTATTGTTCTGCATTTATTATTATGTTTAAATAAATGTTTAAATTTTTTTAAATATAAATTATTATAAATTTCATTCGTGATTGCAAAACATAACTAACGTACAATAATCGGCTAGTTAAGTCCCGCATGAGCATGACTTGAACGTGGTTTCAAGTCACCGTGTACTATAAAATATATTATGGCTTTACTGACTAAAACATACCTCAGCCTTTGAATTACATGCATACATAGCCTCTGGAACATTTGACGCACCATTTGATTTGGACATTTTATTAACACCTAAAATGGAAAACATGAACTGTTAGTGACAAAACAAAAATATTAAATAACTATGAAGTGAGATTAAATCATTTTGAACGTTGCCTGTTCTATATAAAAGTATAGTAATATCAGCGAGACGATATAGTGTTGCAAACAAAAACTTACCAGCTAGTTCTACTTACATATTTTTTTTAGTAATCGAAATCAAAATAATAATTATAAATATTGAAAACCGAAACTCTGATGACTCTCGTAACCGGAGCCACTTTTTTAATTAGCAATGCCACAGTAGTATATACATGATGTTACAGGCTGTTAGGCATTTCGTTTTAGTCGTCGGACGTGAAATAGAATAAGTGAAAGAATTAGTAAACGGCGAACTTTTTGTTCACCCTGTAGTAGCGGCTTAATACTACTACTACTATACACTGCCACATATTATCCTGTAAGTGTTGCAAGAGGCAAAAAGCGAAATGAAACAGAATATAGGCAACAGCATCTTTCCGATTACAACTCAAAATATCTGCCGTATGAGACAACCTATGGGGAGGTCTATGTTCCGCAGTTAACTGTTCATAGTGAAATTTGGACTTTTGATGAATTAATGAACTTGTAGTGTGAATGAGTTTCCGTGAAAATGCAATGCACTGTTAAAAGTTGCTCATTTTTTATTAAATCCCACATAACATTTAAGAAGTTATACAAAAAAAATTATCGAACAACATAGGGACCTTCAAGAAAAGAGCCTACTTCTTTTTATAAGGCCGGCGACGCATTTGCAATTCCCCTGGTGTTGCAGTGTTCATGGGCGGCGGTAATCACTTACCATCTGGTGAGCCGTATGCTAGTTTGCTCCCTCTACTATAAAAAAAAGAACAAGTACATAACAATCTTACCTGCATAGGCCACCAAGTGTCGTCCGCCATATGACCAAGGAACCATTCTGACGCAGCCGCTGACGCGTTGAACTGTTTTGTTACTAGCTCCACCCAAGACACCATAGTCGGCTGAAAAATCATTTAAGCGTTTACCAAAACTTATATCCATTAACAGAAATAATCGTGGGAAAAGTTTTGATCATTCTTAGCATCATAATGTGTATGGTTCCACCACACATTTTTTTAGTAAAGTTAGACACACGCGACGCGCGGCTAAAAGTAGATTGCAGCAACCTAGGTACTTTTAGCCGCGCGTCGCGTGTGTCTTTACTTTTATTATTGCAATCTTACAACCGGCAGTACGTCAACAACCGTCCTACTAAATAACAACTACTCAAGGAAACATTTGCCACAATCACTTTATAAATATTTCACTTTTTATAAACCTTTAAACTTTGGTGATGTTTTCCTTTTGACGTGCTCATCAACTAGCTACAACTCTACTTCTTGGAAGTGTATGGCCTTACAAACCATACATAATGAGAGCTATAATAATCTTCGGTTCACCAGATCTCGGTTGCGACAGAGATGAAACTATTTGTAACACAATGTCATATAACTGAGAAGTTGCGTTTGAAATAAACGTTTCTACAGTATGTGAATACAAACAAATAAATAATAAAATAATTTACCAATAGCTTTTAAAATCAATGCTTACACATAGTGTATCGACGAATTAAAAACTCGACCTCAGAGCCATTATAGGAAAGTCATTTTATTCAATATTCGATTCAATATTCGATATTAGCTATTTAGAATGTCGTTTAAATAGATTTAAAACTCATTCCCCTATTTACCCACCCTTCGGGGGTGATTTGATTTTATCAAAATTTATACTGAAACATCTAGAACCGGTATGGTAACTCGGTAAAAACTAGTTTAGTTTAGTGAAAATACCGACTTCAAGGAATTTTATATTGTAAAGTTTTCTTTTGTTTACACACTTTGAAAGTTTTAATATGTTTTCTTTATTATTACTTACCTTTCAATCATATTATAAAATAACGGCAAGAATTTAAGGCTTATTGACAGATATTTTTTTCTACAATTTTAAACAGTCATTCTTATATATGGAGAATTGTAAGGAAAATATAGGATAATATTATAGGCAAGGTGCTGTTGAAGATGTTAAGAAAGGTAGCAAGCAGTATTCACCTTTTCTTTAGCATGTATGAATGTTTCGATGAAGAAGGAAGTCGAGAGGCGCGCAGCGACCTCGGTGATCTCAGGTCGGAGCGTTAGTAGTGACTGTGGCACCGAACTACACATCTGTCCCATGAACCTGCCGAATTAAATCTTATTTGTTAAAGCTATATCTATTGATTAAAATGTTTATATAAGATTAGATTATTGTTTGCTATAGATTTGGGGAGCAAAATTAAAATTAGACCTCCGAATAGGGATTGAAGAGTTCAGTTGTAACACTAAAATATATTATTTAAATAAGGAAGCGGAATACGGAAAAGTATGGAGACAACAAGTCGCGTCCGGACCGCGCTCGCCGCCGGTCACGTCCGCCGGTCGTCGCTTCCGGCCGGGAGGGAGAAGTACAGCGCGTCGCTTCGCAGTAGGTGCACGTGCCGTGGGGCAAACTCGGCTTGCGTCGAGCCTCGAGGACGCACCATATCCCATACCGGGACGATACATACTCAATACTGCGTGTCAACCAATAAGCAGCACGCCTGTTGGTGACATCGGCTCCGCGTCGAGATCCGTCTCCGCGGGACCTGGAAGACGCTGACCCTGCGGCAGATCCCCTCCCAGAGGCGCGAGATACGCCAGGAATGCCTAGGAACTAGCCACGCCATCAACTAGAACTAGGGAGGTGTACCTGAGTCCCGGAGTGCTGCTACTCAGGAGCGCACACCTGTCAGCAAAATTGGCGCTACGTCAAGACCCGTCCTCTGCGAGACTCCGTGGGGCTTCGAGAGTGCTGACCTTTCGGAAGCACCGACTTAGGGGCTCGCAATACGCCAAAGCTAAGATTGCCAATAATGCCGTTCCTGAACGGCTCCCAGGACAGACGACATCGTACGGAGACAACAACAGAGCAGTGGTAGCTCAGGTGGTTAACGCTAGCTGTAAATATAACGAGTAACCTGGGTTCGATCCCCGCCGGCACCTATAAAATTGTTAATTGCAATTTTAAGTGCTGATTTACCACGTGCTCGGCGGTGAAGGAAAACATCGTGAGGAAACTCTCTGCATATCTGAGGAATAAGAATAAAAATATTTCGATTTCTTACGATGTTTTCCTTCACCGCCGAGCACGTGGTAAATCAGCACTTAAAATTGCAATTAACAATTTCATTGGTGCCGGCGGGGATCGAACCCGGTTTACTCGCGTTCTGTTGTATTTACAGCGGGCGTTAAACATCTGAGCTACCACGGCTCTTGATATTAAGTTTGTTTACCATTAATACAACTTACGTGAAATATGCGTGCTGGAATATGTTTTTATCGTGAAGAAACTGCATATTGTCATCCCAGATCCACTTAAGCAAATCGGGTGGCAACGAGACGGCTGGTGCGCTGTCACTGCACCGCCGCTCCAACGGAGAAGTGGCACTCGACTCTTCAGCGGTGGACGACTGGAATGACCACGTTACCTCATTATTATAAGACTTTATAATACATGGTAAAACATCCTTAATGGTCAATAAGGTATTGTACTTGCACAAGTGTAAATGTAAATATGACTACAACCCTCGAACTAGTTAGAAATTATTGCAGGTCAATAATGTAATTAGTTCAAATTAGAGTTGGACCGATTAGTACTTTGGCCGATTAGTCGGTTAAGAAATGGCCGATTAATCGGCTATTTCTCATTCACAATCTTTATTCAAGAATTAAGTGTTTTATTTTTGTTATGCAAAGGGAGAGACTTAATTTTTTTTTAAGTTTATTACGAATAACATTATTAATATTTGATTTTGTTCTGTTACTACTCTGCATTACGATTAGAAAAAGTTAAAAAGTAAAATTAATATAGTAAGTACTCAGATTTTTGTTTAGTTTTAAATAGCTACCTCAATTTCTTTTTTTTTACCAAAGTACCCATGTTCAGAATAATTAACATTAAAACATGTAAGACCGATTTTTCGATAAAAGTTATGTATTATTTGATTTACCTTCATATAAATCTGTCGTGATTTTACGCATGGGATAAAAACTAACCTTTGCTGAAATTAACAAAATAAAGAGCCGATTAATTGGCGGTTGTAGCCGATTAATCGCCGACTAATCGGTGACTACAACAGGCTGATTGATTGCCTTCACTGATTAGTCGGCGGCTAATCAGCCCAACTCTAGTTAAAATATATGCCTGTCTAAATGAATAAGGGATAAAATCCTACCTGTGCCTCTTCCTGCTGACCGCAGTCCGAACCGCGCTGCGCTCGCGGCGGACTCAGTTCGTAGAAAAGCATGTACGCACTGTTCGTCTTCTCGAACGAGAAGTCCATGAACTTATCCGTTACTGAATCGTATGTTTTACTCTGGAATAAAAACGTTAAAATAGAAATGACTTCTTACATTATTTCAAATATATATAAATTATATTTGTAAAAAATGTTTATATCATAGAAGAAAACTGTTTCTAGAGCGCGAAAAATGTTTGTTATCCCCTTAGTTATACCCTAATTATTAGTGGTAACTTTAAACATTATAATACGCAAAAAAATGTGGAGTTGATTTTTGCCGACATCAATTCTGAACCTTAGCGTATACCTTTATTTCCAAAGATCCTTCAAAGTTAAATTCGTTTTACAAGGTATTGTCAAATTGGTACATAACAATTATAATAAAGATATTAATTTGCAACCATCCGCTTAATTAAATGCAATGATATGTCTTACCTGGATTGAAGAGCACGTCCCGTCCTCCCTCAATTGCGTGCACTAATCCCGTTACCGCTACTCCCAGCACCACTACTCCCGCACCTCTATTCCGGGAGACACACCATCGACGACTTACGAATACGACACTTCCGCAGAGGCATCTTCAGATGTGACTCTACCGATGTAACGGGATTAGTGCACGCAATTGAGGGAGGGCGGGACGTGCTCTTCAATCCAGGTAAGACACACCATTGTATTTAATTAAGCGGATGGTTGCAAATTAATATCTTTATTATAATTGTTATGATGGATTTCCGCAAAGTAACGCCTGATTCTATCAAATTGGTACATACCGTCATCTCGCCGCCGAAGCACTCTGCTGCAATGTGCGCGGGGTCGAAAGGCTTGACCTCGGCGTCGTTGAACAGCAGCCAGCGGTCGGCGTGCTCACGCTCGCGCTCGCGAATGAACGAGTAGTAGTGCCCGCCGTCCGCCGTGCCCGTGTGTACCGTCACACCGATCAGCTCGTATCTGCAATTATATCATTTGACGTCATCGGTGTCACATTTTCTGGGTTTGTCTTATTAATACACATATTATTTTAAGGATGATTATATCGCTATATTTCTTTATTTACCAGGCAAAGTAACGATATAAATATCGAGTCTTTGAGAACTCTTATAGCGAATCTTAGGATTAGTTCATTCATTCGTTCCTGTATAGGATAGTTATATATTCTTTGTTCATTCCATAGACTGGGACATTCGTGTTGTAAAGAGAGTAACTTATGTAGAATAAATCTGTGTCAATCTTTTAAATCCTAGTTTATTTTATTTGTCTAAAAGTGAACTTTACAGTCTGCTACATGGTATAATCCGCGCGCGTTCCTTGTGCAACCTTTTGGAACTGAAGTACGCGCTGGCATGCGGCACAATATAAGCCACGAGCCGCGAGTTAAAGGAGAGAAAAATAATTTTGCTAAAATGTACATGAAAAAAAGGTAAATTTCATCTAGTTTTGAGAACATCACCCTCCTAACCACAATGGTGTGCATTATCATTGTTAAACTTTTCCTGCGTACTAATACGAAAATTTTTAAATAAAAACATACATACTAACTTAACTTTTAAAAAAAAGAAAAATGTGCAAACTAAAATGTTAAGAAGTGCTAATAACTTAATTCTGCGACGGCCAAGAACCAACTACGGCAAAAAGAACATCACTTATGAAAACGCACAACTATACAATAAATTGCCTGTAGATATCAAGGAAGCTAAAAGTATGCTAACATTTATCATCATCATCATCATCATCATTACTGCCCTTCACAAGTCCACTGCTGAACATAGGCCTCCCCCAAGTAATGCCACAAAGCACGGTCCTGAGCCACATGCATCCATCGACTTCCTGCATGTCTTACCAGGTCGTCACTCCATCTGGTGGGGGGTCGCCCTACACTACGCCTACCGGTACGAGGCTGCCACTCGAGAACCTTTCTTCCCCATCGGTTATCGGTTCTTCGAGCTATATGGCCGACCCATTGCCACTTCAGCTTATTAATCCGTTGGGCTATGTCGGTCATTCTGGTTTCACTGCGGATATCCTCATTTCTGAGTCTATCACACAGTGAAACTCCGAGCATAGCCCTCTCCATAGCTCGCTGAGCATCCTCATACGGCCAGCGGTGAAGGACCACGTCTCAGATCCGTAAGTCATCACTGGCAACACGCACTGGTTACATTTATAAGACTGTTAAAAAATAGCCTACAAAATCACAAACTATAATAACACCCTAACTACTTCTAAACAAAAAAAAAACTATCAAACAAATAAATATATAATAAACGAATAAATATTAAAAACCATCACTACGGTTACTAAATATCATTAAACATTCATATTAATAATTAATATAATATAACAATATTACAATAATTCTCGTTATGTGGCTATGCAAATCTAGCAAAGAATCTTTAAATCCACGTATCTGTATTCTCCTGTTATGATGGTAAAATTTCTACCCGCACTATTTATATAATTTTGTAACATAAAATATTTGTGTACTTTGCCTGGCACGCTCGGTGACCACTTACTACCTAACACTCATTATGTATTTTGTTTTTAATGTATTTCTCATTTAAGTGAATTTTTGTAAATTCTTATGAGAATAAACGTCTTTGATCCCAAACACGAGACTGTAGGAGCAAGGGTGTGACCTGGTATTCCTACAACCGTTTTATCCAAATAATATCCTGAACATGTACAATCTTCTTATATACAAAAATCAATTGCCGTCCGTTGGTCTCGCGAAAGACGAGAAAACGGCCCGAACGATTTTGATGAATTTTTTTTGTGTATTTATGTGGGTCCCTGAATGGTTTAAAAAACTCAGTAGGACCCGGTAAATGACGCTGTTGTCGAGGTCCAGGAATCACCCGTGCGATGCCGAGGCGGATCGCTAGTAAACAATATATTTTATACATTAAGTCAGTTTGTAGTTTATACTCAATCACATGTTACGGAAGGACAATGTTGTTTTATAAGATTCTCAGATATAAAAACACTACAAAAAGGAAGTAAAAAAGGTTAAAACAATATTTTCACTTACTCATAGTGTTCTTCAAACTCTGAGTTATCCTCACTCTCAGCACTTGGACTTCCCTCGCAATCTTTTTTGAGCTCTTCCGACTTTCTTTTCTCTTCTGAAAGTATATTTAAAATATTAGAAATATTTTATACGTGGTAGAGCCATGCTGCAGTTGTATTAGTAGTATAGTTGTAGCACGAATGGGTCGGCTCGACCGGGGAAGGACCACGCTCTCACAGAATACCAACGTGAAATAAAACCTTAATGCTGCTGTGTTTCGTATGGTGAGTGTAGACAACCGGAGACCCTTTTTACTGGAAACGAGGCATTCCATCTTAGTCCTCGCGGGTGACAACGCATCTGCATTTTGATTTGTAATCGAGGATAGATGTAGATGTCTATGAGCCGCAGCAACCACTTACCATCAGGTGGACTGTGTGCTCGTTTGTCACTATAAAAAAATTAAAAAGCATTGTAGTTAGGTACAACATAAATTAAAAGGACCCCCTTTTCTGTGTAGGAGTTCATGTAGGCTGGTCCACCCTCTTACTCATTTCTATCGCCAAGCAACAGTGCTTGCAGCGCTGTGTTCCGGTCTACAGGGTATAGGAACCAGTTCAGTTATGAGCCTCGAGGCGTTCCATCTTGCTACTCAAAAGTGACGACATATCTTCTCAACTAGCCTTCTTTATTCTGCAGGTGACCATGAGCTACAGTACCTACTTACCATCAATAGTATTATCAAAAAGTAAATTCACTAGTAACTTTAATTATATAAAAATAAATGCAGAAGCACTTCTAAAATACCACACACATAACAAAATTATATTGTGGAAAATAAATCACCCTTAAAAAGGTATGAAGTGAATATCAAGGGGCGTCCTCCTTTCTTGCGCCCTCCTTTCTGCCAAGGAGGGTCGCGTCCGTTTACGGCTTAAAGATCTCTCGTCAGATCGGTAAGCCAATCCCAAAAGGTGGAGTTTAGTGCGTAAAAGTCTCCACATAATCACGCAGCCGTCTGTGTGGTATGCTATGAGCATTCTCCACCTCCCTCCCCCGTTACCGGAGGGTTGCCCTTATTTGCTTCGGGCGCAAAAAAATCAAGGGCAAATTTTTTAGAAAGTTATGGTACAAAAGTCTGCACGAGGCTTCAATGCAGATGTCACATTTATTTTTGCTTAGTGTGCAAGTTTCCTTACAACGTTTAACTTCACCGTCCAGTAAGCTATTAATGATCACTTCAAGTTACAATTTCTAATCTACAGGCATTAAACTCGAATTGCTCGCCTACTGTAAAATGCCACAATGGCACTTACCAGCAATTGAGTTACCAACCCAAATAACTTTTTGAAAATTGAATTTAAACGATTTTTAAGTAGTAAAGAAAACTTCTCAGGTTAAAACAAACTTCCAGTTGAAAGTAAGTCTTGAAAATTTTACCTTGATATTGGGCAGGCATCAGATGTTTTTCTACATATCCGGACATATCTAAGCGCATGGGGAACGAGAAGTGCGTGTTGACCTTTTCTTTCAACATCGTCAGCATGTTGAATGTATATCGCATTGTGTTGAAACAAAGGATACGAGGCAGCTTCTTGAAGCACGCCCTGTGGAATAGTTAGAAAAACCTGTTATAATGTAAGGGAAAGCCAACTAAGTAAAATGTATATACTACACTTGCAGGATAAAATAGGGACTGTCAAAAAATCGTCAAAAATTAGAATTTTATTTTATTTCTTAATAATTTCATATCACGACCATATTTTGTTGAATTTTCCTCAAAATAAATAATACACAACGATATGAATGGCGGTATGTAAAGACAGTACCATAAATATTCTCGTTTAGAGAGTGAATTTTTCTTATATTCTTACCCCGCGTGTAATAACGAGCAAGCTCGTATAGTAAGCCAGCGATTAGTTTATTCGTCTTACTCTGCCGTAGGCAATTTTATTCCTACTCTTTTACCTAAAATTTGTAATTAATTTTCATATCAACATCGGCGCTCTACTGAAATTATCAAATTTTTTGATAATTTCATTCAAAAGAAATAAATACAATTATTGTTGGTAGCTTTAAATTTAATTAGTGTAATTTGAAACCAGAAAGTTTTTTTAATCTTATAGAACTGGCTTTACAATATGTGAACTCCATTTTTTTTAAATTTGTAACACACCTCTTCTCAGCCCGTACTTTTGCCGCACACTGCGAGCAGGTGTAGCAATTGTCGCCCTCCAGGGTATCCTTTACGGTGACTTCATCGAGACTTTGGTGCAAATTACGCATATCGGCGACCTGACACCGCACCGTGTAGAACTCCTCCAGTGTGCGGGACACGTGCGGACAATCCTACAAAACATATGCAAATCAAAAGCAAAAAACTAATCAGGTGCCCCTGACTTACACCTTAAAAGCGTGACAATTCCGACAAACCATCTCAATTAAAATAAACTAAATCCTAATCCAAACATGTAAAATTAAATCCCAACCCAAACATACAAGAGCAAGACTTCAAGATATTATTAGTTCATACTACATAGATAGGCCCAAAAATTAATAAATTTAATCTGAAGGTAGCCGTGATTAACTATGTAATCGAGACGTCGAAAATCTAATCCCCCCCCCCCGTGACCATGGGTGCTGTAAAGTTTATTTAATGTGTAATGTTCGCGTAAACATAAGAAATCATTACGTAAATCATCTCAATAATGATCATAGATTATCATAAATCAATCAATGATATAAAAAGATGAAGAAAGATCAATCAGATTCAGAATAAGAAAGAACAGAATCAGATCAATCAATCAATTAAGAAATCATTATAAAGATCAATCAGACTGAGCTAATCTCCTTAGTATTATATAGATATTTTCCAAAACTGTTAACATCTTTTATAATATTATATTTTATAACCAACCATATTAACCATATCTTCTCACTACCTTTTATAATTTGAAAACAAATAGCGAAAAAAAAATTAAATAAAAAACTATCACGTTTACTGGATGGTAATGACAGCAAATAATATTAACGCGTTGTAAATTTTTCAAGTAGTTTTAAATAGAAAATCAATATTACAAACGTAATATTAAATTAAACATACCAAAGAAACAACATTGTTGCTGAGCACTCCGCAAAATAGTGTCTTGACTAGCTTCTTAAGCTCGGGTGTCATTTCTTCTAGTTTGGAAACGAGATCTATAAAAAATTCCGCCATGTCCTTCTGTTCGCCCGTGTTCAGTGGCTGGTGGTCCATTTGATATACTTTACAGAAGCTTCGGGGATTGTAAGCCTTCCGTTCACTTTCCTATACCAATTTAAAAATTGTTTTTAAATTATCAATTTAAAAAAAAATAAACAGAAAAATGTTACATCTCTTAAAACAATGAACAAATAAAATGTAAAAAACATCACGCCCATAGGCTGCTTCCTGATCTAAAATTTCATAGTAGCCTAATGGATTAGTATTCTGAAGTCAAATGATAGTTTTATACGTGGTAGAGCTGCGCTACATCAGTATATTATGGATTTACACGAATGGGTCGGCTCGACCGAGGTAGGAGCACGCTCTCACAGAGTACCAAAGTAAAATAGCAGCTTAATGCTGTTGTGTTTCGTATGATGAGTACAAATAACTGGAGACCAATTTTACTGAAAATGAGGCATTATATGTTAGTCCTCAGGGGTAACTACGCATTCTGCATTTTGATTCTATATCGAGCGTAGTTGTAGATGTGTATGGGTTACATCATAGAATACTATAATACACAATAGAATGGCTGTCAACCTTATTTTGTAAGAGGGTCGGCGTTGCCGGGAGCACACAACATATAAGCAATTACGTCGTATTATCAGTACTACAAACTCGATTGGACAGACTGAGTAAATTTAAACATTTTAGACTTTTGTTTAATGTTCAAGATCATCATTAAAAACTGTTTTAAATTTTAATACATATTTATTTGTAAATATTGTGCAATTTGGCATTTTCTAAATAATTTGCATGCGAAATTTGGAAATGATTGTAACGTCAAAACACATCTCGTGTTGACAGTTATACGTGTGAATTGACATCTTAGTGGCTACACGGGCTCCGCTCACTGCTCCGGTTTATTATGAATGTGTAGTATATGGGCTACATCATCAGCTTACCATGAGATATCAGACATCTGTGTGTCCCTTTGTCATCCTTATTTTATAAATAACATGAGCTGGCTAGCGTAGGGTAGATATTCCGATAGATGGAATGTTGACCTAACAAAACAGGCAAGATGTCAAGAGAAATGTGGGTGGACGAAATTTAGATTTACTGGTCCGGGGATGAATTGAAATGGTGAGTGTGAAACGTACATATTTTATGCCAACTTAGCAGTCTTAACAATACAGCACTTTACGCGCCAGTACTCGGCGAGCAGTGCACTTCAAGCATTCATATCAAGCAGTCTTTACTTTATAATTTATAATACATATCAAAAATATCATATTGTTGCGCGCTATAATTAGCGCCTGGTATGCGGCGGCTTATTATTAGCGCCATCTGGTATCAACCAGCAGAAATAGGAGCATCAACATCTTTCTAGAACTCTACAACTAGCGCCATCTAGTATCGAATGGAAGAACTAAGCTTTATAGAAAGCTCCACACTCTACCTTTTTGCACCTGGTCGGTCGGGGGGCGGTATTTGCTGGAATATTCTGGATGTTTCGGTGGAAAAGGCCTATATAAAGCTAATGAGGGGCCGCGACCGGGGCAGTATTGAATTGGCGATACGAGCGAAGCTTTCAGAGTGAACTAAAGTGTTAAGTGTGAATAATAGTTAGTGTGATTTAAGTTTTATTTGATGTTCAGTAATAAGTGTCAATTGTGGTAATTCAATCGGCAGTTTTTATTGTCATGAACCCTAAGCTCGCAACTATATATCGCAGCAACTTTATATCATCTATCATCAAGTGTGGGAATTACACGCTCCAATGAGTGTGATTAGTATTATGTGCAATTGTGATTCTAGTTTAGATTTAGAAAACAAACTAAGCTTATTTATCAACAGAGTTTGGGCTTGATGAAACAATTATTTCGTCATTGCATTTTGTGATTATGCCATTAGCAACTCTATTACCACATTACATCTCGCGGTTCCTATAATAAATGAATGATCTAAAATATTTAAGAAAGAAATTAAAGCGGATGTGTTAGTCTTAAACTATTGTCAGGACCACAACTGCTCTATCTGTTATGTAGTATTATAAATACAGAAGTCTCGAGTTAGATAAACTTCAACATTTGTTCAGCGGAATTATTGTAAGTACAAACAACCCTGAACAAATTGGATACGCTAAATGTGTCACACGTATTTATGGCGCATGTGTGCTGCTCAATCAATGACACAAGTGGCAGCAGCTCACTACTATCCACTCACATGTAACCCACTACCTCATATTTACAACCATTATTTCTGCTAACTTAGCAGCTTTGTTTTCACTGCGGCATCATGTACAGGTGCTGCATGCTAGACGCCATGTAGCACGTGATACGCAACTCACCATGAGGTATGCGAACATGCGCTGCATCTCGTGCAGCGAGGTGGCGTGGCGGCTGCGCGACAGATCGGCGCGCAGCACGGCAACGCGCGCCTGCGGCATCATATACAGGTGCTGCATGCACGACGCCATGTAGCACGTAATACGCAACTCACCATGAGGTACGTGAACATACGCTGCATCTCGTGCAGCGTGGTGGCGTGGCGGCTGCGCGACGGTTCGGCGCGCAGCACGGCAACGCGCGCCTGCGGCATCATGTACAGGTGCTGCATGCACGACGCCATGTAGCACGTGATACGCAACTCACCATGAGGTATGCGAACATGCGCTGCATCTCGTGCAGCGTGGTGGCGTGGCGGCTGCGCGACGGATCCGCGCGCAGCACGGCGGCGCGCGCCTGCGGCATCATATACAGGTGCTGCATGCACGACGCCATGTAGCACGTGGCGCCCAAGTTCGTCAGCCCCACGTAGCCGCACTCCGAGCGCGATTCCTCCGCCGGCCAGTAGTCCCATGGGTAGCCCGACTGGGGCCCTGTACATGTTCCCGTCACGTTTGTTATAAGCATTGAGTTGAGAATTAAATAAAGTAAATTAACTTAAGTGAAAACACGAAAAGAAGTCCTCTTTCTACTAGCTCCCTGAGCATGACCTTTTTATCTATCCAATTTGTATCGCTATCTAGTAAATTTTAATAACCGAATAAAGTTCCATTTACATCCGCCAGGTGCGATATTTAAATTTCCATACAATTTACTTTTTATTTTTTTAAGAACTTTATTGCTCTGACCATAAAGGTTACAAAAGACGGAGTTATTGTCAGCATCATTCACTGCCAGTCAACCTATGACGTGGTGAAAAATTTGTGGCAGGTGACTTAAACTACCTACTAAATATAATAAACATATTAGACATAACACATATAGGCTTATAAATTACTCAAATACATATGAATACAAACAAATAAATAATAATCCATATATATGCCACAATCACAGAAATAGTACGCATAAACCCGTGACCTTGTCGCCGCTATGATGTGTTGACGAACATCATTCACCATTTTGTGAATTTATGTTATTATAATGGTGAACTGCAGCATAATCGGTTGTAAAAACTCATTAAGGAGGTGTACTTCAACTAATAAAGTCATAACATTTCATCGGAAAGTCGATTATTTACTAATTATCATTGTTTAACTAATTTACAGCTAGATAAATACTTTACTATGATATTTAACATTGTAAACTTTCATTTATTACTTATCGTATTATACAATTACCATTGCTGCTTTTGTTCTACCGTAATTAAAGTTGTTCAAAACTACTATAAATCAATAGCACGCTACTGGCTATAAACTATAAATTTCTAGCGCGCTATTAAATACAGCGTGTAGGAGTCCGGCAAGCGCGTTAAGTTTTGCAGCACGCTATATCTCGTAGCATGTTACATGTCGTTCATTGGATAAACCGCGTGCTATATAAGAACATTATTTCGTAATAAGTCGCATTTTAGACTAAAATAAAGCGGTAACAAAAAACCAATGAACGCTACTTTTCAGGCTTACGACTTTCTATAATCCTAAAAATAATTTTGAGGCATGTACTTTTAAAACGAAATAATATTAATTATTTTTTATTATAATTGACGTAAACGTTATTTCAACCTTAATACAAATTATAAATCAAATAACGGTGTATTTTAAACTTTATTAATTGTATTTATAAAAATCTACTATTTACACAAACTAATATATACACTTTTGTATCTATATTTTATTTGCATTTAAAAACATTAGGTAGGCTTCTTTTATAGCAGACAACTGTGTCCTTCGATCGCTTATAAATATACATTATACACTAACTAAACAACATCTAACACTATATTAAGTCGCGCGCGATGAATAGCGTGCTACTAGATCAAATTTGCATCACACGTCTCTCCCAACAGCGCTGCTGCTAGAACTAGTTGCCGCTAGCGCTAGATATCAATACTTAATAGCGTCATCAAAGCGCCATAGCGCAATAGCGCCATGGCGACTACTTACATAGCACGCGCTATGTGTTATGGAGAGATAGCGCGCTATAATATGGCGCTATGCGCTATATGAACCACCATTAACCATAATACGCGACACACCCGACGTTGACAAACTTGCCGAGCAATGTAATGTGACACATTAGATATCATTGTGCTTTGCGTATGTATAATACGGCTGCAGACATCGGTCGCAGACGTATTATTAATTTGAATGAAAGTACGGGTTACATAGATGTTTGTATAAAGGATATTTTTCATAATTTCAAACGTAAAAACTAAATGACATTATAAAGTAAAATATTCTTATAATAATAATTATAGAATAATTTCATTAAGAATGTAATTATTTGTTTGAGTTTGCGTATTAATGTCTAAATGTTTAGCATGCTGATAAATGTAAAGAAAAGGTTGTCGTTTTGGGAAGTATAAATAATTATATTTACTAGAACATAATTATCACTTATTTCTAGATTCCCGAAAGATCCTGATATTAAAGAAAAATGGATAGACAGGACTGGTTCCCTAAAAAAAATAGTCGAATCTGTTCAATCCATTTTAAGGACGATGATTTTAATGTCACTGCTAAAAGACGAAAAAATACAAATATTCAAGGATCACTTTCTTGCGAGAGCCATGAGTCATTTTGTTGCCACAAATTTATTTGCGGATATTCAGTATTAACAGTATGATCAATCTCCTCTTGATAACCACTTGGTCCAGTTGATTAAACGAATTTGCGTTTTGGAGAAGTATATGGATATCCGTTTGAATTATTTTGCAAAAAAGGCGATACAAAAAGTAAAAATATTTATATATATATATATATATATATTCATTTTACGGGTCATTAAACTCGTTTCGTAGAGTTGCTGACAATATTAATTCCAAGGTACTGGTAGAGATACTTGTTTAACCAATATAATTAATTACATTTTCAAACATAGTGTAAAGGATAAGGGAATTACACAGTTGACGACTATGTAAATGTCATGAAGAAAAAAATAGGACTCACCACTCTGTTTATTAAACTTTATTCTATATTCATTCATATCACACTTACTACGTAAGTGTACGTACTGTTAATTGAAAGCTTGATTTTAAATAATAAGTACTAAGTAATAAGTTTTCTTTACTACTAGTAATCCATTTTAATATATAAAAAGAATCTCGACACCTTCAAAAAATTGTATCAATCCCTAGTATTGTTTACAGCGACGCTTTGAAAGTGCTAGCGATGGTGTAACATTATATATTAGAGAAGAGAAGCGTAATGACTATTAATTAAGGTTCATAACAGATAGTGCCCTATACACTTCACTTCCATACATGTTTAGCAAGTGTGTGCGAGTCTTATATCTATTTGTTGCTGAATGAATATGTGTTAAGATGTGGCGACATCGGTTTTGGAAATTATCGAGCGCTAATTCATTTCTATTGTCTTATACGATTTCTGTAGCCACTATTATATATATATATATATATATATATATATATATATATATATATATATCATTATAGTCAATGAAAATACAGACTACCTTCAGATGAAATGTTAACTCGTTTGTCGAACATTGGCTGGTGAAAAAAATAATCTATGCTAATAAAACATTAATATTGCTGATTGCCCAGTGATCGGTGATGGAGGACATCTGCATATCTGAGGAACAAAATATTTATAGGGCATATAGTCCGCCAAGATTCACAGGAGCAGCGCAGTTAAGTAATTGCCTGTGATAATAGGCTGTGAATTTGCTTTTAATAATCTCTTAAAATTATGTGATATATAGTGTAAAGTATTGAAAACTTACCTGGTTTATGGTGCTCCATAAGTTTATTGTGCAGCACCATGTAATTGTCAGGTGCACCGCGCACTAGTTCAACGAGCAAGTCGTACGCAGCTGCGCGAGATTTCTGCGACTTGCATTTGGGTAAGTTACGTTGCTCGGGATTCGGAACGTCGAAGAGAAATCCAAAGACCTACACATCATGACATACATAATTTTAAAGGACCTGATAAAAATAGTTCTTTATGAAGAACTATATAATATAGAAATTATACAAAGTTATTAAAATATATTAACAGATTGTATGGTTTAGTTTGGTATTCAATAAGGATTACATAAGACTTTTCCTTACCATTTCTAACGTTCTAGTCCCCTGCTCTGAAGTCTTAAACCTTAACGGATGCTTCAAAAGATGCGTCATCAAGCTTAGTTGCCCGTATAATCCATCATCAGGCGTGCAAGGTTCCGAACGCTTTTCTATAATTTCTCTTTTCTCGAGAGATAACCGAATCTGTTCGCAAAGTTCATTCAGATCCGGGGCACCGCTGTCTTCAGAAGTAGCGCCATCTATGTATAAACAATGGTAAAGTGAGATATATTTTATAAATAGTAAAAGTAAAAGAAACGTCCAATTAATAGATTACCTTTGAAAAAGTCTTCCGGCAAACCATCTATGAGCCTACAAACAAGCCAAAAATAATCTCGGCACGCAGGTCCATAAGGTTCTTTGCCTTCTTCAGCATGATGAACAGCCTGCAACATTTCAGTATTATAAGTACAACACAATTCATATTATAGTAAAGAATGCTATAGAGTAGAGATCAATTTCATTACACAGATAAATACGAAGATGTTAGGCATCTTTTCCATTGGCCTTCCTTTTGGATCTTATGAAATTTCTTAGGGTCAATTTGGGTTTCAAAATATTATAAATTTTTTAGTACTGTTAATATAAATATTAAACCACACGGTATTGATCATGCGATCGTGGTATCATACGAGCACCGTGGCCTAACATTACTACCTTTAGTACTAACATTTATTAACCAGCTTGGTCGACGGGCTTCCCATAATGCAAAATTCCCCCTATGAGGCAATCTTTGTGTAAGGCCACAATGTTCAGTAGTGGACTTTTATATACTTAGATAGAAACTTACATCTAATGGTCATTTATCTTTTTCATCAATGGACTACTAGTTTGTTAGTTAACAAGGTGTAAAAGTTAAGTTAGCATTTGGATAAGAAGTCTTTCATTCCTCTTACATCCATAATAATGTCGTGAGTTGGTAAGTGCTACGCGGAGGCGGCGCAAAAGAATGAGAATTCATCACTACACTACGTTTTGTGGGTTTCGTAAGAGACCATAGAATACTACTACTACTTTCTAAATAATTTCCATGAAAAATATGGTAACGATTGTAACGTCAAAACACATCCCGTGTTTACATTTATACGTGTGAAATGACGTGTTAGTGGCATTTTAGTGGCTACACGGACTGTAGTGGGCTGTTTTGACATTTATACGTGTGAATTGACGTGTTAGTGGCATTTTAGTGGCCACTCCCCCGTTATATTATGTATGTATTATAATAATCATACAAACGCAAAATTGCAGTTTAATGCTGTACTGTTTCGTATGGTGAGTGCAGAGAACGGGAGGTCCTTTTAACTGGAAACAAGACATTCCATATTAGTCCTCAGGGCTGACAATGTATTTGCATTTTGATTCTTTATCAAGGATAGATTACTGTCACACAGGACAGAACTGTGTGCTCGTTGGTCACTCTTATTATATAAAAAAGGCAAACATGAAAAATGTCAGAGAAATCTCATGGTTTCCAATAAGTGGCGATATAACTTACCTCGTTTACCCCAAGTGTAAAACGCATATCATTAACAAGCAGTGGCGTCGTTCTCACGTCTCGTACTGCGATAGCCAATCCGCCCACCAAGGTTGGCGAGTAAGGCAAATCCTACCTCCTACAGCGGAGGACAAGAACAGCTTTTCAAAGCAGCTGCAGCAGCGGCGCCAGCTCCGCCACCTCGCCGCTGTAGGTGTGGTGTATGTGTGTGGTGGTGTGCACCTCGTGGTGGTGGTGGTGGTGCGGGTGCGCGTGGTGCGGGCGCATGTCGCCGGCGCGCGGCAGGTGCTTCAGCAGCAGCTGTAACAGCGGCGCCAGGACCGTCACCTCGCCACTGTAGGTGTGGTGTATGTGTGTGGTGGAGTCACCTCGTGGTGGTGGTGGTGCGAGTGCGCGTGGTGCGGACGCATGTCGGCGGCGCGCGGCAGGTGCTCCAGCAGCAGCTGCAGCAGCGGCGCCAGCACCGCCACCTCGCCGCCCGCGCATAGCCGGTACAGTGCGCTGCCCGCCTCGCGCCGCACCTGTCATCAATATATCAAATATCACTACACATTTTCATATAATACGAGGGCGACACTGAAAGTTTTTAGAACTGGCCACTTATAAACTATATAATAAAAATAATAAGTTCAAATTTTGAAAATGGAAGTTTTTGCCAATATTATTGTGTATGTATTTTATTAATTTGTCATTAGTTTACGATTTGGCGGCAAATTAAAAATTGTGTCGCGTCAGCATGAATTTAACGCGAGAAAAGTTTGGTACAATGATTTTTTATAACTTTCGATGTCATTTAAGTCAACAAGAAAGTTATGATAGACTTCGATTAGATTCAATGGAGTTTAAACGTGGTCGCACTAATCTCACCGATGACCTGCGTGAGCGATGGCCTACTACGGCGACGACTGAAGATAACATCAGTGTTGTGCGGCGTATGATAGAGAATGACAAAAGAGTGACTTGTCAGCAGATTCGGACAAGCTTAGGCATCGGTATGAGTCAAGTGCACAAAATCCTCTACGACCATTTAGCCGTCAGGAAGATTTGTACCCGGTGGATACCTCAGAATTTAACAGGGGCCTAAAAACTCCGTCCTGTAGATTGGTGTCGTGAAATGGTTCAAAGATTTGACGGACTCAAATGCTGTGTTCGACATACTTACGGGTGACGAGAGCTGGATTTACTGTTATGATCCTGAAATTAACAGACAGTCTGCTGTCAGACAGGTCGAAGCGTGGGAAAAAAGACAGTGGCCTCGTTCTTCGGAAGGACAGGTCATTAGGCAACAATTGTTTTAGAGGATCGAAAAACAGTTACTGCAGAGTGGTACACTAACAATTGTTTGCCACGTGTCTTGAAATAAATTTGGGAGAAACGACCTCGAAGTAGGATTCTCCTTCACCACGACAACGCCTCGTCGCACACCGTCAAGCAAACAATCGACTACTTGGCGACGTCAGACGTGGAATTACTGGGTCACCCCGCCCAATAGCCCCGACCTTGCGATTTTTATTTATTTCCGAAAATAAAATAAAAACTTCGAGGAAAACGTTTTACGGACGACGAGGACGCAGTGGCTGCGTTTCAAAATCTATTTTGAAAAGATATGATAAAACTAATAACTTGCTAGTTTGTTCAGTTTTTCATTTTCTAAGAACTTTCAGTGTCGCCCTCGTATCTACTCATCAGCGCAGTGATTAAACGCTTTGTTGCGGCGGTACAATCGGATTCGCATCCCCCGCGAAATAATAAAAGCAGCAATAATCCCTTCTAATTTACCAGACTTTATATTCCCCTTTAACTTTATATGTGGTATTTTGTATGTATATTTTAATAATTTATATGTCTTGCTATTATATTCTTGATCTTATATATTGTGTTTTATTGTAATAATTTTTTTCAATAAAAATTTCAATAAAATATTAGAAGTAAAGGCTTGACTCACTGGCGTTGCAAAGGGATGTTACATATCTGCGTATTTTATCGCATCTAGTCTGGGGAGTCCTTAGAGGAATTGTTTGGTATAATTCCAGTCGCTCAATTTCACCATCGCACATCACGAAAAACTCGCGGTACCATCCGTAATATCCGGTTGATTGGCGGCCCAACACGGTGCGATTTAGAAGAAGTTTATTATAAATAAATACTATATATATATATATATATATATATAAAATATAAATACATTAAATTAAATACAACATTTATTATTTCATCCATACTGCCAATGTCGATTGTCAAACACATAATAGCCTATGGTCAATCAGTTGCAAAGAGTAGAGAAATATTAAATGTTGGCAACAAAATATTTACTGATAGATTTCAATATTCCTTTTTCAAAAACGTAATGGAATATACGTAAGGCGAAAAGCGTTTATTTTATATTTTGTATATCACATTTTTGTGTTTTAAATAAAATTGACTATTGAAAGCATAGATTATACATATAAATACTGAGATGAAAGTAAAACCTTGCTTAATATACAAAATTAAAAATTATATAAATTACGGTTGAATTTCGACCACTGGGTGGCTAATAGTAACAAACAAAGACTCGTGTAGACTATTAAGACCGGCATTTCGAACTTAAACTATATTACAGCTGTGGATCGGCGGGGCGGGTTGCTGTCACGATAAAACATAGTGCATAAGGCATTTATGCCGCAGAGCTTGTCTATTAGTGGAGATATAAAGACCGATTTACACTTCGACAAGTACAGTAGTGAGATAACTTGTGAACCTGGCGAGTCAAGTGGAAAATCTCGTTTGAATTGCAATTAGCGAGTTAAGTAGCAAGTTAACAATTAAAATGAACGGGGTCTATTTTCGATGAGTTAAGTGCGAAGTGTTGAAATCTCGCCACCTGAAACTAAACTCGCCACTCGTGTAAATGAGCGAGTTTAGTTAGTGCATAAGTTGACAGGACGGAACGTGTTCACGTTTTACCCTCAAAATAGAAAATTGTACTTTTTTATCTAAACTCGCCACGACAAGATTTGAACGCTACAGTACACTTAATCGTTTACTGTCAAGTGCCCTATAACTAAGCTCGCTATTGTACTTCATCATCATCATCATTACAGCCCTTCACAAGTCCATAGGCCAAGAACATAGGCCTCCCCCAAGTAATGCCACAAAGCACGGTCCTGAGCCACCTGCATCCATCGACTTCCTTCATATCTAATCAGTTCGCCACTCCATCTAGTGGGGGGGTCGCCCTACACGGTACAAGGCTGCCACTCGAAAACCTATCTTCCCCATCGATTATCGGTTCTTCGAGCTATATAGCCGACACATTGCCACTTTAGCTTACTAATCCGTTGGGCTATGTCAGTCACTCTGGTATTACTGCGGATATCCTCAATTCTGAGTCTATCGCGCAGAGAAACTCCGAGCATAGCCCTCTCTATAGCTCGCTGAGCGACCTTGAGCGTCTTCATACGGCCAGCAGCTATTGTACTTGTCGAAGTGTAAATCGGCAATAAGTGTTTGGTAATAAAGAAGCGTGGCTCACGGCGGGCTCGGCGTCGTCGAGCAGCAGGCGCGGCGCAGCGCGGCGCAGTGACCAGGCCAGCGCGGGCGCGTCGCCGCCGCCGCGTGCCCACCACACGCACAGCCGCATCGCGTGCTGCACCACCTGCAACCGCAACACAAGTGTTTCTATGCGCTCTAGCAGCCACCACCCACGCGGGACGCGCCTACAATAAACCAAAGCGAGAGGAACCGCTCGTATACGCTGATGGTAACTACCGTGGTGTTTTGGGCGAAAAAAGTTCGGCATAACCTTTCAATACCCCCACAGCGAAGGATATCCGTAAAGATTTCCCCAAGAAAAAAAGAGTTGCTATAATAGCCACTTTAAAAAATAAAAATCATAAGTTCTCTCATAAGGAATATGTATATTCCGTCAAATTCCGTCTCATGAAACCGCACCCACCCACAGCACTTTAACCCACAATAACTTATATTTACAGACTACTTTTCTATGAAGAAGTAGGCTCAACGTGAAATTTCCTATCCTCTAACACAATAAAAGGTAGTTAGTTTATGGTTTTTAATTTATAATCTACGTTTATTTCGTACGCCTAATTCGTGTGATGTGTTATTGTATTGATTTTTAGATTTTTCTAATGTTTTATTAGTGTTTAGTATAGTGTTTTATTATAAAATTGTTATAAAAGTTTTTGTTTGAATATAATTTATCTTTTTACGTAAAGAATTTCGAGTAATATATAGAAATAATTGTGATATTCAAGCTGCTGTTCTGTGCTAGGTAAGTACATTTTAACTATGAAAATACAATTAAAATTTATTTGTAATGAAGTAAAAACACTAAAACAAGTAATATAACATAATAAATAAACAGAAACAAGTATTATATGGAAATTTATAATGAATATTATTGAAAATAAAAGTACGACAAATTCAAGGTTAGGCTATTTTTAGCAACGCAGCGTCATGCCGAGCGAGCGAGCGATGTTAGTCATTTTAGCTGGCGGCTGAGGGGTTAAATTCCATGTAACAAATCTTATTTCAGAGGTTCTACCATTACCAAATGCCTTCCCTAACCCTCCTAATGTGCAATGTAATTTAATCGATGGTAATGCAATATAATTAAGTTAGCTCTTTTGTCACACAAAAAAAGTCCTAGTTCTTGATATTCGAAATTTCGGATTATTCAGATGTCTATATACATAGATAGTTTAGCTTAATCATACCTGCGCTCTACCCCAGAACCCGGTCTTATAGGTCGTTGGCTCCTTTACTGCAGCTGCTTCACATAATATCGATATCAACCTCTCCGTCGTTTCTTCGACATTCATAAGAGACAGCAAGGCCTATAATAGAATAATGTTATAGTGTAAAAACAGCAAAATTACAGAAAAACCAGTTATATAATATAATAATAGACATGTAAAACTAGAAAAGTTTTTTTTTCAATTTTGGGAGTTTAATAAAATTTAGTGGTCAATATTCAAAATTGGCGATGGGAAACGATAACTTATTCAATCAAAATAAAAAATAAAAAACAAATACAATGCTAAATATAAAAAAAGTAATGGTAGGTAAATATTACCAGTGTGGACTGATAAGTAATGTCAGCTTAAAATGTTTTATAATAAACAATAAATATAAGACAGTTGTATAGTTATGAAAGACAAACCGGATGTAGTTTAGGCGTCAGAGCTGGATCTGAAGAAGGCAACGTGCCGATACGGCACAATAATTGTAGCAGCAACGCTAAACAATCTTGTCTCCATTCACTGTCATCATTCCGTTGAAGCACTCCTAAAAATTTAATGTACATCATTTACTCACAAATAGTGCCTCAAGTCCCAGGCTTTAGTTAATTTTGCATACAGTTCAAGAAAAAAAAAGTATTAGTAGCCCTCGTAACACAAAGACAAGTCACGCAAAATCAGGTCTAATGCAAAACCGTATGGCACTTTAAATTAAACTGATTTCATCTCCTCTTAATATCTTTTTAGTGATGGATATCCGGAAAGTAGTATTCAATCAACCTAACGCTCGTTACAGAACTTTCAGTAACGATAATAATGATCTGCATAGTCTTAATTACAATGTTAAAATAGTTTTTAGATATATACAGGCGGCCATACTTATAATCATTGATTATTGCTTACTAATACTTATTTCTATACCTGTCTCTTTTTATTGTCATTACGTGAATAGAGAGAGCGAGAACAATAATTCACGACGATTTTTATGGTACGGCCACTAGACACCAGACAATAGACTATATATAGATATGCGATAGTCAGCGTAGCTCAAAACTAGTCCAGTTTTTTTAAACAATTTGAGTTGTTTTAAAGAACATAATACTGCTCATATCATGTTTTATTTAACTCTGTCGCTTTTATACGACATTTACAGAATGATATGGGTAGAGATTTCCTTATATATAAATTATATATGTCGCAGCTTTGTAGTCGAATTATTCAAAACAACACTCTACCGCAACACCTGCGCATTGCACTGCAGTGGCGCTCGTGTAGCTACAATTGTCTCGATTTTATAAAACGGATGGAGCAGCCACCGTTTAGAGCAGTAATGCTCTGGCGTGGCATGTTTCACTTGTATCCTCGCTACTAGCTCATCCTGGACTATCGGATAATTAATTCGTGGAAACGAAATCGGATAATTAATTCGTGGAAACGAATTATATTATATATATATCAGCTATATAAATTAGTCTCATATATATATTATATACCTGTATCCATATATTTTGTATTGTAAATATAATTCTATATAACTACATTCATATATATATATATGTGTGTGTGTGTGTGTGTGTGTGTAATAAGTAGTAAAAGGCCAACCATATTATTAAACAATAATTACTCACCTGACATCATGATGTCATATAATATCCTTAATCCACCTTTCTTAATAAAAAGCTCATTCCAGTTTTCTACAGCTTCCTTCTCTTCTTCGCTTTTTTCAATGCTTCCAGGCGACTCTTGCACATTTGAACTGTTATTATTTGAGCTTAATTTATCTATTATGTGAAGCGAATACATAAGCTTCTGTGGACTAGTTGGATCGAGTAACTCCGGCAGTTTGCTTTCAATCGGATTTTGGAAAGCTTCTAGAAGAGTCGGATTTAAGGGCACCGCCTGAAGTATATCCCATACACGTCTTGATAACAACTGCGCTTTTGTATGCGCTACGAGTTCCTGTAATAACGTCATCTTTAATATTACGTTGAAATTAAAACTGAATAAATTAAAAACTAAACTATATTCTATATGACAATATTCTTTGAGTCTCATCAATATTTCTCTCTTTCTTCATCTATATTCTTCCTTTTCACAGACACTAAATCGTTACGTAGGAGGCAGGACAAGACGCTCGACAAGTGTCGTGTGGTGGCGACGCGAGAGATGAATTCATCATCCCCTATCGTACCGGTGGTGTCGTAAAAGCCGTGAGAAGTGGAAGCTAGAAAAATCTAATGATGATATAATTATCTCATTTACGTTAGCTTTATATTAGAGATGAAACGGATAGCCGTTTAGTCGGATACCAAGTATTCGGCCAGTCTTATCGCTGGATAGCCGGGTATTCAGCCGCCGGATATTCTGTCGAACATTGCTGTTTGGTGCATCGCAAGATACGCAAAGCAAAGTCAGTGCAAACTGTTTGCGATCGTGACCGTTATATTTGGTGGGCAGGTATTGCTACACAATACCCAAAGAATCATGTCCACTTTCCAAACATTGATTGATCTGTCACTTGATTCCTTTAACAGGTCGCGTCTACCTACAACTACTGTTGTATAAAAACAATTATTGTTTATAATAACATAATAACTTATCATCTTTTCATTTAGAGGCCAGGGAAAAATGCTATTAAGTAAATAAGTTTTTGAGGTTATAACAGCCGTCAGATAAGTTCTGTGCATTTATTTTTCTTTCCACACCATAGTTATATATTTTAGCATTGCTGCTGGGCCTTTAAGCCATCGTAAAACACATTCCGTCTCCGAAAGATAGACTCTTGAGAATGAGATGAAACATAGTAACATTACTTTTTTTCCTAGATTTATTCAAAAATTCAATTATGCGATACGAAATAAGCAAAAAAATATGCAATTTTATAAGATATTTTACATCACTAAACGCGTTAGAAAATTTCCAGATCCTGACTTGACATGATTCTTTATCAAAGTTTGCCAAAATCAATCTTTCAGTACCCTCCAGCAGTGTGTACAGCGAAAGACTATTTTCTGAAGCTGGCCTTGTTTATGAAGACAGACAAAACCGCTTGTTGCCTTTCAATGCAGAGAAATTAGTATTTATTCACCATCATTTGCCCTCAGCTACATAGTATTATTATTTATTCTGTGCCTTAGCGCAGAACGAGTACTAATTTTGTAAGTTTAAAAATGAAAGTTTTGTGATTACCTACTGTTTATATTTGTTAAGTGACATGAATGAAGTATTTAACTAAATTTGATATTTTGTGAATTATTAAATCAGGTATTCGGCCGGATAGTTATTTTAGGCCGGATAGACCGAACACCGGATAGTTACCGAATAGTGACGGGCAGCAGCGTCAAAGGTGCGCGACGTCTGGTACTGTGATCGTCAATTCCTATCAATTGTTATGATAAAGACAAATCCTCCTTTCAACGGGAGAAGCTCATTCCCATTAGTGGACTTTTAAGGGCTTGACAATGATGCACATTTAGACCCGGTGTACGGAACACCTTTAAATGATAGTTGAGATAACCATAAAGATGTACGGAACACCTTTAAATGATAGTTGATAGGAAAAATGATTTTATTTAAAATCAATAATGATATTATATAATGATATTGATAATGATATAGAACGCGTCTATCGTGTTCTGAGCGACAACGTCAACTGTCCATTGCTCAAAACTAAAGTGAATAACGCAAATTATGTTTACCTAAATAAATCGCTTACACACTAAAATGTACGGTTGCACTGTACACCCGGGACAATGTGTAGGACATACATACATATCCATCACTTATCATCAGGTGGGCTGTGTGCTCGCTTGTCACCCACCCTTATAAAAAGACAAAAGAAAGTTTTTTAATCTATGTTGTATCTAATTCTACAAATAATACAATGTTATTAACACTCCATATGTTAAGATCAACCAAGTTGTTTAGGCTACAGGTGGCCAAATACTCAAACGCTGTTCAATTTCAAGATGTCGGTAATTCTTGTGCTGTCCTTATCTTATTATATCTTGTGACACCAAGAGACTTATGACATCTTAAAATTCAGTAGCGTTTGAGTATTTGGCCAAGAGTTTACCCTCGTTCTGGGGCAGTCGGGTAAAAATAATAAAAGAAAAGTGTTGGTACGAACGGCATTGGTGGCGGGCTCGTTCATCTGGCCAAGCGCCTGCATGAGCGTGAAGAGCTGGTGGAAGTAGACTGGATCGAGCAGCAGCAGCGTGGGCAGGCGCGCGCGAGCCGGCGCCGGCTGCGCGGCCGGCCACTCGGCCCACGCGCCACGCCCGCCCACGCCCACCGACACGAACACCAGCTGCAACACACCGTGCCCGACTCATCAACTGCACACCGTTAGCAAATCCCAATTAAATGGCCACAAGTTTTTCAACTCAAACTTTTTAATCGACGTACTGAACAGATTTAAACACAACACACAACATGTTTTTTTGTAAACAACATGTTTTCTTGTAACTTGGATTTCACCGTTGAGGCTGCATATACTACGATTTAACCTACTTATGTATAATATAACATAAAAACAATGATATGTTGTAAACAAGTTTCACTTCGTAAGCGGTATACTCATTTATACGCATAGTTTTTATTTTATAGTTAAGGTATTTTGGCCTTTGGCATCAAGCATGTCGATTACAATTTTACGTAAAATGTATAATCTATATAAAACAGTTAAAGTCAATTTAATATGGAAAATTAAAAATTTAATATAGAATAATAACAATCAGAAAAGTGCTTTAAGTTTGTGCTACTAATTACATAAAATAAATTGCACAGCGTTACAGAACATTAATTTAGTTTAACTACTATATACAAGAGATTTAATTCAATAAATGAAATTTTACAGTGACACGTGTAAGATAATGATTTTACGAATTATTCGTAAAATTTTATTATTTTTCAGTGCTGCAGCACTTGTTAAAATTTTAATTAAAGTCTCTTTTAAAGAAAGGTTTATGTAGAGTCTTAGTCCCTTAGTCACGGCAACAGAAGTCTTTAAAATTTTCAATTTGATATCAAATTTCATGCTTCACATTTTTGTAAAAGTTTAATTACTAACAATAAGAAATTATAAGAATTTGTTGTATGACAGGAGGAACCTCAAAATTACAACTGAATTGTAAAAATGATATATTAAAATGTGTTTTAACAAGGTAATGTAATACGTAAATTATAGACCAGAATAGAATATATAGGTGGTTTACCTGGTTGTCCTTAAACCCCATATCATATAACGTCCTCTCGTCATAGTCTATTGTCAACTCTTGGCCTTGAGTGATCATTCGCAGAGGACCGTCCGTCGATAGCGCGGTAACACCCTCTTCACCTTGAATCTGTAAAAAATAATTTATTAAATATACAGACTGTTATGTAAAAATTATTGAAAAATAATGTTTTAATAACTGTCAGCATATAAATGACGATATAAAATTTTAATGAATATATCATTAAAATTTTATTTTCGTTTATTTGGAAAAATCTGATTAGTATTAGCAAGGAACGGCGGCGTAAGTGAATCCACTACCCCATATAATCCCATGGCTGATATGGGATTATAAGATGGCATGGTAAGAGGCGACGGAGGGTAATAAAAGAGGAACAGCATCTTCCTTACAACAAGATAATAAAAAATCGCGGTTACCAACACATGAGTAGATGAACGGAACAGAGATAAAGATTCACACAACCGCGCGAATCGGTTGCACTACTACAAGCCATAGGGCCATGTGCGTGACCACTGGCCGCTTGTCGGGTAATTGTTTTAATGTAAAAAAGTGGTAATATTAATAATGGTTATTTATTGTACTGTGTGTATGAATAATACAAGAAAAAATAAAAATATATCATACTTTAAATATCCCAAGGAGTACAATAGGTAAGTAAATATTTGATTATTACTTTTTCAAGTAAGTAAATTTATATTATTGTAATATCCTTTTTTATAATAAGAAGAGGGTATTTATTACACGGTGTGTTTTTACCTTTTATTTTTATTACAAGCTTTTACTAAACATTTGTAGGTATGTGGTGGGTTGGTATGTAGTAGGTATAGTTTACATATTGCAAGTAAGATTACAACCACTTCCCGATGTCTGATTGAGTGGAAATTTTTTATACCACAACTTCAGTGACAATGCAATAATATGATATAACCTGATGCTCCAGGCAGACAATCCTGCAGCATCAGGTTATATCTATCACTAGGGAACTCTCCAACGGATAGTAGCATGGACTCTGAAACTTTGTATTTAAATTTAATTTTGTTTGCTAAACATGATCTTTACCATAAACTGCTGCTGCAGATAGGGTGGTCTCCTCACGAGGGAACTCCTTAACAGCTATGGTAAACTTTATGTTAGATTCAGAATTTATCACAGCATTAGAAGAAACAAAAATAATTAAAAAACAAAAATTATAAAAAGAAAATTATTTAGGGTAAATTATTTGTAAAGTATTCTTTAGTACTGAATAATAAAACTATTTAACAAATGTTTTGTATAACTAGCCTTCACCTATTGTGACAACCCTAACAAAATAAGTAACAAATTTGCACGTTCTTAAGAAGCTTTGTTTCTGTTCCGTTTATCTACTCATGTTGTTATCAATCCACCTGCCAAGTGTGCCAACAACCAAGGCAAATATTTATTATAAAACAGGAACAACATTCCACCAGAGATCAAGTTGCAGCCAAAACTCTCGCAACAACGCTACCGTCCAGACGCTAGTGTGCAGCGTGTGCAGCGCTCACCTGCTTCTCCCACCAGACGTGCACGTGCGCGCGCAGGTGCGCCACCAGGTCGGCGTGGTGCAGCGTGAGGGTGGCGCGCGGGCCGGCACCGGCCGGCTGCAGCGTGAGGCGCACGGTGCCCGCGCCGCCCGCGCCCTCCCACGCGCCTGACTCCGCCAGCGCCCAGCGCCGCAGGTGGTACGCGTACCTGCCGCACCCAACCATTACATCAACATACACATACGTGCTAGAGCCATGCTACAGCTATAGTATACGCTAATGTCATCTGCATGGACTGTGGAGTCCTGCAGGTCTCGAGCCTCAGGGTATGCCCCCATTGCCCGGACTTTCCTCATGGCCCACTACTACTATGGGCCAGTCCTAGGAGCCTTTAATCAGGCTGGTAATCCAATACGGATGTTCAGTAGTAAGAAAACAGTTTTTTCCCGTAGTCCGTGTTTGTTCCCGTGTGTGTAACACATACACAGGCCGGGAGCTGTTCTTCAAACTAGGTAAGACTCATCATTTTATTTTATTACACGGATCTTAGCTGATTAATTTAAAAACATCTTTAAACGCCTAATTCTATTAACTAATGTCCGCGAGTTAATAATAATCATATTGGTAGATTTTAGAACCAATAGACCGCTAGTATAACTAACTATCTTGTATAGCCAAAGTGTTAAAAAAGCACTAACAAATATATTAAATTCTGCTTGTACTTTCCCAAATCTTTATGTTAAACCTACAATTGCAACAGATTCAGATCCAAACTACTGCGATCTGCGATCGAGATTCACAATTCAACACACAATTCACAACATTATAAGATAGAAGATACGCTGATACAAACCTTCTTTTGAAAGTGTCTAAATGTGTTTTTAGTAACAGCAGTGCCCTCTGTATACATTGTAATGCGGCTTCTTCTGTCATATGCTCATAAATGTTCTGTTTGTCAGTTATGTTCTCTGGACTCTTCTTGTCTTCATGTTCCCCAGTTTTTGTCACAGCAGCTTCTTCATTGTCCTGGCTCTTAGACATTAATCTTTCTGCGGCCGATGAGAGATGAAACATGCATTTGGAGACAAAGTCGTCTTCTTGTTGTAATTGTTGACCCATGTAGTAGCTGTTTAAATATTGTATTGCACCCATTGAAACATCTGCAGGAATTGATTTACTCATTAGAAAAAAAATGGTAAATAATCTTTATTCTTACTAATTAAATACCTTATTCTTTAAAAAAATGTGTGCACTTAAATATGCACGAACTTAAACGAAAAGTATAAGCATCAGTTACCTGTGCTATTTGCCCTTAGCGCGATCTTCCACAGATGGTCCATTGCGAGCGTGTGCGGATGAGCTGCGTCCCGGGAATCGCCAGAGCCCAACGCCATACGAGCCAAGTTGCACAACTGCTGGTACAAGCTCAGCCCCATGATACTTATTGTCTGTAGGAAATATGATTTACACTTCTGTAATACGAATAACAACTAAAAACAACAACTTTCATAGAATATTCTTACACAAAGTAATTTAAGAAATAACACGTGTTTGAAACTGAGACGTGTTAAGTTTTCGATTGATTTTTAATAATTAATTTATTTAATTCAAAATTTTTGTTTAAATTTTATTGTGTTACACTCTATAATTTTTTCCAGACGGTAAAAAAGGTCATCCGGTATATATTTTGTGTTAAAAAAATCATAAAACCTAGACAAGATAGGTGATACTGTAGTTGAATAACTAATAAAAGGAATTGCTCAGTTTGTTAGGGAACGTGGACAAGATCTTTATTAATCAAAGACTTGCATTATAAAAACTACTTATCTATGGGAAAGCAAATATTATAATAAAGTTGTAGCAAGATGCAAGAATATGCTTCAACTGGAAACTGGAAAAATTGAAACCATGCCGGGTAAAATCTTTGTAATAAGCTGATAATTTTGATATAATGTGTTTATTTACACATTATGAAAAAAGAAAGAACTATTTTTTACACCATTTAAGAAATATAAATACAAAACAAAGGGCAAAAAATGTCAAAACAAAAGCAAAGAGAATGTCAGATGTCATTTCACTTGACAAAGCGATACGGTAGGAGTTGCCAGGAAAAAATAATAATCTGACAATAACCGATTTTCAGAACCGATAATCTAATCTAAAAAAAATATGTTAAAAAGTGATAAATAACGTTTTTGATTCCTTTATTTTAAAACAATGTAAGTAAACGAGTAAAATTTTCTCATAGAGTATTTATTTGTACTGGTTTTGCACACAAACATTTTTTTTGTTTACCATAATTGATTATCCAATCGATTACAGACTGAAATTGATGTTTTATTTACGTGCTAGTAACATTGCGTCAAACAAATGGCTATGCTTTATGTTTCATATATACGTCTACGTTTATAAGTGGTGGATACAGTTTAAATACAATTTATTTCAACTTTTTATACGTATTAGAGAGAATTAACAATATTATTTAATAAAAATTATTTTCACCGGGCATCTTGTCCACGCTTAGCCGAAACTGGTTATTCCCTTTTATATTAGAATCAACTCATTGCGCCACCTACGGGAAAGGGCAGCACAACATCTGCCGAGTCCTTACTATAACTTACTACTTATTTATAACTTAACAAATAAAGTTCTTTAAGGCAATGTCTTACTTCAGGATCCAGTGTAGGCATCTTCTCGACGTACAAGAAGCGCAGCGCGTCGAGGCCTAAGGCGTGTTGCTCGGGCGATTTGGTGTGCGACAGTAGCCACGAGTACAAGCAGTCCGCGCATTCACTGCTGCCTCGTACCACCAGGCATTGCCATAACTCCTCAACTTGTTCCACGGTCAATCTGAAAGGCCGCGATCACACATTGAACTTCAAATTTGCCTCAAAGATGAACGAATGGTGTTGTCATGTGCAATATGTTTTCAATACAGCTGCAAATGGTAAACCTGATAAAGTATAGTTTGAAAGCAATTAATAAAAGTTATTTTAAAATGTACCGTAAGTAAATAACTGTATTGAACACAATGTAACATCCTATGCAAAGGGAAAAAAGATAATATTATTATTGAATACTTTAGTAGAATTTTCGTCAAGGTTGATGTACCTATATAAAAATGGTAAATAAAAGACGCGACATTATATTATTATTCTGCTAACTCTATACAGATACAACTAGTTATTGTAGTTTACATAAGACATTATTTTGAACATGTCTTCAGAGTAATATTATCCCTCTTATCAAAATTAATGTAAATGTTTTTTTTAAAGAATAAATGTGACAAAAGGAGCACACAGTCCATCTGATGATAAGTGGATGCTGTGGCCCATAGCCATCTACATTTATCCTCGATAAAGAATCAAAACGCAGATGCGTTGTTACCCCTGAGGACTAAGATGGAATGCCTCGTTGGCAGTAAAAAAGGGTCTCCGGATCACTACACTCACCAAACGAAAAATCGCAGCATTGAGCTGCTATTTTACGCTGGTATTCTATGAGAGCGTGGTCCTTCCCCAGTCCAGCCGACTCAATCGTACTATAGTCTTAGCCTATTCACACAATTTTTTTAGTTCTTTAAAGTCGGCTAGCACATTAGTTGAGAGTAGCGATATGGACTGACCGGAAGTGATGCGGCGAGCCGACGGGCGAGAAGATGGCGGTGAGGAAGTGCAGGCGCACGGTGAGCTCGGTGATGTGCGCGTAGTGCGCCGCGTCTCCGGGCGCGCGCGCCTGTGCGCTGTAGTGCCGCAGGTCCTCCAGGAACAGCCGCATCATGCCGCGTTCGCGCTCCGCCCACATCACCACCTGCGAACCGAACTCATAAACTCATATTACGTTTCAATATATGGGTCAAAATGAGAGCAACCTAGACTTTACAAGATACATACCCTAGAAACCGTAAGACTTTTATTTAAAACGCAAATTTTCAACGATGATGACATTGTGTGACCATATGCGGCTGCCTTTGTGTGCGTGCCGTTGGAATACGGGTTTAAGATAATACCTTGAAAATAAATCGAAGTTTTGGGGGGCGTGGCTTATTCCTTTGTCGGTGAAACTAACGGACGACTGCGGGAGTGTCAAAATGAAAGTGATGCAATGACTTAATAGTACGCAAATAATGAGATAGGCATACCGAGCAAGCGCTCGGAAAAAAAACTAAGTAAACGCCAAACAACATTTTTATTTATTTTTGTTAAAATAAATAAAAAACTTCGTTATGGATTAAAAAACTGGTTTATGAGTAAGTTCTCATGATAATTTACTATGCCTTAAAAATAATTCCATGAAATTATTCGTAAGAATATTGTGGTGTCATCGAGAAATGTAAATAATTAGAGTCCACTTTGCAATTTTTTTCTATTCTGAAAATTACATGATATCGTGTTTTCCTTTTATGCAATCCAAGAACATATAGTCAAAAATCATGTGCCAACATTTTGGTTTGTAATTTATAAAACTTAAAAAAATATGTCAAATAGAAAAACCACCAAATTTTCGAGGTATCACCTTAAGGCTTTTCACCTTCATTTGGCAAAAATATACGGAAGTTGTGCATGTGATTGTTTTCGCCTTAGTACGTTGAGCATGTAGATACCTACTTTCCTATTTTTTTTTCCATTTATTATGGCGTAATCTAATGGCGCAATTATTTATTTAATATCTTTAATAATTACGTGCCTTCAACGCGGTTATTCCTAAACCTCTACCAAAGTTACCGATATTTTCTATGTATGTATGTTACCCATAATAATGTATACATACATTATTATGATCTGAAGCACAATTCAAGTTTAAGTCAAGTCACAACCAAAACTACTTTAAACGATTGTTTTGAGCTTTTACACCCAGTTCGAAAATTAAGATCACTTGAGAGAAAAAGCAACAAGAAATTATGGTCGTTTTTATTTCAATTAAAATACAATATCTTAAAAATTTCAATAAGTAATGCACTTCCAGTTATACAGGGATTTCAATACTATTTTTTGTACAAATCAAACATTATGTACATTATATTACTATGTGAATACATCAGTTAAATATTCACCCTGCCTATTAGTACTTTACATAAACACGCATTAACTATGTTTATCGATAGACAGGTAGGTAGGATGATATAGTTGGTGAGCGCAAAACATTTACGTGGTAGAGTCAAGTTCAGCTACATTATGGCTGTAGCACGAATGGGTCGGCTCGACCGTGGTAGGACCACGCTCTCGCAAAATACCGGCGTAAAATATCAGCTGCTGTGTTTCGTACGGTGAGTGTAGAGAACCGGAGAAGATTTTTAAAGAAAAACGAGTCATTCCATTCGGTCTTCAGGGACGCCAACGTATCCGCATTTTGATTCTTAATTGGGGAGAAATGTAGATGTCTATGGGCTACAGCTTCCACTTACCATCAGGCGGACTGTGTGCTCGTTTGTCACCTTTATGCTATAAAAACAACTATATACTGGCACTGATGTTTCTGTTTGACCACCCGCGGCACTTGCGGTCCGATAATGGAAGGGAGAGGGAGTAATTAAGTCAATTACTGTAATTTGTGTGTACTCTCCCCGAAATGTAGAAAATATCGAAAGGTTGGCTACTTTTGCGAATAGATATCTAGCTAATTACCGGTCGTTTGAAATATTCAGAATCAAGTAAATACAAAAATATCCAAGCATTAGATATGATTTACCTGATGCATATCCATTCCTCGTAACTGTTGAAATGAAGAAAACAACTTCGGTAGTAAACGTAAGGAAACAGCAACAGATCTAAAAAATCAAGGAGAGTGATAAGTTCAACAAAAAACAATATACTATAATTTTCCTTTAATAGATTACTGAATTGGGCGATCTCTAAAAGGGATTTAGAAATTTAACATCATAAAAATCTGATTTCACTTTTATACTTGAAGAGTTTGTTAACAGTAATATTTAGTTTTTCCGTAGCATAAAGTGTTATCAAGTTGTCACTCCATCTAATGCGGGATATCCCTACACTCCGTAGTGGCGAAGCCTCCATATAAGCCCAGAAGCCGGGCTTGCTCTATAAAAATACTCAATCAATAATATCAACTAATAAAATAACTCGTAAACTGTTTCAAACTATTTCAAATTTCCTGCGCGCTCCGCAGGGCATGACCTCGTAGCATATAATATGTAACGTCAACACTTGGCAGTTTGCTTTCAATTCGAAATACACTGGACAGTCAAAATTAATTAAAGCAAGGAGTTGATTTTGTCGTTTCTCTCCCACGCGTTAGCTTTTTACCGGGCTTTCGAGAAGACGATCGCTCCCTTTCTAACCTGTGGCAAAATGTTCTATAATGAAATATAACTACGAAATGTTTATATGGCAATTACTATGGAACCAAAAGCCGTACTTTGCCCTGAAGCTGTTTAGGAATGCGTTATCGAGTGGGGGTGCGGGCGATACGTTTGCAAGTTCACTTTACATTTCAATGTTTATGTTTGTTTTTGTTGTGTCTGTTAAAAAATTATGCTTTTTCAAAAATTTTTAGTGAAAATGGGAGGATTATAGTGTTCCTTGTGATGAATATAAGTATGTTAAATTCCTAATCGGCGAGGAAAAGGTAAAATCTTTAAAAACGAAATTTGTATTTAATAAACTTTTCTTCATACTTTAATAGGTAGGAACAAGACTCTTTAGTATTAAAGTTTAATTATTCAGGCGTATTTAAAGGTTTAATAACTCAATACTTATATTACCATAGGAGTTAAAAATATCATTTTGAACTTTAGCATAAAATATGAGATACCTGGGTATAAGTTTAATTTTATAGCAAATTATTGTTACAATCCTTTTTTAATGTGAAGCCCAAATTTTAATGTAATAAATTAAATGAATAGATGTATTGAAGTTTTTAAAGAATATTTACTTTAGTCCTTAAAGCTTTATCTTCTCAGTTCAGTATATAAAATTTAAAATAGCGCCATCTACTTAATTCTATAGGTGAAGTCATTTTATCGAACGAAAATTGATTGATTCTTACGGTGGTACGTAAAGATTACGCTAGATGCCACAAACACGTTATCGACTAATTTAATATTTATATTACCTTAAGAGTTAAAAATATCATTTTGTACGGTTTATTAAAATTGAAAATGAATAATTATATACGAAATAGTTATTATTTTACTGTAAAAAAATTTGCAAAGCTTTATCTTCTCATTATACGATACAATTGCATATGTCATACAATCTATCTAGCAGTAGTATGCCTTCTGTGTGCTTTGTTAAACACGTCCTTGACAGCACTGAATATGAAACTAAAGAGTGGAGACAGCTCAAGATTGGTGTATTTTTATAAAACTGCTAAAAACAACAAAACCATATCTTGGGCTTGCCCTAATTTGGAGCCCTAGCTTCACCACTGACACTCCGCTGGTAATAACGAGGCTGCCACTCAAAAACCTTTCTTCCCCATCGGTTGTCGGTTCATTAAGCTGATATAGTTGGCCTATATCCACTTACTTACTTTAGCTTACTGTTCCGTTGGGCTATTTTGGTTACTCTGGTTCTGATGCGGAGTCTATCCGAACATAGGCCCCTCCACAGCTCGCTGAACTACCTTGAGCTATCTCATAAGGATTAATAGATAGACTGACGACCTGGTAAAAGATGCAGGAAGTCCATGGATGCAGGTGGCTCAGACCGTGATTTATGGCATTCCTTGGGCGACGCCTAAGTTCAGAAGGGGACTAATGATGAAAGTGTTATTTTGGCTCAATGCAAAACAACGCACTTACCTATGATTAGCTAAATTGTCAAGACAGCCCTCAATAAATTTGATACGGATAAACTTGTCTGTGCTAAAACACAGCAACGCGCACAGCGCCTTTTCTGCTTCTAGCGCAAGTCCCTCGCCAAGTTGTTCCTAAAACATAACAATTTAGGCGTAAAACATAATTTTCAAAAGGAAATGACGATATTTGTATTGACAAAGTATATGTAATATAATAAAAAATTACATGAATGGCGAACATTGAGATATTAAATACTACGTATTAGAAGCGAAAATTAATTTAGTTACGCTGTACCATTCAATTGCGGTGTTAGCGCCGCACTTTACTCATTTACACGCTAGGCGCTAGTGAGTTGACACGTGTTGATTAATTATATTTTTAAAAAATCTTTTAATAAAATTAAAAGGATTTTTTTACGTTTTAAGATATTGCACAAATAATTCAAGCAATGTTAGCAAATACCAAAGAATAACATTTTATCGGTTAATAAGATACTTAATCAACAAAAAAACGTATTAAAGATTAATAACAAAACGAATTGTTCCTAAGACACCATCTTGTGTCATGAAATATAGATTATGAAATTAATTTGTTTAGATGCGACATTTCTGTGTGTACTTAATATATTATTATGCACAATTTTTTTTGAGAAACATAATATATAAGTCATCATAATTAGGCTAAATTTTTTATATTTAAATCTGCTCATTATTCTTATGTTTTATTTTTAGGATTCCCAACCCCAGACTCTTATCTAAAAAAAGTTTAAATGTTATATTAATAAGTTTTGTTAAACATATATTTAGTATGTTTTTTTTATATTTGATATAGTTACCTTTTAAAATATTCAGATAAAAATATCATTAAAATGTAATTGTGATATAATATTATGTAATATTATATTAAATAAGCAAATATAATATACAAAATAAATGACAAAATTTAAAAATTGTACTCGATATAATTTATCTATTTAACAATACAATCTATTATTACCTACTGATCATTCTACCTACGTTTATTCTATGATAAAAAAACCAACCGCGCGAACACAGAGTAGCGCACATTTTTTTGTTTGAAATAGCTGTTCTATATATATATATATATATATATATATATATATATATATAATGTATAAGTACATATTACTTCAATAATGGCGAATGATTTTAATTGTTTATAATCCAAAATAGGTTCTGTGCAATGTTAATTTCAAAGACTTGGTAGTACAGTGTGTAAATGACTCCGGCGCTGCGGGTGGCATGCTCAAATCTCGCGTGGCTCAATTATTTGTATAGCCAATTGATTAATGACACGATTTTGTACTTCATACACGTATTGTACACCATTTTGCACTTTCATTAACTACTGAACGAACAAATAACCGATCGAGTCGCGAGAATAGTATCGCCGCACCGAACTTAATCTCATACACCTAAGCAGAGCTATGATTGTTTACTGCGCATAGTAACTCATGTGAAGGTGAGCGCTCACTATTTGTGCCGCTTGCTATAAGATAATAGCTTTGCTATAGAATACTATAATACATACATAATAGAACGGGGGAGTGGGCGGAGCCCGTGTAGCCACTAAAATGTCACTAACATGTCAATTCACACGTATAAATGTCAACACAATCAATCGTTTCCAATTTTCGGGTCAGTAAGAACAGCGGGAAATGGAATTTAAATAAACGTGACATATTACACAACCAGTAAGTCAAAACAATTTACATTTTGTGAATATTAGAAACAAAAATAAAAATAAAATTTATGTGTCAAAAACATTAATCAAAAGTCTAAAATGTGTATGTAGTAGTGATAACTGATAATACGACGTAATTGCTTGTATGTGTGCTCCCGGCGACGCCGAACCTCGTACAAAATAACGTTGACAGCCATTCTATTGCGTATTATAGTATTCTATGAGCTTTGCTGTCGTTCTTCTTACATTATATATCTTGGACTTACTGAAAAGTTTAGATTATGTGGACTTACAATCTGACAATCTTGCAGATCCCAAAGCAAGGTGTCGCCAGGATGAAGAGCAATACTGCGTTACGTTGCCTATATTATACTAAAGTGTATGTGTTGCCAGATGACAGCTCTGCAGTATGCTGTTTAAAGTACAAAAAGTGCGTTCATACGATTCACGATGGCACCGTCCTGTAGCAGAGCAACGTGTTGCCAGGTTCATGCTAAAGGGCGGAAACACTGCAGTAAACTGACCTGTACATGGAATGCTTCAAAGACACCGTCCTACAGAAAGTACCAGAGTAACATGTAGCCAGGTTCATCTTAAGCGGTAGAAATAGCCAATGTATAAAAAGTGCGGTCATACGACTCACAATGGCGCCGTCCTGCAGCAAGTCCCAGAGCAGCGTGTTGCCGGGTCGACACACATCGTCCACGCTGAAAGGCAACGGCGCCGCCGGCGATGGCGGCCTCGCACCGCGATACTCCGTCAAACATTGCGCCTAAACAAATACAAACAATTTTTTCATACATATATAACTAAATATAATCCCTCCACTTACATCCGCACCTAATATATTTCTATAAAACTTTTCTCCTATAAGGTTGCAACCGCAATCCAAGTTTTTACTTTGTAATTCACTTATTTCTTGAAGAGCGAATTCAGCATCTTTTAATAATTAATTGCATATAAGCTAGAATAAAAGGCGATTCTAGTTTCAAGTATCGTTAACATCATCACCTTTAAAAACAATGTGGACAATGTTATCATTCATATGTACTCAGAAGTATTCCGTTAAGCTGAAAGCAGCAGATTTAGCGCACTTAAGCAAAAATTATTCTTTTAATATCGCATTAGCAAAATTTAAAAGAATATTAATTTTTCTGAAAGACATAATATAAAAGAATATAAAGATGTAATAAGTGGAAGCACAATTTACATTATATAATATTACGTTTTTAAGCGACAGTAGCCTAATGACAGGGCGCGGACCGCGAACTCAAAAAGGTCGTGGGTTCGAATCCGTCATTCGACTACTGGCGTGAACCACTCGTAACACAAGCAATTTAAGCTTACCACGAGTGGTTAAGGGGAATATTAGTAATGTTTATAGCATTGTTAATATTCTTTTTTTTTATTTAAATAAAGGATGAATTAAATCCCGTGAAATAAACATATTTTTAAGCTTTGTGGAATAAAAACTTGACTACTGATTACTTGTACTGCCAGCCTAGCCAGTTCCTCCTCACACGCTGAGTCATCTTCGTCTAAATCCGGCAGATGACGATGTGAGTGCGGCGAGATCACAGAAGACGCACTGCCCTCTTCCTCCTCCCCACGTCGTTTGTAGCTCTCCATTAACCGTAGCTCCATTAGTCTTCTAAAACAAAGTGAACAGTCAAAAACAATGAACCCTTCATGCACCATTTCAAAACTACGCATAGACCATGTACAGTTTTTACCAGGAACAAAAATAACCTGTAATAAGGTAGCTTCTTCGTGCCTTAAATGACAATAAATAATACAATACCAACATGAACCTTGATGGAATAGCATTATCAATCAAGAATGTAGTCTGTTTCACGGAAGAAGTCTCGCGGAAAATATAAAACTAAAATATTAAGTATGAAATTTCACAGTAAATGTTCGTCGCTAACATTGTGGCGCTTTCTTTACGGAAAAAAATCTATGACCGTATTAATGCATGCGATTTAATTGATCGATTATTCGCAGTAGAATAATCGCGACTAGACGATAAAGGCCCGTCGCCATTGAAATTAATCTCTTTTAAGAGCTCACTATAATACTAAATTTGCCGTCATGTCAAAGTTCGCGATTTTATTCAGCAAAATAGAATTCAATGCATTCATACATTCAATGTCGAAAAAGTCATAATATTGTACTAAATTTTTATTTAATTTTAACCTGATATTTCAATAAAATTGAATCGAATTTACAAGGAAACTACGACACTTACCTTGCGTCAACATTATCGCATAAAAGCTGACAGTGGGCTGTGTCGCTGCCTGATGACTCTTCTTCAACTTCGGATACAGACTCAGCCAGGTCAGCCGTTTTCAGTTGGGTTGCTACTAAACAATTGGTATATCAATTTTTCATTATTATGTTTGTTGCAAATTACATCTTACTTATATCTATACTTTAAGTAAGATGTAAAATTATATATATATATATATATATATATATATATATATATATATATATATATATATATATATTATATAGAGCCGTGGTAGCTCAGATGATTAACGCTCACTGTATATATAACAGAACGCGAGTAACCCGGGTTCGATCCTCGCCGGCACCAATGAAATTGTTAGTGCTGCTTTGCCACGTGCTCGGCGATGAAGGAAAAACATCGTGAGGAAACCTGCATGTCTGAGGAATAAGGAAAATAATATTTCGAAGACATGTGAAGTTCGCCAACACGCATTGGGGCAGCGCGCCGGACACTTTCTTGCCCTAAAACCTTCTCAGAAATGAGGGGAGGCCTGCGCCCAGCAGTGAGACGTATATAGGCTGTAACTATACTATAACTATATATACAGGTTGTTAGTGTAAACACCGTTGTCCTTAAAACCAGTAGTTTGGTTTCACTTATAGAACGTAAATTCAACGAAAAATAACATTTTTTTTAATAAAATCTTAATTTTTCCATAATTCCTCAATTTTTGTTTGTCCTAATCCAGGATGAAAGTATGAAGGAAAAGTTACATCACAGCTTATGTGTACCTATTGTGTTTTTATTGGAATGTAGTTGTAGATAGCTAGCGCGGGCGGTGATCTTTACAGTGATTACGTCACTCGGGCGCATAGGGTATCCATGAATTTACGGACGGTGTCGGACAGAAACTTTTTAAATTTTATGAAAGAAAATAGCGGTTTTTTTAAAAAAAATCATTGAATTACGTTCTATAAGTGAAACCAAACCATTGGTTTCAAGGGCAACGGTGTTTACACTAACACCCTGTATATATATATATATATATATATATATATATATATATATATATATATATTATACATGGTCAAGAACATTAATAAATAAATTATGAGAAATAGTTTGCCCATAAATTCTTCATAAAACATCTGTAGCGGCGCTGTCGTCGCCGCCACAAGTGAAATACACCGAAGCTTAAATCACGCTATCAACATTCCGAATCATAAACAGTATATATAGAACATCTCCGAACTATCACACGGAGTGTTGGCCGCTCCCCGGGCATAACACCTTGCCCGGCGGGAGATCTCCCCTTTTCCTTCCACGGCCACAGTGGTGACCCCGACGTGATCTGAACACGCAACCAAACAACCTTCGGAAACTTCAAGCTTCATCATCGTCATAGAATACTCCACCCATTCGCTCTCGAGTAGAATCCTGCAAGCCATCTAGCTTCACAAGGTTCATCGCAGCATTGGAATAATAATGCTTCCTGTTCCTTCAAGCTACTCTCTGCGCTATACAGTGTTTGGCACGGCTCTGAGCCTTACTGCTCGCCTCTGCTTCACGGCACTCTCGCAGATTACTTGCCTTCTTCTCGACTCACCGCAGACTACAAGGCAATCCACTGGCACTTGCACATTCGTCGGCAACAAGGCTGCACTAACGACCTCCGGTCTGAGCAGGGGGTGATGTAGCGGCGCTGTCGTCGCCGCCACAAGCGAAATACACCGAAGCTTAAATCACGCTATCAACATTCCGAATCATAAACAGTATATATAGAACATCTCCGAACTATCACACGGAGTGTTGGCCGCTCCCCGGGCATAACACCTTGCCCGGCGGGAGATCTCCCCTTTTCCTTCCACGGCCACACATCCATACCGCAGCATACTGTATCAGCTTATCTAAAGTCCACTGCTGAACAATGGTCTTCCCATAGATTACCCCCCAAAAGGGGGATATTCGCTATAGTTGGCACGCTTGGTAGGTGGTTTGACAATTGCGATTTTTTTATATTAAGTTGTTATTAGGAGGAAGCTGCTGACCATCTCCCGGTTCGTTTCCCTGTGTCGGTTCTTACGACACCCACAGGGATGATATAGGGTAGTGGATATTCTTATACCACCACCACACAATCAAAAATCGTCATAAGATCATTTTATTGTACATTAACGTTAACAGCCAACAAAAATCCCACTGACGGATATAGGCACAGGCTCATTATCTTGATGATAAAAGAGTGAAAAATGCAGCCGCATTGCTCTAGTAATGTTTCCTCAAGGGTTTTCCTTTGCCGCTGTACATGTAAATTTGATTTCATTGAAAATGCAATTAACAACATCAGGGTGGCAGTGCTTGGGATTAAAACTCAGTTTACTCGTTTACAATTTAATACTACACGTCGATAATGAAATGCGTTAAAACTTTATTTTAAGTTTATATACATATATTATTTTCATATAATATACAACATAATAAACAAACTTGTCTATTTTATGTTGAACTTATACAATATGATGTGGAATGCTGATGTATTTCGTATGGTGACTGTAGAGAACCAGAGACCTTTTTACTGGAAACGGGGCATTCCATCTTAGTCACAGTGGTGACAACACATTTGCATTTTGATCTGTGGTTGAGGATAAATGTGGATGTCTATAGGCCACAACATCCACTTACCATCAGGTGGACTGTGCGCTCGTTTGTCAACTAATGCTATAAAGAAATGATACGTTTCTCAAGTTGTTAACACATCATTTTATTTTGACAATACGATTTCAGATTAAGAGAAAAATACTTTGTATTTATTATAATTGTTTGACCATGCACTCACGGAAATGCCTCGCCTTGCCGGGCTTGTGGCGCTTCTTGTACAGCTTCTTCTTGCGAGGACGCAGCAGTTCCTCTGCCCCGCTGCTCGCGCTACCGCTGCTGCCCGCACGTTTACTGCGCCTGAAAAAGTTTATCCACCTAGGAATTGTTTCTTCTACGCTAGTGGATTTAGTAGATTTAAAAGCAACTTAAAAATTTGTTTGTCAACAATTAACTTTTGACAAACAAAACTTTTATGAATTTTTTTACGATTTATTTTTACGTATGGTTACCAGTTTTTAGGAAACGGCAGAACGGATTAAACATTTTTTTTAAATGTTTATAATGATTATATTGAATTATCTTATGTACTTGCCGAATATAGACCTAGGACTAAGAATTAGGGAAGGCACTGTTTCCTGAGATACAGGTGATAACCTAGTTCAGGAGACAGAGCTTCTTTGTATTCAGACATTATTATTATACTTCTGGGGTGGTCAAAAAAATTTAAAGAAATAATTTCATCCCCAAAGGTGGAAAAATAGGAGATGAAAATTTTAATGTCAGCTTGAACTTGTGATACTTCTTGGATCGCTCAGAAGGGTTAATTAATTAAACTTCAAAGTAAAGGGAAAATCGTATTCAGACTGAAATAAATAAAAATGAAATAATTTTCTCATAATAGCTTCTAAAGTCTGGGCTTTACTTGTAAATCTTCGATACACTTTGACTTACTACCAACTTCTGAAAGTATAAATACGGAAAATATTTTTATTATTTTATTATATTATAATATAATTGATATAGGTGTTACAGACAATCCCATGTACACAGCATGTATGAGGGAGAACGGCGACCCACATGGTGCTGACATGTCAGGAGTTCGCTACATATAGCGCTCAACATCTCGGCACGCCGGGATCACTCCCCGAAGTTACTCGCAACATCAAAGGACTGTTGAACTTCTTCGGGGATATTTCATGGCTCGAATAATCACCATATATGCATGTCCACTCGCAAAATACGCGCTTAGACATGGAGTTGCGGAAAACAGCCCGTCATAAACTAAACTAAAAATAAATACAGAATAAATTTGACAGAGTAGTAGAAAGTTTTTAGTAGATATTACAACTCAAAATTAATAAGAAACTTTTCTTTATGGTCAGCAGTTACTATTAATATTCAGTGATACGACTTATTAATATTGTTTTCTCAAAGCCTATAAAAGTTCACCGTTCAACATAGCCCTCCCCATTGATTGCCTCATTTTTAAGGGGATGTTGCCATAGTTGCGCTGATGTTATCAGGAAGATGCTGCTGCCCATCTATTTCAGTGTACATCTGTCGCCTGTTACGACGCCCATGGGACGATTTGGGGTAATGAATATTCTTACACCGCTACTACATAGTTATTAATATACAGTACGCGACAGGTCGACATGGCAATCGGGGTATGAGCTGAGGCGCGGTGGAGGAGACACCCCGCATTAACGGTGGTTAATATAGCGCATAGCGCCATATTATAGCACGCTATCTCTTCATAACACACAGCGCGTGTTATGTAAGTAGTCACCATGGCGCTATTGCGCTATGGCGCTTTGGCACTATTAAGTATTTTTATCTAGCGGCAATTAGTTCTAGCGCAGCGCTGTTAGGAGAGGACGTGTGACGCAAATTTGATCTCGTAGCGCGCTATTCATCGCGCGCGACCTAATTTAATGTTAGACGTTGTTTAGTTAGTGAATATTATATATTGATAAGTGATCAAAGGACACAGTTGTGATAAAAGAAGCCTAAGTAATGTTTTTACATGTAAATAAAATATAGGTACAAAAGTGTATATAATAGTGTATGTAAATAATTGATTTTTATAAATACAATAAATAAACTTTTAAATACACCGTTATTTGATTTATAATTTATATTGAGGTTAAAATAATTAATTACATCAATTATAGTTACAAATTATTAATTTTATTTCGATTCTAAAAATAAAATTAATTGTATTTTAAAAAGTACATGACTAAAAAATATTTTTAGGATTATAGAAAGTAGTAAGCTTGAAAAGTATGAAAAAGCGTGAATTGGTTTTTCTTTACCGCTTTATTTCATTTTAGTCTAAAATGCGACTTATTACGAAATAATGTTCTTATATAGCACGCGATATATCCAATGAACGACATGTAATGTAACGTGCTAAGAGATATAACGTGCTGCAAAACTTAACGCGCTTACCGGCCTCCCACACGCTTTCTTATAAATAGCGCGCTATAACATAGCGTATTTAATAGCGCGCTAGAAATGTATAGTTTATAGTCTGTAGCGTGCTATTGATTTATAGTCGTTTTGAACAACTTTACCCCGCATACCCGCACATCGCCCGCGCTATCTTAACCTTAGCGCTGCACGAGTCCGAATCGATCGCGTTTGTCAATTTCGATCTCGCTCACATTGTTCTTGTGTATTAAATGACGTCGATCGCTTCCTCGTCATGTGTTAGAACAAAAAAAAAACAATAATTCAATCTCAAGCACGAAAACTAGCCAGGAAAGTATTAGAAACCTGTGACATTGAACGGAAAAACAATTATTATAAATTAATACCCTGTCAATCAGACATTAGATAGGACTACGTTTTACACTGGTTTACGAAAAGAACTTTGTCTAGAATAAAATCTGAAATAAAATTAACTGGACCCGATAAACAATTAAAAGCGCCCACAAAACGGTTGAAGATGCCCAAAAATTTTGTGTAGACAATTTTGATTGTAGAGTGATTCATAACATTTTAACAGAATTTTAATTACAAAAGCAAATGGTTCCGACATGTTCCAAGCTACTCGTTGCGTTAAGCGAAAAAATAGCTTCTCCTAGGGGTGTTCGTACGTAACAAAATTGGCTACAGGTGGGGTCAGTATCAAACCAAACGAACCTTTTTTAATTGAAAAGCCAGAGATATAGTTCTCAAACTTATTATACATAATACTTAAAGAAAATTGGAGGATTCCGACAAAACAGCAGAAATATTTTTTGTTTAGATGAAACTTGTGTGGACAATAAGTTAGCTTTCAAAAAATGATGGCAAATGACTGGATCAAAAAGAATTCTCACAGATACCAGTTCTGGAAATAGACTTGTAGTAGTCAGCGCAGGAGGCAAAAACGGATTTCTACAGGGGGCTTCGTTGATATTTAAGGCCGGTACTAAGTCGGCGACTATCATCTTAGTTTTACTATCATCTTCACTATCATGGACAAATGAATGGTGAGAATTTTGAGAAATGGGTAGTCGAAAAGCTTTTGCCTTCACTTCCTGAGCGCAGTGTCGTGGTAATGGAACACTCACCTTACCATTGTCAAGCTAATTAAGCCCCCAACAAAAAGTTTGCTAAAATCTGCAATGATAAAATGGTTGGAAGACAAAACATTTCTTGCGACAGGTCATGTCAACCTGTCGTGTACTATACCTACTTTCGACTTATTAATAATACCTATTTTTTTAACTTGTACAGCAATACTTACTTATGACATGACTTAAGAGTAGGACATTCTTTTTTAGTAAGCTCTTCTCCTTCACGCAGCCAATCTTGTTCAGCTGAAAATATACAATAACCATAAGACACTGATAAAATAATAGCAGTAATTGAAAGTCATGTAGTGTAATTTTGCATGATAGTAATGACATATAGATCTGTGGCATAGTCCTTCATTGCTGGTAGCATGAGAAAGCTCAAATCAAAGTTGTTCAGCAAGATATAGGAGTTTTTCCTGGATTTTTGCTGCATGACACTTCGTAATCAGGATATCCACTATAGAACCAGAGTAACCGACATAGCCCAGTAGATCAGTAGCTGGAGTGGCAATAGTTGACTATATAGCTCAATGAACAAACAATTGATGGGGCAAAAAGGTTCTCAAGTGGCAGCCTCATACCGGTGAGCGAAGTATGGTGTGGCCACCTACTAGGTTTAGTGGCCACCTGTTGAGATATGCAGGAAGTTGATGGATGAAGGTGGCACGGGACCGTGCTTTGTGGCATTTTTTGGGAGAAACCTGAGCTCAGCAATGAACTTGTGATGGACTATAATGATGATGAAGTAATGCTATTAAGTTTACCAGTCAATTCACGTTGATGCTTGCTTTGTTTCCGCGGCGTCGGACCGACTTCTTCACCCGACGTGCTTAATTCTTCACACTGTGAAAGAATACAAAAATAAACATAGTGTATTTTAAAATAAGCAGATAAAACTGAAAAATCATAACCATCCTAGTTCTTCAAATATACCATTATTATGTAACATTCATATATTTTCGGATCGGGTTTTTTCTAGTAAAATAGAATAATCTAAAACTATCTTAGGAAAAATTTTACACCGCAAAACAATACCAATTAAACACCGAATACCATCTTAAATTATTTACGTGAAATGTACATCGGGAAGTTTTACCGGGTCATCGTCTGAGTTAGTTTGGTCCATGCTGACGCTAGCCTCAGAGGAAGAGTTGTGATGAGGCTTGCAAGCAGGGGGCGGCTGGCGCGGCTCATCTGGAGGAGGAGGGGAACCCAGGGAACCTCCGCCACCACGAGCCCACATTGCACGCATCAGTGCCGACGCCAAATACAGACTCTGGAAAAGTTAAAGATTTCAAGCACAAATTTCAATTAAGACAGTTTAGGGCGCCATAGTTAATACCACTATTTAATCTATGGCATAGATACTATAATATCAACCTCAAGACACTTATTTACATAAAATATCTTATATAACCAATATGCCAGAGGCGAATTTGGATACAGAATCTCAGATATGGGGACAATGTCAATACCCCGAGTTGAAATTTGCGTATACGTAACACAGGATATTTGCTATCAATGCCTCGGTAGTCTTGAAGACGTGGAGCTGTCCATTCTTTTGTTATCCTTTTTATTCTACGCATAGACTACGATGACCACCCACGCTTCTTTAGGTAGTTTTATAGGTCATACAGCGATATTGCCGACGCAGATCGACTCATTGAATCCATTTGGTTATAGATTCTGTACTACAAGAGACTCCATCTATAAAGATATCCTTTTGTATCCTACACATTTTTCTTGCTGGATGACGCATCGGCTCCCCGGAATGCAAACACTAAAGCACTTTCAAAAAGTACAACTGTGTCTGTAGATCCTTCAAAAGAGTCATCTCTTGGGCAATGTCAGAGAATGTTGGGAGAATTGATGAGAAACTAGTTCACCTTTCTTCGAGAAATCGTGCATTCTGGTCTTTCGTCAAGGCTGCCCAAGAGCATTTCTATAAACCATAATTACCATTTTTACACAGGGAGTTATTGTGTTATATTGTTTATTTGATTTCATTAGTCAGGTCCGTTACATTGTCTGTACTTTATACAGCAGAGCTAGTCACAAGAACAGCCGAAAAGTTTACTTAAATATTACATAGACAACTCAAACTAACAAAGAAAGATAGACAGAGCATTGCATATGTATCAAGTGATGGCAAAACCATGCTCAACTTCTTGACACACACATGCAGACATCTTCCTTCTTTCCCTCTATATCAACCTGTAAAAGTTTAATGCTTTACGCACAAATATGCACCTAAAACCATATTGTTAGTTGCAAACTTTTAGACGCAAATGTGTAAGTGAATGCCTGTTTTTACAATAAGTTTAGCAATAAGGTGGTTTTTGCATCCTGCTCTGTTTCAGTTTTTACAGAGCTCCATCTTGAAATAGATATAGACTGAGTACAGAACTACGTCTAAAGAACGAAAGAAGAATAACACTGGTGACATTGACACAATATGAGTCTATGAGATATTTTTTCCTAGTTTTCTAGTGCTGACAAACTTATTTGTCATATAAACTAGGAAAAGATAACATTAGGGTTGGATTGCATTCGATATTGACGTCATAAAATCTTTTACATTTTTTTAATGAGCAAACCCAAGAAAAGGAAATAAAAAAATATTACCTGTCTTAAAGGATTGATAATTTTAAAATGCTGTTAATTGGAAACAAAAATATAAATAAATTGCATTACTAACATTAAACAAGAGCGAAGAGGATAAAACCAATATGATGAAACATTTACTTACCTGTTCAGTATGATCCTTTGGGGGTAAAGCACACAACAGACTGTAAAGATGTGTGCATGGTTTCGGTGCTAATGCTCTTATAAAGCCAGGTAACAAATCATACACCTGGCGGCCACAGTGTTTAAGCTGAGCTGCTGCCCACACTAACTCTATATGCTCAGGTGTAACACGACCCTCCACCGCGAGAAATTTCAGTATCATGTGCGATTGTTTTATTACCTAATAGAAACAAGAACATCTTTTAGAACATTATAAAAAAATCCTATTATAACAGAAAACACAACATCTTAAGGAAATTGTTTATCATGATGTATATACACAGTTAGTTAAGCCATAATCATTACACCCTTCAACTCAGAATCCTCCCCATCAATATCCTGAATCTAATGGTGTCCTTTAATATCACCTATACCTTATAAACACTGAAATCATATTTTAAATTTACCTCAACATGTAAGTTAGGTCCAAACAGATGTTCGATGATATTATTATTTGTTAACCATGTAGCAAGTTGCTGACCAGCCAATTCAGCATCAGCAGCTGGTTCTCCTGCACATAGTTCATTATGGGCAGCAATATGTGCATTAATTTGGGCAACACCAGCTAGTCGCATTGTAAGGGTACTGCTGTTAAAATATTTGAAAGCCAATGCAAGTCCATCACCATCAAAGGCTAGAGGAGCATCTAAAGGTTCCTTAGCTGCACCCCACATAAAATCTGTAACCAAATTACCAATTATCAAAATGTATATATCAATCTTACAATAAAAGAGTAAAAATAATATGCTTGGTTGTCTCACTTTTACAACAATTGTTCTGTCATTAAAATAGAATCAATTTTATTCAATAATGATTACATGTCATTTTTATTGAGTCATTTTTTATTTATACCACTGGTTCGGAAAAACTTCTGTCCTGAGAAGTATCAGCAAGAAACCCAGCCGGGGTTTTAAAAAAAAAAGCATAACTTACAATATCATATTTATACAATTCTTATGAAAATATTTAGAAACAGCATGATGACCTCATTCCCACCACCTCATTCCCAGGGGTTATTATCAACCACATACTCTTTAGTAGCTCAGATTGTTAACGCTTGCTGTAAATATAACAGGACGCAAGTAACCCGGGTTCGATTACCACCCCAATGAAATTGTTAATTGCAATTTTAAGTGCTGATTTACTACGTGCTCGGCGGTGAAGGAAAACATCGTGAGGAAACCTGCATGTCTGAAGAATAAGAAAAAAAAATATTTCAGACATGTGAAGTTTGCCAAAACGCATTGGGGCTGCGCGGCGGACACTTCCTCGCCATAAAACCCTCTCAGAAATGAGAGGAGGCCTGTGCCCAGCCGTGGGATGTAGGCTGTAACTTTACTTTACTCTTTAGTAGTATAACCCTTACTAAACAATTATTGGTTAATAAAAATTTTAAACATTTTGATAGATAAGGTCTGCATATTTTCTGGGTCTTTGTTGTATAAGCGTATATACATTGCCCCAAGAAGGAATTACCAGAGAATTACCTCTTTGGAGTTGAGTAGTTGGTATAACTAACCTGTGCTTGTTCATAGTATTTACAGAATGCACATCACTATTTTTAATAAAACTATGTTTGCTTTTGTGTACATACATAAAATTTTTCTCTAAGGGATTCCTTCAGACCTAGGTTGTAAATTGCTGTTACAGTGACAGAACAAGTTGCGGATGCCCTTAAAAAGGGTTATTATAATATTTAAGGAATTTATGGATGATAATAACCTATATGTAATATATTTAACAGTGGTCTTTGGTCAAATTAAAAGTACCCTGAACTGATTAGCTGATTAGATGGATGAGAAACTGAGAAAGTTGTGTCAGGATTGTACCAAATGGAATTCCGTATTTACTGCCCTGGGTGGCAAGTGTGAGTGTTTATGTATGTATATTTCTCTATATAACAGTTAGATCCACTTTACCTTACTCCGGTTATTCTCTTTTAAAATAATTAGGAACTGAGTAAAAAATTACTAAAGGCGGCTACTCACTTGCCTGACGAAGGGGCAATCTAGGGTATAGGAGTGGGGAAGACCCTTAATTTCCTTCTTAATTGTGATGTGTGTATGCAAGCAGGAGCAATTTTGTAAGTCGGCCCTGCGGCAGGGGCGCAAGACCTTACTTGCTCCCTAGATTGTAGCTGCCGCTGTCACATGTGTAGCGTAATTGGGGCAATTTCAATCTGTTCATTGGTAACTTTCTCACAGAGCAGACGTGTGAGTACAAGTCACAATGGATTGATGAATCAAGACAATCAAGAGTGTGAAATTTGGACTCGGGTGACAGAAGTGTATTAAAAGCGGCTTCTTCACCCAGTATTTCCTTTTCTCTTTTTTGTGGTAGCACTGCAGAAAGAACTTTATTTGAATGTGGTAACGTTTTTTAACATGGTAACGTTTTTTAACGTGTTAATGTTTCCACATTGTAACATTTTTTAACATGGCAACATTTTTAAATGTGGTAACATAAAAGTGGCAGAGTCATGATGCAGCTTATAAGCACTAAATTTTGTTAGTAATTATTAATTAATTAGTAGTTTTATAGGTAAATGTAGCTGTCTATGGGCCACAGTATCCACTTACCATCAGGTGGACTGTGTGTTCATTTGTCACCCTATTTCTATACTAGAGGTTACCCGGCGTGTGCTACTACACTGTTTATTAATTGAAAAAAAGGATTTTTTCATTTATAAACTTTTTTATTTAGTGCCTAATGTATTGTTTTAGTGGTCTAAAACCATCTTTGCATTATTGCCTTTCGAATGAAACTGATTTGGGGCACTTTTGTTGAATGGTTTCAAAGTCTATAATGGACATATTATAAAGAAACAATTTTTGTATTTTATGTAGATAGATAAAAAAGAGTCAAGGCTATATACATTGAAATTTCGATAAAACTGGAGCTATTCTCAACATGTGTGATCAGCGAGACGTGCACTCTCATACTGAATGGCAGGTATGTGTATAGAGACAGTTCCAATATCACTCCGATTGCTATACACCCTAGATTGCCCCTGCGGCAGGCAAGTGAGTAGCTGCCTTAACTCAAACAATTAAGTCAGAGATTTTGCAATTAATTTGTATGATTCTTCATACATTTATTTATTGTGAAATATTTTAAGCTTTTAAACATTTTAAGCTCCTACAATATAAACTCATACACACATTATATTTCCTTAAAAATAAAGCAATAAACATAAAGATATGTAAATGCATGCAAATTATGACTTATATTTTCAAAAACTTAACTTTTCTCAATATGGATTTATTAAATAACTTACCCGCCATAGACTTCACAGCTGGTACCCTTAAATCTTTGTCCTCTAAATTACACATGTATTTTAATATTTTAGTTCTCAGTGGCATGAACAGCTGGGCTACTGCTCTAAAATTTAACCACAGTTTCAGATTTCCAACAGCAGCGACTATTGCATGAGCCATTGATAGTGGGAGAGTGCTTGGAGTTGCATGTTCAAAGACTGATGTCATTGCACACACACCGCCAAGTTTACAAAACAGGCTTACATTGCGCAATAGATAAGCAGGTATTTCTGTATCATGAAGATCACAGTAAGAACTTAAGTTGGATATTTCTTGTGCTGATAGGTCATCTAAACGGCTCAATGCTGAATGCTTACATGCTAAGTATAATGGAAAATTAAGTAAGAAAATTTTAGAAACAATATGCATAAGTTTTTCTTTCTGTTGCATTGACCATACTTCTGTATCACTTGAGGGAGAGTTCTCAATATGGGAATTATCCTCAATTGTTTGCTCCTGCTTATCCTCTGATTTATTACCATCATCATCTGGTTCATCATCTTTTGATTGATGGTTATTTTCATTTTTAGAAATAGCAGTAGATTCATGCCGCCTTTCTTGCTCATGTGTGTCATCAGGTGGAGAAGACTTAGCTGCTTCTATTAAGTCATCTTTCAATAGTTTGAGTTGACACACAGATAAGCACAATACACTTTGAACCACCAGGTAAAATCTTTCAAAATTTTTAACATCTCGATAACAGCACATACATTGCCTAAAACATTTATAAAAAGTTATGACTAACTGTATAAAATGCCTTAGAGTAAATAATGTATAAAATTACAGTAATTAGAGTTGTAAAGATAAAGGTAACTAAATTTCAATGTAAGAACTTAAAACTAGCTTTACTAAATTAGCAGTTAACTTTGTTAACAGTTAACAGTTAGGCACAAATTGACTTTTATTATAATAAATTAAAAAGATTTTTTACCTTTGTGGCCAAGAAAGAATGTAATTAAGGACTACTTCCAGTTCAGACTGACTTATACTTGGGTATTGGGACACATCATCGGTTAATCTCGTTTCACCTAAAATTAGAAATACAACAGCGAATTTCATAAAAATTATTTACATCAGCTATTTTATGGTAAATGAAATACTTATTTATTTAACTTTTTAAGAGCAAAAACAATCGTGCGATGTAAAATAGCTACAAATCTATGAAACAAAGTAACTTACAATTCACTAAAAGATGTGAAAACTCGGAACAAACATCACACATCCTCAAGGTTTTATGTCAAAATTAAGCGAAATATTATAGAAATATTATCGCCACCACTGTTTTACTTGAAATATTGACCATTATTGATATTTTCGTATCAGAAACGAATACTGCCTTAGAAATGTCACAGAATCCGTTCCACCATTGTTGACGATTGTTGTCAAAAACGCGTTTAGTTTTTGCTATTAAAAATATAAATTTCAAGTAAATACTAAATTTTATGAATATTTTTATTAAATTGAAATGAAAATCTTTATTTCCATTACATGTTAATTTTAATTTAATTAAGCTTGTAAAAGTCCGTTTTAATTAACCAAAAATGGCTATAAATCATTTCTGATTTTAAGCAAACAGCTGATTTATGTAATGAAAGCATTGACAAAAGAAAATATATTTATTAATGTTTTAAATTACAGCTAAATTTGAGTCCTTGAAGAACAAGGTGATGTATACAAGATGCCAGGGTGTACAAACAAAGATTAATAAATAATAATGTAAATAAGGAGTACGCGGACCGGGAAGCAGCAACGCTTCGTGACCTCCGTCGTTCGTGTGATAGTACAACTTTCATATATGTTTTACACCTGTATATTTGCAAAATCGTTCGTTGAGCAAGCTTGTAAGGTTCGGTATGTCATCAAAGCCATGCCTAAAATTCTAGTTCAAAGGAAAACTTGAATTTATAGCAATATTTTTCACGTTCTGTAATGAACCTTTGCAAAAAGCTGGGCTAACTTAAAGGAGCTGAGGACTGCAGGCAATGTTCGCTCTGAAGTGTTAAGTAAGGTTCTTGAGGACGATGGAGATAAGTGTAAATTGTTGAAGGTTACAGGTTGCATATTTACATCACATCGAAGCCACAAATTTAGCCATAATGGGACAAAAAAGATATCGCACCAGAAAGATGTGTAACCTGAGAATCAGACAACAGTTCTTACGGTAAAAAGAGTGTATAATCATAACCTCTACATTAAGTATGGAGTATCAACAGTGGTAGAGTTGTGTGTATACGTGTTTGATAATAAAACATCACAATTAAAATATATTTTAAAATTTAATAATTAAAAAAAAATATATTATAATAATTTTTAAAAACAAGAAAAAAAATTGGTTTACCTTGCAGGCCATCCCTGGAATTTCCCGCTAATTTCAAATGCAAAGCGCTCCAAATTTTATCAAATTATGACGCTGAATATGATATATCGGAGTAATTTAAAAAATCAATTTTTCAAAAATTTTCTTCTTCTATATCTCCTTAACCGATAGATAGATTTTCATGTTCAAAACAGCATTCGACACAGTTTTTTAAGTTATACAAATAATATACGAAGCACAAAATTGGTCGGTTGCGAAATCTCGATGTAATGTTAAAGAAAACGTTTTTATTTTCAAATTCATTCTCCTTCGATATCTCAAGAACGAATGAACCGATTTTTACTTTCCGAACACCATTCGACGTCATTTACGGAGGTTCAGAACTGATTAGTTTTTGAAATCGATCTGTAAAGCCGTTTCAAAGTTATCTAAAAAAAACAGTTTTTCAAAATTTTTATTTTTAATATTTCTCAAAATCTACTCGTCCGAACGGTTTCGGAACAAGTGATTATATAGTAATATAGATCTCAAGACTTATTTACCAAGGCGCCTTATGATATTATCATCGTCAATTAAGCAATGTTTTTTTTTTGCAAAATACAAACTTTGGACGAATTATTCTATAATTATTTAATCGAAATTTATATAATTATTTAATTTCAGCCGCATGAACGAAATTGAGTGCTTGACATCGTTCGGAACAGTTATGCAAAAATATGTACGTAATAAAACGATAAATTATAAGCATAATTTAATGGTTATTTCTGTTGTACTTGGGACAATCATAAAAACATTTTTTAAACTTAAAACGAGAGTTAATACTTGTACTTTAGCATAAACGAAACGTTTTTCAATTTTTCATTAAGAATTTTGGCTTGGACGCTTGTTTATAAAGCCATGTCTTCATTTCATTCAAGATCTTCGTTTTTATGAATTATTTCTTCAAAATATATTGATGCGTCACTTTGCAAAGTTTTTGGGAGATTTTGACGACAACTCAACGAACGAACTCTTGATGACGTCAGCCACTCAAGTTTATAAGACGCCTAAGTGATCAAAATAACTTGAGATTTCTATGTACATCGAAGCAATTGTTTCGAAGTTTTCTCTATCAGTTTACGTTTTATACACAAAATCGCATCAAATTTACATATCAAAATCAGTCTCAAGCTATTATTTAAACAATAAAACATGTTCAATTCCTACCTTTTTTTTGTATTTTGTGTATGTTAACCCCTCAGTCACCTTAAAATTCTCATGCAGTCTCATGCGCCTGGCAAATCCCGAGCGGTCACATGCCACATCACCCACCCGCAACACTTAAAACCATTAAAACTTCTATTTGGAGACTATTTTTCTGTGAAAAATTTTGGCATTATAAAATTTGTACGAAATTCTGTATATAAAAGTCAGGTTTTAGTTAATTACAAAAAGACTATTGTATTTTGATAACAAAAACAAAACATACCAAGCGAATGTCGGTAGCGTGAAAATCACAATTATTTCAATATATATTACTCGAAATTATTTACGTAAAAAGATAAATTATATTCACACAAAAGCTTTCATTAGAATTTTATAATAAAACATAATACCAAAACACTAACAATGCACTAGAAAAATTCAAAACTCAACACAATAACATTAAACCGAAAATGGCGTACGAAATGAACGTAAATTATAAATAAATATCCATAGCATAAGTATTTTTTATTGCACTAGAGGATACAAATTTCATATTGATTCTATAATGCCAAACTTCTTCATAGAAAAGTAGTCACTAACTATAAGTTTTAATGGTTTAAAGTGCTGTGGGCGTACGCGGTCGAATTCAACCGCTTAGGGGTTGAAGGGGTTATAGATAATGACCGCTAATTTTATGATAAAATAGCCATATATTACTAAAATAATCATTATGATGAAACATGAGGCGAGTCTGTAGAGATTAATATTGAATAAAATAAATATTTGTAGAAATATTATTGAAAATAGGTTATATTGTTATGCTAAAAAAACATTTGAATAATATCGGACACGATTGAATAGGCTGTATGGTCAATGGTCATTGCCGGTTCTGAAGGAGACAACTTGGCGGAGACAGAGAAACCTATAGACAAATTGACGCCTTCTATCGCATTCGCACACGAAAAAGATAGATTTATGCAAATGTCTTGCATAGAAATGAGACAGCGCGGTGTGAAAGTTTGTCCCTTTCTCCATGCCGGTTTTTTGTTTAGCAAACTACACTTTGCTAAACAACTTTGACAGTTCGTAGCGATCTAAGGAGCTTACAAGTTGGTTTAAGTGAGAAAGAAAGTATTTTGTAAACTTAAGATTGGTGAATATTGTTCAGTTCAGTGCTTAGAACAATTAAAATTTTTATCTAAATATGTTTAAAAGTCATAAAGATTATATATATTCCACGACCGATTTCGGCCACGGCGACCTCTTCAACTCCGATCCTGTCGTTGGTGTGCTCGTGCATGGCTAACGTAACCGATCTTATTTACAAATGTTCGCGCGCAATGCGGGCAGGTGAGCACACCGTTACAGAAATTGTACTTAATCGCACAAGGTGGGCGTGCTTTGAGTTCATCACGTCGGGCATCCAATTCAGAGCAGCGATTCTCCTCAAACATTTTGACCTTGGCTTTCACCAAAGACCTCCACTCCGGTCGTCGAGCGGCTGCTTGCTCCTACTCTAAAGGCTCAATGTCGCACTTCTTCATGTGGCGCTTAAGTACATCTTTGTACCTGAGGAGTTGTCCGTCATGCTTACGCTTGCCCTTCTCAAGTTCAGAGTAAAAGATGCACTTTGCCGTAAGCTGGTCTGACATTCGCGATAAGTGTCCACATCAATGAAGTTGTCGCTCCATAAGGTAGGCCTCAATCCCCATGGTATGGCTCTACGCAGCACGCAACTGTTTCGAGTGCGATCAGACCAACGGATGTTGAGAATTTTGCTCAGACATTGCAAGTGGAAGCGATCCAGCGTCCGTATGTGACGGCGGTAAACTGTCCATGACTCTGAAGAGTACAATATGTTAGGCAGCACTACCGCCTTATAAATGTCAATTTTAGTAGCCAGCTTTAGGTCATGTGAACCAAAGACCTTGCGATCCAGTTTACTGAATACACGACAAAAAGTTCCCATATCGCCGAATACAAATCCCCCACCCGCCATAATTCAATAATTCACCCGGTATAAAATCAACACCAACTGCGCGTTTATATTGCTGTTGCTTAATGGCAAGAGCAACCTCGTCAGGCGAGACTGGCTCATCGAGCTCGAGGGCGAAAGGTTGCTGAGGTAGGCAGCGAACATGGTCTAGGTCAACAAATAGATCCACGTTAAGTAGGGTGTTGAAATGCTCCACCCATCGCTCGAGTATTTCCTCCCTGCTTTTAAAAAGCGCTTCACCACTAGTTGAATTCAGTGGAACTTTTGCCATAGTGGACGTACCGAGTAGATGTCGCACCTCAGAATAAAACTCACCGAGCTGGTTGGTATCAGCGAGCCACTACATCAGACGAGCCTTCTCCTGCCACCACTTATCTTTCGCTTGTCGTGCGAGTTTACGCAGCTCCAGATCACACCCAACTCATTATCATTAAACCACTCCTCATGTTTTCGAACTCTCAAATCTAAAGTAGATTTAGCAGTGTCGAGAACATGAGAAGATAGAGACTCCCAGACAGTATTGATCTCACCTGATTTTAGGTCGAGGAGCTGCAGAGCAGTGCTCAAGGTTTCGGCATATTTAGCCCTCGTGTTAGTATCTTGGAGTCGTTCAAGGTTTAGACGTATCTGTTTAGATGTTTCAGATCTACAAGGTCGTGGAAGACGAAGATTTAATTTAATAACAACAAGCCTGTGATCAGTCCAACAGTGAGCACCACGCATGACACGGGTGACTAGGACTTGAGAAATGTCTTTTTGACGCTCGATAGCGTAATCGATAAGGTGCCAATGCTTCAATCTGGGTTACATCCACGTTGCCTTGTACTTGGCAGGTAATCTGAACATAGTATTTGTAATTGTAAGATCTAATAGTGCACAAAAACTAAGCAACAGTTGGCCGCTGCTGTTCATTTTACCAACACCATGTCTGCCCAGAACTTTAGGCCAGGTGTCATAATCTCGTCCTACTCGGGCATTAAAGTCGCCCAAGAGATTTGCTCCCTTGAATGGATACGATCTATACACCGCGTCAATTCTTCGTAAAATTTGTCCTTAACTTCATCAGACTTGTCTAGCGTAGGGGCATAGCCACTGATTACATTAAGATAGTTTTCACGTCCCATGTAAAGGTGCAATATGGTAATGCGGTCCGAGATGTGTATAGGGTATTCTTGTAGTTGAGCAGCAAGGTAGTTCTTGACAGCAAAGCCCACACCAGACCTTCGCGGCTCTGAGGAAGCGAGTCCTTTCCAAAAGAAAGTATACCCGCCGCCGTATTCTACCAGCTCTCCTTCATCAGGCAGATGTGTTTCGCTGAGTGCAGCCTCATCAATATTATAGCTACTTAGTTCCCGAGCTACGATGGCAGTTTTCCGCTCAGGGCAGGCATTTTCTTCACGGTCAAGAAGTGTGCGCACATTACACGCGCCAAATGTCATTGATTTAAAATTTTCATTATTTTTTCTGTGGCGTCGACCGCGGATTTGTGATGCGGATGCAGCCGCGGTTGCTACCATCCTAAAGGGTTGGAGTGAGCATTTGTTTAGGGCACCTTTTCTAGCCCCCTCCCCGGCAGAGCGAGGAAAGCAGTGCCTCCCTGAATAGGGCTGCTTTACACCTTGGGTGCTGCCGAATCCGCTCCGTCACCCCGATGCGGGGCAGAAACGACCACGATGTATACTACCCCCCCAAGACCGCCTACGTGCAGGAGTCAGACAAAACCCAACGAGCATCACGTTAAGCCTCTCTACCTCCTCCCATCGCCGTAGAACTTAGACTTAGATCGGAGTCCTAATTGGAAGCAGGTCAATTGCGCAGGAGATATTAACGTGCACAAATGTACGCGCGAAAACAGGTGCACGTACTCGTCTTTGTCCCCCTGGACCCAGTGGAACGGAGACCGTTACGACCGGAGAGGGACTCGGACAGATGGAACAGTAGCTATATCAGTGAAAAAGGTACAGGGGGTCAGATCTTTTAAAAAAAAATATTTTCAGAAAAATATTATCGGAATAGACCACATTTTCGAGGTTATATTTACTAAATACAATTATTTTAGATTTTAGAGCTACTGAGCAGTTTAGCAGTACACTTCAAACCGTCAACAACTGCTAAGTTGATTTCATCCCATTAGCTACTTCAGCTCTATTGTGGAGAGTTTTTGAACTATTATTTACCGCTAACAGATGGCCACTTTTTCAACTATTCTACTATGGCAGTTGGTACTACTTACTTCTACACTCCATAACTTCAAGTTTCAATTGAATATACTAGAGACTACTGTTTCAACTTGTTATGCGCATTTAGCATTGTGGCTGTGTTTGAAATTTCGCGTTTTTACTTTCGTGGATTAAGTTAAGTTGACCCTCAGCTTTTCTCTTGAATTACAGAGCAATAAATACTATGGGTTACGAGAGAAATAGAACAGGTAATTTACAGCCTCCTGTTTTTATAGATGACATTTTATAATTAATTGCAGAAAAAATTAACAATTTAAATAGGTTGAGTTTTACTTTACTTTATTTAATAATTTATTCACAACTGCATTCTTTTGTGTCCTTTTCAATGTATTTAAACAACTTATCGCGAGAACGAGTGACTTTACTACATAACCTAAAAATCATAAAACATGAATTATAAAAACCTATTAACAAAAATATTAAACCGCCGAAAAATCTGAATAGAAAAAATAATAAACCTTTTTCTTTTACCTTAATAACTAAGTGCTCACACTAATGTAAGTGTAGCTAAGTATATATTTTTGTAATTATTTTGAGTTTTTAGTTAACCTTAATAACTAAGTTCTAAAGCTAATATTATAACTATACCTAAGTTATTTTGAAAATATTGACAAAAAGAAACATTAAATGGTTAGATATTATTATAAGAATAATAATAAATCAATAATAATTAATAATTTATATTTGTAATACTTTATAATATTTGTAATAATGAAAATTATAAAAATATAATTTATGATTTATTTATTAATAAATAATAATAACTTCGTTATTTACTTTTTTTCAGCCAGCTTGAGTTAAACCACAGACTCGAATAAGAGTACTAACGTATTTTAAACTGACAACTTAGCGATCGCAACGCCTTACTTATTTTCTCCATATTTTTGGGAAACTATTTTCTATAGCGATCGTGCTCCTATTCTCTAACTTCCATGGTACCTAATGAAATCATGGAGGTTAGAGAACAGGAGAATGATCGCTACGTACTAAAGCGTAAGCGTTCGAAAAAAGCCTTTGAAAGAAAAAAACTACAATTTATAGCGGCGCTGCCAACGGTGAGTAATGGCTGTGATGTAAAAACTGTTTATAAGTTGAATAATGTGCAGGTTTTCTTTGTGGCATTGGTGTGAATATTTTCATGCTCCGTAATTTTTTAATTTTAGGCAAAAAAAAAACATTAAAAAATTGAGAAATATTTTATTGTGCGTAGATGTGCATGTTGTTTGGCATCTGATCAAAAAATAGACTGAAAATGACTTTTATTGAGTGAACTTAGCGATCGCAGCGCCTCACTTTTGATTTCCATATTTCTTGGACACTATTTTCTACGGCGATTTATGGAGCGTAGAATTAAGGAGTACCAACTCCCATAGTAGAAAAAGTTGAAAAGTTTCCATCTGTAAACAGTAAACAACAGTTCAAAAACTCTCCACAATAGCGCTGGAATAGCTACAGGGATGAAATGAACTTAGCAGTTGTCGACGGTTTGAAGTGTTCTGCTAAACTGCTCAGTAGCTCTAAAATCTAAAATAATTTTATATAGTATAACCTCGAAAAAGTGGTCTATTCCTATAATATTTTTCGGCACATTCTTTAAAATTTAACCCATAGCTATAGTGGCGCCACCCTTACTTAACGGTTTTCAATGGACACTTTTTAATACACAGTCTGTACTCCTTACTTCTATACTCCATACGGTGTTTGTTCGTTTGTCGTTCTCCTGTTCTCTATCCTCCATGTAATGAACTTGACATTGAAATGCGTAAGCACATAGACGTATATATTTTGTCTATGCGTAAGCATCGCAGTGTTGCCATATATACAGATTTCCCCGTATTTATACAGATTTTCGGTGTGTGATACAGATTAGCACTGGGTACAGATTTTTATACAGAGTTTTCTAACTCTATTCATTGGATTACCATAATATTCAACTTAAAATAGAATGAAGCAAAATAATTGACTAGATACCGCGTTACACACATTCATGATTCTATTCTTTATGGTTAATTTATTTTTTCACAACGTAATTAGTTATTATGGCAGAATTACAAATGTATTAAAAATATGTATACAAGGTGTAAGTGTAAACACCGTTTTCACTAAAACCATTGGTAGTTTAGTTAGTAGGCTTAAATATAAAAATATTTATCCGAATTCTAAAAAACACCCTATTTTCTTTCATAAATTCATGGATACCCTATGCGCCCGGGTGACGTAATAACTGTAAAGATACCCGCCCGCGCTAGCTACCTACACTATATTCCAATAAAAACACAATAGGTACACATAACCTGTGATGTAAATTTTCCTTCATACTTTCACCCTGGCTTAGGACAGGCAAAATTGAGGAATTAAGGAAAAATTGAGATTTTACTAAAAAAATTGTTGTTATTTTTCATTGAATTTACGTTCTATAAGTGAAACCAAACCACTGGTTTCTAGTATAACGGTGTTTACGCTAAAGCCCTGTGTATAAAATATGTATGACTGAAAATAATAAAGTAATTATATGTTCATTTGGCAAATGTTTGAGTTTTAATATGTTGTTTGCTTAAATTAATGTTTTCAATTTTGCTATATAAAAAATTTAGTGTATAGTGTATATTTTATACGTGGTAGAGCCACGTTGCAGCTATATTATGGTTGCAGCACTGCAACCATAATAGCTGACGCTCGACCGGGGAAGGTCCACGCTCTCACAGAATACCAGCGTAAAATACCAGCTTAATGCTGCTGTGTTTCGTATGGTGAAAGTAGAAATCCGGAGACCCTTTTTACTGGAAATGAGGCATCCCCTCTTGGTTCTCAGGCGTGACAACGTATCTGCGTTTTAATTCTTAAGCGAGGATAAATGTAGATGTCTATGGGCCACAGCATCCACTTACCATCGATGGACTGTGTGCTCGTTTGTCACCCTTATTCTATAAAAAAAATATTTTTATTTAATAACGATAATCAAACCTTATCTGCTTATCACGTTTGTAGTTATTCCTTGTTTTTCAAAAAAAGCAATGATGATGATAATGATCAATTATTCTATTTTAGTTTATTAAATTATACAGATTTTATACAGATTTTAAGTTTAAATAGCATACAGATTAAATACAGATTTTAGCAGTGTCTAATACAGATAAAAGGCTCAAGACGTCTGGCAACACTGAAGCATCGTATTAGTCTGTGAAATTTCACAGATGCCAGATGCAGATGTCTTCTTCTGTCATGTGAATTTTAAGTTTGTAAGACATGGGTTGATAACACTTTTGCGGCTTTTTCTTTTGCGACAACAAAAATGGTTCAGTTACTTTATATCGTAGCTAGCATACATTTGATTTTGTGTCCATTTACTAAAGTAGAAGAAAGTTTCAATATCCAGGCTACCCACGATATTTTGTACCATCGTTTTAACCTCTCGGAGGTATCTACAATAATCTAATTTTGGATTCATAAGTTCTGTTCAGACGCGTATATTAATATATTTTTCCAGTATGATCACAACGAATTCCCGGGGGTCGTGCCGCGTACTTTTATAGGCCCTGTTATCATATCAGCTTTATCAGCACCACTTGTTGCGGTTTTACATTTAATTGGATTAAATAAATTCTGGATGCAATATGTGGGTAAGGCTATATTGTGATTTTATAAGTTAGAATTTTTTATATGCAATATAATAAATTATATTGATGATTATTAGTAACATATAGGTCAAATTTTATTTACTATATAGGTTGTATTAATATATACTTAAATATGCTTTTTATATATATATATATATATATATATATATATATATATATATATATATATATACAACATGTCCCAAAATTCAACGATAAGCCAACACCGGAGGATAGACCTGTCCCGGACTGATCGGGGAAAAAAGAAAAAAAAATATCCTAATTATATTTTAAGTAAAAAATGAAATTCTTCAGAAATTGAGACCATTATATTTTTCACTACTATGACCACAATTTTTTTTAATACTTGTTTCTTTTTTTTTTATAGGCAACCTGAATAGCACTGCTATCTACCACAATTCTTAAAAAATCCAGAATAACTCTTGTTTTATCACGAAAATTAATGAAACTTTTTTTATTCCCTAAATTTTTTGAAGACTTACTTTTTACCAAATTTAACTTATCGTGGTGTAAAAAAAAAAGTATGAACACTAGTATGGCAAGTTTTTTTAAAAATTGACG